TACATAAGAAGATAAATATCGAAGCCAATGGTTCTCGAACATCTGTAACATACAAGGGATTAGTAACAAGAGAGGGGACACAACAATATGCACAGTAAATAAATTGATGGTTGTCGAATGCCTGCAACAAACAATAGGTTAGTAACAAGAGAAAGGACGAGTTGAGACACGCGCCCACCCTCCGCGACGGCTCACGAGAAAGTGAGGAAGCTAACGCCGTTATGTATTGGGCGTACGCAGGTTTGTTCCTGTTGAATTGTTTTTGCCGGCTTGAACGACCTTCCTCCTTGAACGACCCAAACACCAGATGGCGTACACGGCTAAGTCAATAAACTGTGTGACGCAATGTCACTAGCGCGTTTGTCCGACGGAGAGCACCGATACTGAGGCACGCTCTACCGTACTCTCTCGCTCGCACACCTCCCCCCATAGACCACCGAAATTCTTCGGCACGCGTCACACCGACGAAGAGCACCGATACCGCGGCTCGCTCGCACGCCGTGACGTCACCCGATTCCCGGAATCCAGCGGCCACGAGATAGCTCATTACGGTAGGACATTCCCGCAAGGGAAATTGTAAGCCGCCGGCCAAAAGGTAGATTTGATAAACTATTTATGAAACTACATCTATTCTGAATTTATCTGTTACAAATATACAAATGTAAGGCAAGATATAAAAACGAATAAAACAAAAACATGTAACAAGTAACATTAATAAAATGTTCATTAACGATGCATTTAGAATAAATTGTCTTGTAGTTAAGTGAAAAAATATATACTTTTTTTTTTATAGGAGGCGAAAATTGGAACTAATTGTAGAACTTTTTGAAAAAGCGCAGAAAACTGCCAAATCGACATGGTGGCGCCACCTGATCGTGACTTGCGGAACTAGATAAAAAAGTTTTGGATTTAGTTCCGATTTCCGCCTCCAAAATTTGAGCATTCCTCGATTTTGCGGGATTCCCGCCATTTTTAAAATTCAAACGGAACTGAATAACCGTTGACATTTTTATTTCGTATTGTACGAAAGACACACTAAAAGGGTAAGATGTAGCGGAAGCTCAGAAAACAAAATTATAATTTAATTGTTAATTCATTCAACATTGAAATTACATTATTCATTTTTTATCGTTTTGGATTGCCAATATTGGAAAACACGTCGTCATTGACCAAAGAGCTTCTATAGTTGCTGAACATACATTCACAAACGACTATTATAGTAGGTTTTTGTAGTGGAAGGGATAAAAATTCCGACGATATTATTCAATGTTACGAATACAATAAAGAATAAATGAATTTTGAAAAAATTCGTTTCATTCTAATAAAATTTGGTTATATTTATAGCATCATCTTTTTGGTTTTTCATACGTCCATTTAATTAATTTGTACTTTTAGTCTATAAAATTCAACACATTTATTTCTGTATACAAGCACAAATCTTTTAACTGCAAGTACGAATTGCACAATAAATGGAATTAATATCAATACTGAGATAATTTGTATGTACACGTATCCCTACTTGGTTTTAAGGAATTTATTATTCAATTTTTTTATAGACAATTTCATTGCTTTTCTTTAAGCAAAAACAGTTATGATTCTTAACTCTAAGATTGCACTACATTAGGATCTTGTTGTTTGGTCTTTAATTCTAAAATAATATGCCTAATGCCAGGTATCCAAGGACTGCATAGACTGGCATGCTGCATCATCATTGTAAGATGTATTTGATCTGCTTCTTCAACATTTCCATCTTTTAAAGCTGTAAAAAATCATTTCTATCAGTTCCTTTCATTCTTAAAACCTGGTATATTTTTAACATATAAAAACATTACATAACACTAACCTTTAGATAAATCCAAAATGTTTTTATATATTACATTATTTAATTTGTTCTCTAGCCATGCAGCCTTTAGTATATCTAATCTTTTTTTCACCTCATCCGCTTTGCTTTTATCTATATGCTCATCGATCACAGTCTCAAAATTTGCTAAGACATCGGTAAGTGCTTGTTCCTTGTTAATTTCTACTTCATTTGTTTTAACCACTGCGTCTACATTGGAAGGAGGTATCAGTGGAGGATGTGAAGCTGTTGTCAAAGTAATGGAAGACTGCAGTGATGGTGGCATGGTCATTGATGGATTTGATGATGAAGACTCTTTGTTTGAAGATTGGGTGGACGATAAAGGAAACGCCACCCTCTTATTCAATACTCGTTTAGTTGGTGTAATGGCAGAACTTTGTCCACCAGAAAATGCCCATTTTGGTGGATCATTCCATCCTGGATCATGACCAGGTAATAGAACCTTTTGCATAGAAGTATTTTTATCTGCAATATAAGAATTTGCAAATATTGATTTCTATGATCTTATAAACAATTATACATGTATTTCTATAAATACTAAAAAAACAAATATTTCTGTAAATCTATAGCTTCACAGAAATTTATTTTTTTATAGAAATGGAAATTAGATAAAAATTTATTTTCTATTTCACAGGTTTCATTATATAAATAATATTTAAACTATGGGTATTGAAAATACAAATTTTTATGGACCCATGGAGAAACTAGAAATCAATATGAAATATATTTACTCTATTAAGGGTTCTATTAAGTTTCGAACAAAATCCTCGTTAATCTTTATTACACATTTTGCTATAGTATAAATACATAAAATCTACAGTCTTATTAGTAGCATAAAAGTATTATTGAAGTGCTTTGTTTTACCGTGGTTTGCAGTTAACATTCGTATTCTAATAATTACGATTACACATAGTTAAAGTATTATTTATTATAGGAAATAAAGCTTACTAAAATTAACGAAAACAAAGCAATATGTCAAAACAAACATCTTACTTGTTTCGTCTTCGTTCATTCTTCAAGAATAATTATGTATTCGTCAGAATGTTAAAAAACAATCTTAATTAACATTTAATTAAGGAATATGTTTCGGTCACTGTATTTATTTACATACATAGTAATGATTTAACATGTATGTCAATGCCCCGGAATGAATCAAATTGTGCTATATAGATCCGCTGGCTCTTTAACAAAACTCTAGTTACGTATGCAAAAGAAATGCGTAGAATCACATTGCCGCTGATCGCGCGAAAAAACTCAAGTCGATTGAAATTCATAATGAATCATTACAATTTCATTTTATTTCATAAGGTAGAATAAATAATCAATCTTATAGATTAACATTTTTGTTACAAATATGTAGTAAAACTATGTATGTATATTCTTAAATACTTCCGTCTCACTTGAACAACTTCAGAGTCACTAACCGAGACGTGAGAGAAAAATGCAAACAAATGATGAAAATTACAATTTCATGTGCTTTTTAATAGTATCTGATTATTTTCTCGATACCTCAGAGTCGATATTGTACATAAATAATTGCCATTTGTTAATGTTTCGAATAAAAGTAATCGAATAGGTCCGTGGCGTCATCTACAGCAAAACAACCAAGGTAGTAGCCAATCAGTACTTCAGTCATACCGTGAGATGGCACAAACGACGATTTTTTAGCGCGCAAATAAGATTCAAAAAAATTCAACATGACATCGGATATAATTGAAAAGATACTTAATTGCAATATGTACAGTATTTTGTATTTTCAAAACGTAAATCTGATAAAATGTGACCAATCGGGAATCAAAGGACCCGAAACGTGATACTGTAGATTACAGAAACTCGAAAAAAGCCAATTCAAAATTAAGGGACTTGTTTTTTAGATCCACGGACGCAAACTCAGGGACACCAGAAGGCAGAGTCCATCAAAGACCCAAACCCAAGGCTCCCAGACTGACGGATCCAAACCCAAGGACTTTTAGAACTCAGTGATCCAAAATCAGAGGAGGGGCTTTCTGGATTCAGAAGTTTCAGTTTAGAGTTTCAAAACTTAGAAATTCGAATTCAATGATCCTCCGAATCCATGGACCCATGTTCTAGAACAGAGAAACCTCTGGGCTTGGTTCCTCGAATTTCTCGGTTTAGATCCTTGGATGCGAGGGACATTTCAATTTGGGTCCCTCGTTCTGGGGTCCCCTGGTTTGGGTCCATAGTTCTAGATATTCCTGAACTTTTGTTCTCAGATCTAATTTAAGTGTTTCGACGCTGAGTTGGTCCGTTCAGAATTCGTTTGCCCTGTCTGTTGACCTTAGCATGGGTCTTCAGGAGTTGAGCTAATCCTGCTTGGAATTTCTAATCCTGGATTGTTCAAATTCAAGACTTTCAATCGTGAATTGGTTCTATTCCATTATTTCCATATCTGGCTCCTCTATTATACCACTTTGGGTTTTTCTATCGTAAGGCGTAATACTTTTATATTCGTAGCCGCGTCGAGTGTTATATTTGTCCGGTGCAGATTACAGATCTCCAATAAAAAGGCTACCAATTAATTATGTAACGTTACCTAACACGCACGGTGCAATTATTAATGATTTATAACAAACACGAATATAATATATAACAGGAAGTACGTTACGAGTCTGGCTAGTTGTGATTTCATGTAAGCGAGGAATTGCAGCCATGGGGTTGTTTCAACCCTCTAATGTACACGAGGAATCATGGTTTTTGTTGTTTGTGATAAAACTTGTCGGTAAGAATGCCGTTCGAATGAATTCTATCTAAACATAATACGAGAATTAAATTATTATTAGAACACACGTTTTTTAACTGTACTATTCTTTTCGCAGGATTGTACCCCGTAAGATTTCACACATCTCAATATACAAACTACATTTACGCAGCTGTACTGTTGTTCCTTTATTACAGCCTGTTCGGCAATATAAACGATTATGCGAGACAATTAATCGATACAATCGGGAGTATAACCACTGTGACGAAAATACGGCAAGCTCGACACTATATGAACGTTGTTTTGCTACCCCTGATATTGATATCGACTACATATCGTAGCGGCATGATCAGAAGTGTCTTCGAGCAGATAAACAACGTCGACAAAAATGCGAAATTCTTGAACATTGAGATCGACTACACGTGGTGCATGAAAAACGATATTGTTCGACTAACAACCGTAATATTCGTCACGATAATATTCAATTTAATGGATTACTATGCGCTACTTGACAACAACAGGAACTACAAGTACGTTCTTATGTGGATCGCAGATCGAATACCTGATTTCATTGATACAATCGTAATGTGTTCGTTTGCTGCGCTGATGAATAAAATCGAGTTCAGATTTCAAAGGATCAATGAGATTTTAAACAATATCACCGAGGGAAAGACTTTGTTCTCCATCAGCCAGTCATCCGACGTACAGAACAGTAAGCCATGTGGTTCATTCCACGCCAAATCGGACACTTTTTGGAGCACCATTTCGAATTTCGTTCAAAGTCGGATATGTTGTAGTCTTTAGCGATATATAAACATATTTCGAAGGATTTTAAAAAAAATTTTTTTTTAAATGTAGAGACAATCTTTTTTCAATAAATCATATCTATTGAACTGACAAACTGATCAAAATGAGCTTTGTGAGCACTTACAGTGGAGACATACAACATAAATGGTTAAAAGATATTTTTTGTAAACTGAAAGAACTTTTATGTGGTACTCTTATGTCTCCACTGTTAGTACCCACAAAGCTCATTTTGATCAGTTTTATAGTTCAATAGTTAAAATTTATTGAAAAAAAGGTCGACCCTAATTTTCAAACAGCTGTAAAATCTACAATTTAAAAAATTTTCAAAAACCCTTCGAGACACGTTTATGTATCGCTGGAGACTACAACAAAATCTGAAATGGTGCTCCAAAAAGTGTCTTCGTGCTTCGAAATTTCCTTTAATGGGCACGAATTGCTTAAGTCCGAAATTCAGATTACAGATTGAGATTGTCGCGAATGCTGCAACAGAAGCTATGCAAAACGATGTCACTCCTGCACGAAGCCTATGGATTTCAATTTAAAATTTTAACAATGATGTATATCGTGTACGTGTGCCTGCATATGTGTGTCGTTTACATTGCTAGCAACATTAAAATGTATGCGGTGGACGTGATTTTGAGCACCCTATGGGGTTCTTTGGATATAGTAAAATTGGTCTATATAATCCACTTATATCGTACATTAACGATACAGGTAATCGTCTACGAAAAATTCAATTTTTATATTTCTCCTGAATTTCGCTACTTTACCAGCCGATTTTATTTTTGCAGTACATTTGAACGAACATATGCAACGTGCTCCAAGACCGCAATATTATCTTGAGAATAATCATGTTAAGTAATTGCACACATTCCATTACGCGTTACTTTCTCGCGACTTTCCATTCGAGCCGCGTGTAAAACCGGCAACGAATTTATTATACGCGCCAGAAATATTTCATTTATTACGCTGGTGCGGAAAGTGGCGCCGCACAAAATGCGATAGCGAGCGAAACAGACAGGATTTATTTAAAGAATTCATAATTCGAGGTATTTGTACAGAATATGCTAAAACAGGAAGGAGGAAACATATAGATAATACTGTGAAACAAATGAAATGTTGTGTATTAAATTTACTATTTATTAGCATTTGTAATGCAATTCAACAACTATATCCGGTAGAACAACTGGAAACTGATCGCCACTACGTATACTTGTTCTGCACATGATAATTATCATAATTGTATCTATCACAGAGGCGACTGGGGAAAATTCAGTTCAAAGGTTAATTAAAACATCGTAAGTAATGACTAACAAAATATCATGACAGGTGAAAGTAGTGTATGTACAAATCAATAATATTATAAATTGAATAAAAAAAAAACGGAACGTGTGAATAGTGAAATATATTATATTTTTAAATCATGTACTGATGCAAGTACCAACCGATTAGCTGGAAAGTTCCAAATGCAATTTCATTCTCTATATAAAGTGAAAGTTCAACGAAATACTCAACGTTCTTTCATTATTTCAGCAGTTATCTGATTTCTCTTTATTAATAAAGGGACAGTATAATAAAAACACGCTCGTGTATCTATTTAAATATCCCTTTTATAATGTTCTAATTTTTCTCATGACGTGTCCGTCAACGTGCACCAGGCGCATGCGCAATGCCACCTTACGTGGCATCAGCAGCAATCAGTATTGCAGCGAAATACATTTTCTTCATTTCATTGTAAACATTTGTGGAAATATTAACTTTTGTTATGGTTCAAATACGTTTAACGACACAACGTAAGTACTCGATGCTTAACGCGCGTTCTGTGGATTTCTCTCACGAGTCGTTCGTTCGTTCGTTCGCGTAATCATGTGCAAAATGGCTCATTTTACTATTCTAAAGTGAAACAACATTTTAACAATTATTCATTGTGCGACAATAATGCTTTCACGTGACTAGCACACGTATCTCACGCGTGATCAGTACTCGACGTGATACAAGGAGATTGTACAATCAATTTCGTATAGGTTATCTTACGTCTGTCAATATGTAGCATATTTTGTACGTCTGTTTCTGATTTACAAATTTATAAGTCTGTCAGTGAACGTGTTTGTCTTTATTTTTATGCGAATTACATTTCCACGCTAAATAAAGACATTTGATTGACTACGGTATTTCAGATAATTGTAATTTTCTGATACTTTAAACAATCTGTTAATGTTTCTTTTAAACATTATACATTTTATATTTTTTTGTAAACATGTTGAGTACCAACTACATGTTGTTCTATAAACTTACATATGTACCTTGTTCTTATACTTGCACAAGTTTAATGTAATAAATTATTAACATAAGTATTAACATCTAGACCCTAGAGCCACAATATATTAAGTCACACTTTAAACGAGAGCAAATAAAAGATGTAAAAATATAGTCTGGCTCTAGGGTTCAGATATGCAATAGGATAAGTAATTTCTTTGAATATACACAAACATGTTTCTTTAGAAGATAATATTTTATAAGATGATTGGGAAATGTATGATTATCTACAATTATATATTGTTTGGCTTTTCTTTAGGATAAAAAATGAATCCACAATATATACAACAGCAGCAGACACAGCAACAACCTGGATATTATCCTGGTCCACCAACTTCATCTCCATACGGAGAACTAAATTCTAATGTTCCTTCAAATCCTTTAAACGGACCTCCAATGAATTCCCAATATATGTCTCAGAAACCAATGCAAGGACCGCCTACTACTAATTTGCATCAGCCTTCAGCACCATATTATATGAATCATATACAACCACATGGTAACGTGACTTAATTGTTGTATACTTAAGACATGTTATTCTTTATATAATCGTAATATTTTATACTTCAGGAAACTCTCAGTATGAATCATCGACAAATAATCCACATAATGTGATGCCATCTCCGACCAGTCAAAACAATATAGTTAATCAAATGTCAAATATGTGTTTGGGGGATCCACAAAGACCACCATCGACGGTAATTACACTTTTATTAACTAATAATAGTAACCTGAATATCATTCAATATCAATTTTTTTTAATATGTAACAGAATTTTCCTCCGCCACCTTTACCTGGGAAAAGTAGTCCAACAGTGTCTACACCTTCAAATGTTAATGGATTTAACAATGCTTTAGATGCATCATTGCCTGGAAGTGGTTAGTATAAAAACACATTGATTAAAATATAAATTGATAATGTGTGTGTATTTAAATATAACAGGACCTATTGGACAGACTGATCCTGGTGAAAAAACTGCACCCCCTATTTCTGGACAAGATTTACAACAGACAAGTTCGGAAAATCTGTCTACACATCAGTCCGGTCTTCCATTTTCTGAACATTCTACAGGATCTAATCCCGGGAAATATTATCCTGGACAAAATGTATCGTCTGAACAAGGATTCAATACGGGATTATCGACACAGACTGCTCAAAGGAACATCACCGATACACCTTCTGGACAACCAAACTTTCCCAGACCACCGACAACGGGGCAAAAATCGACAGGTCCACCGTTACCAGGACAACAAAATTTATCGAATTTGCCATTACAAGGACAACCGAATCTGTCCAATTCACCTTTGCCTGGACAACAAAATCTTTCCGGCCCATTAATGTCCGGTCCACCAAATTTCTCTGGACCACCATTACCAAGTCAACAGAGTCAGAGTAACACAGCCACGCAAGGAGTACATGGTCAACAAAATTTACCTGGACTGCCACCGTTACCCAAACAAACCTTATCTGGAGCACCACCATTATCGAAGCAAAATTTATCAGGACCACCTTTACCAGGACAGTCGAATATATCTGGTCCTCCTCTTCCAGGACCACCTTTACCAGGCCATCCTTCTATGCAAGCCCAGCAAAGGCCCAATCAATCCTATCTAGAACAATCGAACATGCCTATGTCTAATCTACACGGTCAATCAAATTTATCCGGCCCTCCGTTGATGGGTCAACAGAATATACTCCCGCCGCCAATGTCTGGTCAACAAAATATCGCTCCACCTCCATTACCGGGTCAACAAAATATCGCTCCACCTCCATTACCGGGTCAACAAAACTTCAACAGACAACCATTTTTAGGACAACAGAATTTATCTGGTCCGCAAGTTCCACCTCCATTACCTGGTCAGGCTATGGGACAGATGATGAATCCTCCTTCGAATTTACCACAATCAACTCAGAGACAGTACGCATCTAATCCACCTATGCAGGGACAAGGTATTGGAAATCCTTTAGGGCACAATCGTTCTCCACCTGGTACGATGCCAGGCTACCAACCTGCTGGATACCATGGCTATAGTAATGTACGTTTGCTTACTTATACAAATCTAAAATGGTAGGTTGATTTACTATTGTTAAATGTGTTTATTTATTACAGGATATGTATAATGCTCAAAGAGGTTCGTACCAGGGCGGTGCACCAGGTGCAGCCGGAGGATATCAACCAGGTATTCAACCGCAACAAGCTAGACGTTTGGATCCTGATCAAATGCCAAGCCCAGTAAGAAACTTCAGTTAAAAAAATTGTTGTACAATCTTGTGTATTGATAATTCTGATTAATTCTATGTATTCAATTGTATATGAAGATTCAAGTAATAGAAGATGATCAAGACGTCAGAGGTGGTGTATTTATAACAAATCAAAAGGGGTTAGTTCCGCCATTGGTAACTACCAGGTTTGTGACGCAGGATCAGGGGAATGCATCCCCTAGGTACATTAGGTCCACTATGTACACTGTTCCTACCACAGCAGATATTATAAAACAAGTAAATTAAACGTTGAATAGATAACGATTATCAATAGAATTTCGTGCTGTTTGTTCGACGAATTTCATTTTTCAGACAAGTGTTCCATTTGCACTAATAGTAAGTCCGATGGCTCGCATAGCGGAGAACGAGTACGAACCGCCGATTGTAGATATGGGAGAGATTGGTCCAGTTCGTTGCGTGCGGTGCAAAGCGTATATGAGTCCATTCATGCAGTTTATCGATGCGGGTAGAAGATTCCAGTGCATGTTTTGTAAAGCAACCACAGAAGGTACCTCTCTTATGTATTCTATAATTTGATTTTACATATAATCGTGACAACTGATTATTATTACTTTTTTTTTTGTGATTTAGTACCAGCAGAATATTTCCAACATTTGGATCATACTGGCCAACGTATGGATCGTTACGAAAGGCCGGAATTAATGCTGGGGACGTACGAGTATATTGCGACAAAAGATTATTGCAGAGTAAGTGGAACATCGATTCTGTAATCGAAACAATTGGTCACGTGGTTAAAACAAATCATTTCGCGGAATTTTATTAAACAATTTGTTTGTCATTGTAGAACAACCATTTCCCAAAACCACCAGCCATCGTGTTCGTACTCGATGTGTCGTATAACACAGTCAAGTCAGGCTTAGTCAATCTACTCTGTATGAAAATGAAATCAATTCTACGGAATTTACCAGTCGACGTTGGGCAATCGAAGACGAACATAAAGGTCGGATTTATAACGTACAACAATACGGTACACTTTTACAATGTGAACTCCTGCCTCGCCCAACCGCAAATGATGGTTGTGGGTGATATACAAGACGTGTTTATGCCACTTCTTGGCGGATTCTTGTGCGACGTCGAAGAAAGCGAAGCGGTTATCGACTGTTTAATGACGCAGATACCAGCCATGTTTGCAGATACTCGTGAAACGGAAACGATTCTTGCACCTGCTATACAAGCTGGATTGGAAGCGTTGAAGGTATTTCTGATAGCGTGCATTAAACAGGAAATTGTAATATCTTCGTTAAAAATTCAGTTTATTACAATCTTAATCATGACCAGTTTCTTGCATATGCATGTGCCATAAATGCATAAACAATTTCAGCTTATTATTTGTATGTAAATTAAAAGGAAAAGCAACATGTAGTTTAAACTTTGACAATTTCCATTCAAGGCTTCAGACTGTGCTGGTAAATTAATGGTTTTCCACTCGTCTTTACCAATTGCTGAAGCCCCTGGCAAACTGAGAAATCGTGACGATCGTAAAGTGCTGGGAACGGAGAAAGAAAAAACGGTGCTAGGTAAATCATTCATATATTTTGCTGTTATTACTGCAAATTGAAAAGACAGGAGGATATATTTCATACTTAACATATTTTTACATTATATAATCGAGGGACTCTAGCCTTTCATTTGCACATACCTTGAGCGTTAATAAATAATTAATTTTCTTTTTTTAGCTCCTCAGAATAACGTTTACAATAACTTAGGACAGGAATGTGTAGGTGCTGGATGTTCCGTAGATCTGTTTGTCTTCAATAATTCATACGTAGACATTGCGACAATAGGTCAGGTTGCCAGACTAACTGGCGGAGAAGTATATAAATACACTTATTTCCAGGTAATGTGCACTCGTCTTCGACTGTATATTCTTTTATAAATATACATATATTACTTATAATTTTTATTTTTTTTTCATAGGCCGACATAGACGGTGATCGTTTAGTTTCGGATGTCATCAATGATATTAGTAGACCAATTGCCTTCGATGCCATCATGCGTGTGCGTACGTCGACTGGTGTTCGAGCAACTGATTTCTTTGGACACTTCTTCATGTCGAATACCACGGATATGGAGTTAGCTAGCATAGATTGCAATAAGGTATTAATATTTATAATCGCATCGGACGTTGTACAACACGTCAATTTTTTTGTTTTGTTATGAATTTTTTTAACGGAATATTTTAGGCCATTGCGGTGGAAGTGAAACACGATGACAAACTGACAGATGACGAAGGTGTATATATTCAAGCAGCTTTGTTGTATACTTCTTGCAGCGGAATCAGACGATTGCGTATAATTAACCTTAGTTTAAAGACTTCGTCTCAAATAGCTGAATTGTACCGAGCGTGTGACCTAGATGCTATTATAAATTACTTCTCCAAGCAAAGTAAGACCGATTATTGTGGATTTAGCCAGACAATACTTCGTACACTTCCTAAACAGAAACGTGTATTTTTTTTTTTCCAGGTGTTTTCAAGCTGATCGAATCGTCTCCGAAAGCTGTAAAGGACAGTTTAGTCGCAAGGTGTGCAAACATACTAGCTGCGTATCGAAAACACTGTGCTTCACCGTCAAATGCTGGTCAATTAATATTACCAGAATGTATGAAACTGCTCCCGCTTTACATAAATTCACTGTTGAAAAGCGATGCATTGTCTGGAGGTACTTTTTTCTTCTATTAAATTTATGTTGTACTTGATGTCCGTTTGTAATCAAACTAATACCGTAAATTCAATGCTTTCAGGTGCTGATATGACCATCGACGACAGGTCTTTCGTTATGCAAACGGTTGCGATAATGCCTATTTCAATATCGGTCGTATATACGTACCCAAGATTACTTCCGTTACACGATGTTGATCCACAAGACACAGAACTACCACAGATGCTACGCTGTTCCATTGACAAATTTACCGACTACGGCGCATATTTACTTGGTAAGCAGGGTTATTTACTACATTCTGTATTTTTAACAGTAAGTTAAAATTATAGTTATATTTTTGTTAGAAAGTCAAAAATATAGTAATATGTTTAACAGAAAGTTAAAAATACAGGTTGTATGTTGGCCATTGCAGGGGTTGTCGATAAATGATGCTGTCCAACAAAATGATATTTCGTAATTTGTCTTTTTATTTCTTTTCAGAAAACAGTATCCACATGTTCCTGTGGCTAGGTCTGGGACTTTCTCCACAGTGGGTACAAGCAGTGTTTGGAGTTCCATCGGTAGCTCAAGTCGATACGGATCATACTGCACTGCCAATATTAGATACTCCAATGAACAAACTTATAACAGATATTATTGACCGCGTACGCATGGAAAGGCATCGTTGCATGAGGGTAAGTAATTATAAAAGTACTGATAGTTTGATTTTTCCATTATTTATGTTTATAACATTCCTATCTTCAATTATTCGAAACTTTCACGACAGGGCTTTATATATATCCCTTACTGTCGAAACTTTTGGTTGTAAGCTGTTTCCCTTTTTTAGCTGTAATACTAGCAAAACGTTGCAATAATTTTCGAAAAAGTCAGAGTCTCTACCCAAAATCCTCTATCACAGTAACTGTATCTGTTTTTTCAATATTGTTTCGAGTTTAAAATCGACTTGATTACATTAAAAACGAGTGATAATAATAAACGTCAGCCTTAAAAGTTTGATGATACATATAACTCGTTGTATTATTTCAGTTAACTATAGTAAGACAACGAGAAAAAATGGAAACGGTGTTGCGTCATTTCCTGATCGAAGATAGAGGAAACGACGGAAGTCCCAGTTACGTTGACTTCCTTTGCCATATGCACAAAGAAATAAGAGCACTTCTTAGCCAATAAAATAAATCTTAAAGCAATCAGTTACATTGCGTTGGAATCATAGCTTGCTACGTCTTCGTGGCTGATCGTCACGGTATGTCCAAGGATCAGATTAGATTATTAGACGGAGTTCATTGGAAACTCAATAGAGGTCATGCACGTGATGGCGCGTACATTGGGAAAGAAGGATGGAGAAATGTGAAATAAAGCTAACGTACATTTACAGCATAATACCTATCAGAAGGGCAATGAACTTTACGAGATAACCAATCATTCCGCGATAAAGAATCGGCGCATGTGAAGGGAAACATCCAGGTACACTCACATACAGTGATTTATACACGAATAATTGTAAACGTAAAAATTGTATTATTATTTTTTATTTTAACTAGCTCATTAATGTTATTATTATACTAAATTAAAGAATAAAAGGAAAAACTGTATTAAATCATTATAAATTTATATATTAAAAGGATATCTTGTGTTAATTGAATAGTACTTCCGCAATGAACGAAATGTGTTAATGATATTTTAGTATGGTATATACGTATATATACACACATATATATATATATATATATATATATATATATATAAAAACTTGAAACTGATTCACATTCAAGCATACATGTGAAACAGTTGGAAGATTATTTTTAAGTATACTCCTTCTGATTTCACTAACAAATATAGCGCTGCTATGTTGAATGACTAATATAATAAGTAGACTGTGGACGTATATATGCAAATTAAAATTTTTATGACAATGGGAGTGAAATAGAAACTTATTACTTCGGTGAATGTTTTTAATGTTTTTAGTTCACAACTGACTTTGATTTTTACTGAATTGCATCTGTTATAAAGCATACAATCCGCAGTCTACTAATAAGTTTCATATATACGCATTCATAATGCACTCGATTTATTTGTGAGTTTTCAACTTGTTTTCCATTGTTTATGTACATAACGAAATAAAATATATTGTCAGCAATGAAAATGAAGATTGCGTTATAGCGATTGTTTGCTAACAGGATTCTAATGTTAAGGTTCAGAGAAATTAGTTAAAATTGCCAGAGAATTAATGTAAGGGGTTACATCCATAATAAAAATAACAGATGGAAATTGGACCATATTGTTTCATCTAAAAAATAAACTTATTAATTAGTATTTTCCAAATTTTCAATTAAAAATGGGAACAAGTAACGGAGATATCGTTACCGATACTTTTGGATAGACGCCTTCCACTTTAATCGGTATCTACTGAATCAAAATAAAAAAATTGAATGGATTTTCAAATGTGCGTTTTTTATAAAATGGGAACCATTTATATAAAAATATATGCGTTTATTGCAAATTATCGATCTAAAATTTTCAAGATATATTCTTGATGTTGGAAACTTTTAGAATAAGTAAAAATAAAAAAATTTAATGAATGTATAAATGTAATCCCTTAATTGCATTTCTATCATGGAGTAGGGATGTGATATGTGATTACCTTATTGCCGGCGTGCAAGTTGCGTGCACGTGTACAAGAAACCGACGTGGTATTAACGGTGTTACCAACGGTTTATTGTAAAAGTTGTATTATCATTTAAACAGTTTTATTTACTTAAGCATACTGTGATACACGTATAGAAGCCCATGCAAGCTTAGAACATTATATAATTATTTGTTTAAGTAATCTTCAGGTTAGTTACATTCATTTATTGGTTATGTTGTTCAATGTAAATTTCTTATATAAATAGGTTTCGTTTTTATACAGGATGGATGGTATAACCCAACAAGATGTTATACTTCATGTAAAAATAAATCAAAACGATAGAATAACATTTTTCCGTATAATGCTTAGTTTTTCGAATAATAAAATATAAAAATTAATCTAATATATATTCATGCTGACAGTGAGTAGCAACTGAATATATAATGACCGGACGCATTACTCGAATTGTATTCAATTGCAAGAGTGTCCAGCAGATTTACAAATTCAATTATCTCGGAAACGAAGCACGAAACAAAAAAATTTAATTCTACATTTTTCATGGGTTTTTGCATGTCGAATAACTTTCTCTCTGGTTGTATCACCCTTCCTATAGCCCACCCTGCAATAATATTGTATGCATTTATGTGCTTTTTAGAGTATTGCAAAATGGCAAAACGAAAAGAAAATATTAATGCTGAACCAACTTCCAAGAAGAATAAGAAATCGCTAAAGGATACTGTCAATAATGATAATGCAAGTAATCAGATTAAAGGTATCGGAGATAAGCCTAAAGTTAAAGAAGAGAAAAGAAGAAAGTATGAGAAAGCCTTACCAAATGCTTTGAAGGAAAATCGTAAACGCGATATGAAAGATGAAAAGGGAAATGATAAAAGCTCGTCAGAAACGGAAAAACCTAATTGGATGGAAATTAAGAAGCAGAAGAAGGAACTGAAGGAAAAATATAAGGCAAAAAAATTGAATAACATTTATGATGTAACAATCAGAGCGAAGCAAATTGGTGAAAAGTTAAGAAGGTCAGATTGTAAACCACTGGAACGTAAGAAATTGATTTTACAAGTTCACGATTTATTAAAAAGTCATTATAGTAAAGTAATGCTTACGCATGACTTATCTCGTATAATTCAATGGATGATCAAATATGGTGACCAACAAATTCAGAAAGATATTTTCAGTGAATTGAAACCGACACTTGTAGATATGATATCATCCAAATATGCAAAGAACTGCGTTAAAGGTATGTTGAAATATGGACCATGGGAAATGAAACATGAAATCATTTCTGCTTGCTATGGTAAAGTTGTAAAACTCATGAGTCACTCTATATCTGCACCATTATTAGAACTTATGTATACAAAGTATGCGAAACACATAGAAAAGGTATACTTCAAACAGGAATTTTATGGAGACATGTATAAACAAGCAAAGGATAAAGGAATTAAGTCCTTGACTGATGTATTTAAGTCTGCGGAGAATATGAAATCGGCAACATTGTCTGCTGTAAAAGGAAATCTAACAAGGATATTAAATAAAAACCTTTCGCGCTTCACGTTTGTGCAATGCATTCTTTTGGAGTACTTAAACGAATGTTCGACCGAAGATAGATCAGAAATGATAGCTATGTTGAAAGATTCGATAGTAGAATTGTCTCAAACTAAACCTGGTTCGAAAATTGTTGTACTTTGTATATGGCATAGCACAAACAAAGACAGAAAGACGATAATGAAAGGTCTTAAGGAAAATGTAAAGACTGTCTCCATGTCCGAGCATGGACATTTAATCTTGCTGGCTTTGTTTGATTCGGTAGATGATACTGTCCTTGTGAAGAAAATTATACTTTCAGAAATTCAGAAAGATCTGACAGAGATAGCGTTAAATGAACACGGGAAAAATGTAATTTTGTATTTAGTAGCCAGAAGAAGTCCCCGTTACTTCCATCCTAGTACAATTACATACTTACAACAAGGAGACAAGAATGAAACAAGCAAAAAACCAGCAGACATTAAGGAAAAAGAACTCGTTGAAGGTATCTCTAATACGCTTTTAGAAACCTTAGTGCAGAATACTGCAACTTGGATGTCAAACAGCTCTATCGCCATGGTCACTTTAGCAGTACTGAATGCAGGTAGTGGGGAAAAGTTGAAACAAGCCTTCGAATCTATTGCCAAATACATCACAGACTCACAGACAAGAATTAAAGAAGGAGACGCTGAACATAAGGTTGTTGAGCACGCAGGTTTACACATGATGCTAAAAAAACTCATACAAAACGATGAAAAATTACAGGGGAGAAATGAAACTACGTTCGGAGAAATTCTAACTAGTCATTTAAATGTAAACATTATACAGGAGTGGATAGAATCCAATAGAGGATGCTTCTTACTAATATTTTTATTAGAGAATGAAACTGCTTCTACGGTACAAGCTCTGCATTCTAAATTGAAACCGGTGAAAAATGCTTTGGCATCCAAAACGAGTCCTGGAGCTGCAATTTTACTTAAAAAATTGAGTTGAACAAAACATTCGCACAGATGAATTGTACAGGGTGCTCGTTTTAAGAGCAAATGCAAGAATGAGTCAAATGTAATTATCAGGACCAACTGTAAATTGATATAGTACAATTTATTTGTAATATAAATACTTACAATATATTCAGTCAAATCCAAATTCAAGATTATATTCTGATCCATTTTTTTTTAATTTTTGATTTGTAGCTTATACGAATGATTACTTATGTAAACACGATAAATAATATGAAATTATGGTCATTATCAATGTATTGCACATTAATTACCTATAAGTATATGAACATGTACTAAAAAAACATGTTGCAATACAAGTTCTGTTGAGTCAGAAAGGTTTTTAAAAATCTGTGTTTTTTTTTATACCGTTAAAGATGAAAATTGTTCGTGAACTCCGTAATCTATATATTATTCGTACAGAACATATAAATATATATTTCCTACCTTTTTACAACGCAATGTAAAGAAATAGGAAATCATAGAAAATACCAGTAATAAAGTTAAATTTAAATTATGCATTATTAGACAGATGTTGTTGCTATTTCTACGAATCACGCTTATAATGAACTATCAAATGAAAAAATCTTAGCAGATTGTGACGCTTTTGAATCATCATTATTTTTAAATTGATTAAAGACAGTCATCAACTTAACGGCAATTATCTTCACAGCTTAAATATTTCCTTGATGTCCATAAGTCTAGTCCGAATTTCCGGTTCGTTGTCCGTTGTCAATTGTGGCATAAACTCTTGGAACACTACGGTCATTTGATGAAACTGTTCAGTATTATTAGTGTCGCGTAATTTTTTACCAAGAGACAAAGCTATATTCAAGGCTTCTTTCCTAATCCTGGTGTACGAAATACCTGTAATAGATATCCATACTAGTTAGACATTTTCCGTTACAAATCATTTTTAACAATGCTTACCTATACTATATTTTAGTATTTTGTTAAGCGTATCACAAGTTACATTCAACATTTCTTTTTCTTGAATCGATAAGTCTGAGTGGTCCACTTCAAGCAACGCAAGTTTATCCACAAATAAGTTAAGTGTTGCCAATATTGATGCTTGTATAGATGTGGATTGCGTAGGAAACACGGTTCCGCAATGGGTTACAAATTCTACGCAATATTTATCTAAACAAAGAAAAAATTAAATGTAGTAGAATAGAAATATATCATACTCTTATTCAGAATGATGTAATTACCTTGAGTTTCTTTGCAAGATGGCCATGCTTTACCGAGTACCCCATAGACTGTTTCATACAATTTGAAAATGTCGTTGTTTCTCTTTACTCTTTCATCGGAAATCAGCGATTCATTTTCATCTTTCTTTGACAACTATGGCATACAATATAGATGTAAACATATCGAAAATAATTAATTATATTGTAAATAATTTACTAAAGTTATAATAATGTTGTAAGTTAACATTAAAAATCATCCAATTACTGTATGCATACCGTTCTACGTATTTCTTCAACAATATCATATACTTCTTTAAATTTATCGATATCTAGTTCATGCAAAACCATTCCAAAGGCTTGTAGAGCGTGACGTCGGTATTCTAAAGCTTCTTTTTTGCTCTCCCTGTGCAATGCTTGGACTATAACCGCGCACATTTCGGGGTCCTCTTTAAAAGCTTGCCTGCAATCAAATTACTGTACTTCTAGAACTAAATGAAATAAATGCTTAATAATGCTGGTGTGACAGTGAAAAAAATTCGCGATAAAACAATTACAAGGTGTAACAGACGAACATACTTTCATCCTCAGGGTCATTTCTTTTTGAAGTTATCAAAATCCTAAATGGTTAACTCAAACTATCGTCATCTTTTCTGGTTAATAGCTTATTTCTTAGATAAATACGAATTCAATTGTGTACTATGATATGACCTTCCAGTTTTAAAAGTGATGACCTCAGACATTAGATAAAAGTACAAAATAAATTTGTTCCGCATACTTCCTTTCTTCGACTTTGAACTTTTAAGTTCAAGGGCGCGGTCAGATTACAATGTGTAACAGATACAAATATTTAAACTTTCATGGAAAAAAAAACGTTTATACGGTAAATGTGCTAAAACAGACCATAGATTTCTGTTCATACTTGCTATTGCACGCCAACGTAACCAGAGCAGTCAGAATTCTGTCCTTTCCGTCCCAAGTTCTTCCACGTAAACCTTCTGTCAACACCTTCAGTAAACTGTTCCGTACAGTCGGTGTGATATCGCTGCCTAATTTCTCGGCCAGAGTACGGACCGCATTGGCTGCTTGAGCTTTTGCAGTCCACGACGATGACTCCAAGGATGAACGTAAAAGTTCTGTTATTGTTTCTACGTTTTGTTTAATTCCGGTTTCTGTTCCTGGAGTTATCTCGTTCCATAGGTCAGTCCATAAATTAACCATATCTTCATTCTCTGATAAGATGTCATCCATAAATATTGGAAATCGCTTAACAGATCAAATTGTAAGAACAACTACGAACCTTGTGTCTTTTGCATGTGCATCGCGAAGAAGGTAAGTGGTATAACGATACTCGAATACTTCTTCAACACTTCCTGATTGTAATTGTTTATAGCTTGTAGCGTTTGTCCGATTGCTAATTTAATTGTATCATCTGAAATTAGAAATTAATATATGATACCAATCTCTTGATAATTTTAAGAACGTGTGTATTGTATGAAAATTGTTGGAAATTGTTGCATGTGTATATACATACCGCGTTCTATGTACCATGTATTAAGCGTTTTAAACAATTTATCAAGGCTAGATTCTTTCGCTGATCCAACTATATGTCCAATAGCGATTGCATTATTTTTTCGAACGATTACATTGCGATCTGACAGAGCATTCATTAAAGCAGACAAAAGTTTACCTAACATAATAAAATACCATGTATATATAGTAAATATAGTTTATTATAATAAATGTATTTATAATTTAAGCTATCATTGAAACGAAAAATTTCTTACCAGTATACGGTTGTAATTCTAACTTCAAATGCGTACTCAAAAGAATCACAAAATGTGAACAGGTTATTTTTGTTCCAAATCCTACGCTAGACTTGATTAAATCTATCACTTTGGGCATTAATTCTTTCAAGATCCCTGCATCGACATACTGCACACACTGTATCAAAATAAACAGAGAATATTAATACACTGCAAACATTGTCTTACATTTGTCTGTATTAATCAACTCACTTTCGTTATTGTATCAGTAGCGTAATGCCCTTTAGCAGCACTGGCTCTAACATTGTCAATGGCTTCTCGTGTTTCCGACGATGCTCCGTACACATTGCTCAGATACGAGAAATTAGGATTCTCAGATTCCCCAATTGTGGACAGAAGAGCAGGAATCAAAGTGACTAGAGACGGTTTAAGCAAATGACCAGCTTTCGATACTAACTGGGCCACTGTTTGCAAGGACAATGATCTCACAGTGCTCAAGACATTAATAACCCCTATATCTAATAGTATAGGCAGTATTGCTTGTATCACTTCTTCACCCTCTTTACCATTAGAAGAATCACAATAACGAATACAAATCTGTATTGATAATTGAATAATAACCATGACTACAAATTGTATTTACAAAAACTTACAAATCATCACCATTCTAAGTGCAGAACTTACTTTGCTGAATATTTTAGTCGTGTTCGTAGCTGCTAATCTGGTACCTTCATGAATGTCGTCCATCACTCGAAACAGTTTCTTCCACAATTCGGGCGCGCACTCCGCGAGATTGAAATGAACGTTCGCTCTTAACAAATCTGCAAGCGCATTGCAACTACTGATACGTACTCTCCACTCGTGATGAGTTAAATTATCAGTTATATCACTCAAGATTTCTTTATGATATTGTTCAATCTATCAAAGCACGAAGGACAGTTGTACATGATCCCTTGTAAGGTTAAGTTTAGAACATTTATAATAATACCACTTACAGCCTTGTTCGTTGAAGGGACAATTGTGCGCCAAATGCTAGACATACTCTGCTGAATTTTGGGTGTTGGATCGAACTGATATCTATACAAGCGTGGTATTATGTTTGGTAAATACTTATTCAATTCTTCGTTTGCCACTTTAGCGATAGCTGCAAATCCAAATGCAGCACCCTTCTTCGATGTCCAAACTGCATTATTATTTGCCAAATGCATAAAATAGTATATCAAATCCGGATTTTGTAGTTCCGTGGCCAGAGAACAAATTTCTTTATACGTTGACAAATTTCCGCTGTAAATAAAATATTATTCGTAGAATTGAGTCGAAACAATTAGGTTCAAAATATGAAAAAAAAAAAGAAATTATTATAAATATTTATCGCACTTTGTTGGCGACTTTCCCAGTTGACCTTCTTCAAATAATTTCGAATCAGGCGCAACTTTTCGTACAGTTTTACGTCCCTGTGTAAATTGTTCTAACATACGAGACACCAATAATTCTCTTTCTTCCTTTGAGCTATTAATATGAATGAAACTAAGTCCCTTTGCTGCAATATCCTGTACTATATCTATAATTAAAATAAATACACTTCGATAATAGAAGATTCTCTGGAATAATTATTAAGAATTATTGCCTTATTTACCGCTATCATCAGAAAGGAAATCCATGAATGTATGATGCAGCGACGGAAACCTTTCTTTAATGCAATCCCTCTCGATATTATATTTCACCAGCGCTAACAACCACACACAGACCGCCTTATGAAAAAATAATTGTGATAAACAATACGAAGAAACCATTTCCACGTAAATCAACCTATTAATTGAATACCTGTCTTAAGTTAGGATGCGGGTCTTTGTATATCCTAAGTAATTCATCCACTGTACATATCAGAAGTTCGGTACTGGTATTGCTGTATGGTACTTTATGTTCATTCGGTAGTGTTACCCAAGCATCTCGTCCTTCTGGATGAGCTTGCCCCTGTACACAGCAAATCAGAGCCTCTCCCAAAGTCAAATGAATCTCGACATCTTTTGTCTATAAAATGGACCAAAATACGTTCGTACTTTTACTCCCTTAGAAAAGCATGATTTCCAAAATACATTTCTCGTCTTGTATTTACCTCTTTAACTGTAGTAATTATTTTGCTAACTATATCTGAGGTATATGGAAAGTTTTCCCCTATGCATAAGTACCCTAGGGACAGGGCAGCATTTTCTTTAATCTGTAAACATTAAAATTATATATATTTTTTTCTTATAGTGTCGCTATATATATATATATATATATGTATACTTATAAAATTAATAGATCGCTCATTCTTTATCTTTACAAAACAGTACTGATATTTTAATAAGTGAAAAAAATTAAGTAGCTATTGAATTGTATTACCGAATTAAGAAACGAACCTTAGTGTTAAGTTTCACGTTATTTAATATAGAAAATAGCGTTTCTACAATTGCCTTTTTGTTCGATTCATCTTCGCCCATGTCAGGCAACGGTAAACTATAGGTTTTTCCCAAAGTACCGATATTTTGAACGGCAACATCCATTAACAAAATGGTACTGCTGCGAAGGAAGGTGCCTAAAAAAGAATATTTCTCAACTAGTGTTTGATGATTTCTTGTGATTCTACGTGTAACTCTATACGTACATATCATTTTTACAATGTTAATGTAAGTATTTAAATTGAACGAGCTCGTGCCATTTTTACTAGAAACTAATCTCCTCTCCATCATATACGTTAATGTCATTAATGCCCCGTGCTGTGCTTCCAAACTCTTCTTATTCGTAATGCTCATGATTTCCGAAATTTGGGCCTCGAAAACATTTTCAGGTAACGGAGCAGTTACCATGCCGTAAATTTTAGCAGCCAATTGTCTTACGTCTGATTTGGTAGATGCCAGTTGATTCTGTAGCCACTGTAACTCATTTTCGTAACTTTTCGTTACATATTCTGGAACGGAACCAATTACTTCCAGCAGAGCTTGTAGAGAACACTGATCTACATTAAACAATTAAAAGAAAGTTATTATCCCATAAAGTACATACAATTAATGTTATAATTAGAGCCAGTGAGTTTACCTGCAGAAGCATGGCTAAGAATTAAAACCATATCAAGATAATTATTCAAAGTTTCAGGCTGATTTTTATACAGATTTTTTAAATAACGTGCAATTAATGGTGTACTTTCGCAGGGATGCCGTAATGGTTCGTTGTATACAGCTACATTAGCACTTTTTGCTAAACAAATGCGAAGATAGTTAATTATCTGTAAATAAACAAAAAAAAAGAAAAGGAATTGGTTTTTCTGCCACATAAATTATTCTCGTCTTAAATCAATCACCTCTGTGAATACAGCGACACTGTAAGGAAGTACTTTACTGTCAACATTCGCTTTCCCGCTACTAGAAGTAGGCATTCTAGTCTGCATCTTCGAGTAAATATAAATAACAAGTTTTTGAAAATCTGGCAGCACAACTTGTTTACTATCCCATGTCTCGTTTTCATGTTTATTCAGACCACTGTATAAAACCTTTATAGCTTCTTTACTTATTTCATGTTTATTATCTCCAGATGCTAATAACAAAAGATAACGAGAAGGTGCATCATCGGATGGAAAAACATTAGCAGCATAATGCATGGCCACAAATCTATAAATCAAATAAGTAGTACATTAGCAAACGTAGTTAATGAGATGTAATTACCGAATAGTTTAAAATGGAACAAATTACCCAATTAATGTATACTTGCCTCACATGAGATTCCGGTGATTCGATATAGGCAGACAATAAATCATTCATCAAGGCTATATTTGTTTCATCCTCCTTATTAAGTACAAATGCAGACGTTACGGAAATTAGTGCATCGCGCACTGCCCTTCGTAACTCACCTTCTGTCTGAAATATCACGAACAATATAAAATAAGCTCTAAATTGACATTTCTAATAATGAATAACATAACATATATTCCTACCACGGATGAATTATAGAATACACTCAATATCTTACAGAATTTTGTGTCACATTCTATCTTTATTATCTATTACACCTTCTACAATTAAGAACAGTCGCTAATAAAATTAATTTTCAAATGTAAATTAGAATTGAAATGTGAATCTTGTTATATTCAATAACATTGCAATCTTATTAGCATTAATAATTGTAACAAAAAAGTACGTTGGACGTTAGATCTGTCTTGTGCCTCATTCGTGCTTCTACTTGTTCCTTATTTTATCACTACTTACCGACACGAGTTTGTCAAACATATCACGTAACAAACTTGAATCTTTGTTAATCAGAGAGGGAATTCTCTGTCCCAGCTGCCCAATAACAGTATACGCCATCACTATGTGACTCTCCTCACCTTCGGAGATTAATTTTATCATTCCGTTTAAAATAACACCAGCCACAAGTGCTAACGGTGTAAGGCTACACCTTGAAACATTATGTAAATATATTGTTACTATATATGAAAGTAATTAAAACTAAAAAAAAATACATAAAAGAATAGAAAATATCAAGCTTACTGCTGAACAATATTCGATGTAAACTGTAATGCCATTGATTTCAACCTTGGATTCGTATTGTATCCATAAAGTGTATCAAAAACTACCTGTATGCACGGGGGCATAATAAAACCAGCTTTGGTCACACGACACAGATAATGCAACAATTTCAATCGAATTCGAGTGCATGCAGGCAGTCGCTTCATTTCCGGCTTAACTTCTTTCTGAGTAGCCAAAGCATCGGTTCCCAGAAATAATGCGTACAGCGGAGATGCTAATTGCATCGAAGACCAATCCAATGTACTGTATATTTATAAAAAGAAAAAGTATTTAATACAAGGTATATGGTAGAATTTATTATAAATAGTGTAAGTATATCATACTTAATAATTTTTTTCAACTCCAAGTCTGCCAAATTAGCGACACTGAATCTAGTATCTGCAGCGGCTACTATCAAATGTGTAAGAATGTCCGAATCAGGAAAAAATCCTCCAGCCAGAAATTTCACAATTCCAAGTTTCGTTTGTTCGAGCTGTTCTGCTGTTGGAGGAGTTTCTCCTACCACGCGTTTGAAGCTATATTCGCTTAATCCTAACGGCACAGGAAATTGCGACCAATCAATTGCCTGACCTGACTGTTGGTTCTCTGTCTGCCCTACGGATCTAGGATAGTAATTTTTTATAGAATTAAATTGACCGCAATTGAATGGAATTATTGTATAACTATATAATAAATAATCTTACCCATAAGGTAATAACAATACATCAAGCATAAAATTGATTAACTGTTTCGCTACGTAAGGTTTATCTTGTAAGCCAAGAAGGGACGCCCGCTTATCTGGATCCATGGGAATATCAATATGACCCAATACAGGCATAATTATGAGCATCAAACTAAAAACATTTTCAGATATACACACATCCCTCTGGATTATTTCATTTACTCAGTTTGGCATTCGATAGTAAGCTATTAACGAACCTGTCTTGATGAGACAATGGTTTTCCTTCTATAGCATTCAATACACTTGGAACTAGGTTGGCTTGCCTATGCATCTCCATTCTAGGATATCCCAGTTTTATATATATAATTGTAAAATTCTGCAAACAAATGATAATTCATTCCTGTCCCATAAAAAAGAAAAAAATGTATTCATAATGACAATAAAGGTGACATACAATTACAAATGAACTAGCAGCTGGATCTTGATATTGTAATAATAGCGCCTCAACTGGTAGCTGAACTTGGGGCCTACTTTTTATTCTTTTATTTATATGAATTAACAACTCCATCACTTTTTTCCTGACACCTTCTTGGGAGCTGGATAATTTCAACAAAACTGGAGGCAAAAACTTGCATACTGATGTCTGCAACTGCTCATCAGTCTCTGTAGATCCCAATCGAAGAAACACTCGTTCCAACAAAACTTCCATGAAAAAAATTACAGATAAAGTAATTAATAAATGTGATATTGTAATATGATGAAATTAGTAGATTATAGATTTTGTAGATACAAATCATATATGGTCGTGCAAAACTTGTTATGATAAAAAATTGAGTAAAACTATATCTACTAAACAGAATAAATGAATTTTTATGTAATTTTATTTTCTGTAAATTAGATTATAACAAAATATATACTTGTATAACATTCCACAGTACAGAAATTACTAAAATATAATATTAGTGTACAGTTGAAAAGAATTGTTATCCCAATGCAAAAATACAAAGGAAAATGTTACAAAGAAATAAATGAAAAAGTAAGGTATGATGTCATTCAGTATTATTTAACTGACAGATCGAAATACGTGCAAAAAACAATACCGAAAAGAACACAGAAAGATAAGGTGAATTTCAAAATAGAAATTTGAATTGAAACTATAAAAAAAAGAAGCAATATATTTGAAGTTGCTTTCTGCAACAAGGCATGACAACTAACTTTCTTATATGAGCCACGATATGTTTGTAACTACTGTAACCGTCACTAATTTAGACTTCATTTAACAGTTAGCAGTAGAATTAATAATATGGTGCGTCTTGCAATCGAAACAAATTGTTCAAAACGAAATAATTTGAGTTTTTTCAAGGATTACTTACTCAGCTCATCCGTAGCGGCTGCCATTTTGGAATAATGTATCTTATAAGAGAAAGCGAATGACAACGGTCAACAACAAATATCAGCAGTCTTTAGTTAATTATACTGCATAAAATTATTCAAATTGATTAATTGTTGATGCACCGCATTTCTTTCTGTAATTCCACCTATTTTATGTTACAAACGATGAGGTTCCATTTTCAAAACGTGTTTTCGTAACATGAGAAAAAAAAATTTATATCATTCATTAGCAGATTATTTCAAAATATTTTCTATATTTTTAATGACAATACCATGAGAAACTTCTTTATAATTATAAAGTTGCTTATAGTGTTGCTGCGTATTACGGAGTTATAACCTATGTTACAATACACACACCATCACAAATATTACGTATATAAATAGGTGATATTACACACAATAAAATAATTGAATAAATGAAAAGGAATAATCAGAACTAAATAGATGAATGAATGCGTTTATTTCAATATGTAATTATAGTATCATATTGCACTGATCCAGAATGAACCGAAAACAATATGCATTTTGTTGTTGAAATTTGAAAGTAAAACACTTCATTAAGTGAGCTATCTCCAACAAAGATGCTATTGATATTATAAAGTGTGTTACTGATATTACAAAGTAAGTTAAACTTTAATGAACGATATGTGAAGCGTTAGCTTTCGTTACGAATTTAAATAGAACTCTTGTTAGGTTACTGGTCATTTCTAGAATTCAGATCTGAATGTGAAATAACCTATTCGTTATTAATTTTTTTATTCAAGTAAATATTAAATTGAAAATACAAAGGTGAATAAGTGATCAATTTTAAAAATGTACTTTTCAAAAGAGAAGATATTTAAAGAACAGTCACGAAGTTGTCTGGGATGATCGTCCAATCAATGAGTTCCAATTGATATCAACTACAACCTGTCGTCTGCTTACAGCTGTCCCTTTAACTTGAACCATGCTTCTGTTTTGGTGACCTTCAAAGTTCCTCTTTGTTGAATTAGAGGTCAAATTCGAACAAAATGCGTTAGTCTGAAATTTATTACAAAAATTAATTTATTGTGCGGTGAATTGCATTCAAAATACTTCCTTTGTCTCTCTGTAAAGGCATTTCGTTGGAATTCCGTTTCGCTTGATGTCTTTTCGTTTATACACATTTTTTTCTTGTTCTTTTGGAATGAGAATATAATATTTTTCGTATCGAAAAGTTAGCAGAGTATATAATAGTCAGGTATGAAAAACAAACTATGAGATATCTTCAGGAGAAAACTGTAATATGTGCTTACCAAAAAGTTGTTGCAACTATTTTACATTGCATGCTCCACTCACATGCGGGCAAAATATTATTAAGGATTTTGTTTGCTGTTATTAACCCATTATATACATATGAACCATATTGTTACAGATCAATCTTGTATCAATACATAATTAAGTTTCTAACAATCGTCGGATTGGTACATACGAAATATCCGATTTTATAATGATACATTATATTCCATTGAACTTTAAACTAATTTTGTTCATCTAAGCAAGATTTCTTACTTTTCTTAATCAGTATTATATGATAATATTTTCTTCTTATCAGTATTATAAATAACTTTAGACGGTATTAATTGTAATCCTTATCCCAACTGTTTAATATATTCAGAATAGCTACTATCAGTGTTTTAAATGAAGTTAGAGGAAGATTACAGTTTGATTTAAAGTTTCTAAGTGTATATACTCTATATAGTTTTAATCGAATTTCATTTCAATTTATTGTTTACCTTAATTTATTCTAAGCAGTCTTTAAATGGTTCTATTATTAAAACAAATAGTCTTTCGTAAAGAATATAAATGAGGCCATAATTTATAGTAAATATAATTTACATAATAAAGGTATGTTAATTCTACCAGTCAGTAATATGACACACCAACATAATATAATTGTGTTATAACAGCTTTATATACTTTTTATGAAATGTATGCAATATTAATGTTTATATATTTTTTTGTACATGTATATAATTGTATTGTATTAACCAATAATTCAGTTGGAATTTTTTTTTTTTAAGAAAATCTTTATACAAATGTATTTCTTGAAATAATTAAAAGAATGCAAGCAATGATAAATGATGTTACCACATTTTGAATTGTAATTACTTTGTATCTTTATATAGAAGTATAATGTCTATTGCAAGAACAAATAAAACAGTTTCCTAATGTAACAATTTGTTGTAATAAAACAGAATAGTAAATTATTAGTAATCAATACTGTTTCTTATTTTTCTTTTTTTTATTGTTCACTCATAAGAGATTAATATTCATTGCTATATATGTGTATTGAAAGTGATTAATGGCTTTTAATCTTCTTTTTTTTGTGTATAAATATCTTTGCATTTGTTGTAGGTAACAGACTAAATGGCCTTTGCTAAAATAAAAAAAACAAAAACAACTGTGATAAGAGCTGTGATAATATACGATTAATTTTAAAGAATTCATTTCCCTTAGTAACAAGCAGTTTCAGCTGTATGACTTCTTTAATTTGAGAATGGGTTCTGTGCTTGCAATAAGTAATTTTTTTCGAAATACATCAAGGGCACTAATCAGGAAGCTTAGGAGCATTCTTCAGAGCCTTTACAATTGCCACTACTTAAAATGTCTTTGCTATTATGTAAGTTTCAATAGATACGCTAATAGCTACTAATAACTCCTTGCATTTGTATCTTTTGTTGTGATTCGATAAGAGTACCATTATTTTATTTCATCATTATCGAACAATGCATTGTCTTTGTAACATTCAGTCAGTGTAATCATAATAACCCAATTAAAGGATGATCTGTAATACTTGAAGATATCATAAATACATACATTTAAATAAACAGTTAATTATGTATGTGATACATAAAGAGAAAAATTTCGTGTAATAAAATTGTAATTGTACACAAATTGAAAATCTTTTGCATCACCAAACTAACACTTGAAAGTTGAGATAATAGCGATAATAGTTTGTCTGCTAGAATCCGCTATGATTTGGCAGTGGATGTAAAATAGCAGTAATAATTGTACAATTAATACTGTGTGGTAGGAAGTCTGCTTCTGTCTGTAGTATTACAAAGAGGTAATCCAAGCATGTAGATGAGAATAGCTCAAGGCTTTATGCATGCTCATGCAGCAGAACTTTGTAATATAATATGCTTCTTGTACGCTCGGTAGCTGCTTTGTGCTGCTAACTTATATTAAGGGACTTGTGGCCTAAGTATTTATCCATTTACCACATCCCGCGTGTAAGTACTAATCTCCTGAGAAGTAATTTGTTTTATAAACATAATATGCGTGTGGTATCAAAGTTCCTACTAATTTAACAGCTTATAGTAAAGTTCCTACTAATTAACATATTTCTGTTTATTTAGTAATTCTTTCATTTCAGTGTAATCATTACTACAAAACCTGTTTCAGTTTAATGTTTACGATCTCAAAAAGTTCTGTGTCGCGTTATTAACAAAATTATTTAGCGGTATAATGTACTGTGTTATAAGATACACGTTGACAAAAGTGTAAAAATATACATTAAATAATACAAAACTTTTTTTTTATATTGTTATATATATTTATTATAATGTTGAAGAAAAGTTATTGTTCTGTTTGCAGGCAGTATCAGAGAATATGACAGAACACGTGTCATCGTCTCAAAGCCCTGACTCTGAACAGACGAGAGTCTTAACTTTAAACAATGGAGAACATCTTGATGGTATACTGTATAGATTAAGAAAAGGTATAATAAATTGATCGTGCTGTGCATCGTTTTGATACAAATAGTGTTTAAAACATAATTTCTTACAGGATGGAGAGTGGAGTTTCGATTAGGTTCTTCTCTGCTTGGGAAGACACTTGATTTATTCATAAATCATCCTTTAGGAGAAAATCAAAAATTCGAAAGACGTACATATTATCCACTGGAATGGACAAATGAAACGGCTAGCATATGTTTATCTCTAGCTGGTTCATTCCATTACTATCTTACGGATCCTAAGTGAGTATTAATACAGTGATTCCTCGATGAATGCGATACGAACCACAGCGTTGTTTCCACCACTGGGTGGGCCCCCCTCTGGAACCAATCAAAACAGAGTAAACAGAAGCTAAGCAGAGGCTCGGCTTCGTGCAAAAAAAAAGAAACAAATTTCTAAGGGGCTGAAAACCTTTCCTTCTTGCCAGAAATGCTGTGAAGCAGACCTAAATTCGTCGCACTCATCGAGACATTACTGAATGCACATAAAATTAAATGTGTCGCTATTTTAAATGTGTCAATCATTTTAGTTCTGACGGTGTAAAACCAATTGCTTCTGGGTACTTACTAGTTGATCCAGATCTTAAATTTGGTGACCATGGAGAAATCTTACCGTTAGATTGTATCCAGTGTCAAACTGTTCTGGCAAAATGTTTAGGACCTTTTTCCACATGGGAAGATAAGCTTTTAGTAGGTCGGAATTCTGGGTATAATGTGATCCATTTTACACCGATTCAGGTAATATCAATTTATATTGCAGTTTATTATTGTATATCGAGTCGACTTTTATATACATAAATACAATGTACATTGTTAAACTTACCGTTATGTTTCAGGAATTGGGATACTCAAAATCATCTTATAGCCTTAGTGATCAATTGAAATTGAACCCCTCCTTTAACGATGATGATAAGTCAGTTACATACGACGACATCGAAGGACTTACTAATAAAATGCGTAACGAATGGAATGTATGTAGCACAACTTCGTATACTCAAAATTGTTTCTTTTTTTTTTAAACATTATTCATTACAGATGTTGAGTATATGTGACATTGTCCTGAATCACACAGCGAACGAGAGTCCTTTCTTAGTGTCTCATCCAGAATGTACATATAATTGTTCGAATAGTCCTCATCTACGTCCTGCATATATTTTGGATGCAGCATTATTTGAATTGACGGTACAAGTGGCAGCTGGAGAATGGGAATTTAAGGGCATTCCTTGTGTAGTTGAAACCGAAGACCACCTAAATGTACAGCAAATCAATTATACTGATATTTATTAACGGGAACAGTTAACTGTATATACTGTTTTTACGTTTTCAGTCGATTCGTCATGCACTTCATACATACTTTTTACCGCTCGTGAAAATACATGAACTATACGTAGTGGACATCAACGAAACCATCGCTGAGTTTTTGAGCTTGGCACGAAATGAAATGCCTCAGGATATTATCGAACCAATATTGGAGGACGTTAAGGTGATACAAGATCCAAAATTCCGCAGATTAAAGGCAACTATAAATATGCAGCTTGCGTTACAAAAATATAATATATACAGGTAAATTATTTCAAGATTACAGTATAATTAAAAATGTTTAATTACACCTTGTTTATTACATTATCACAGAGCTGATTGTTTCGACGAGGAGACTCGTTTAAAACGTTGTGCGGAGGACTTGAGGAAAAAGTTACAGGAGCTTAATGATGTGATTGTTAACGAAGTACAAAATCATTTGAACGCTGCGATTGAGAATACAGTCGCTGGTATAAGATACTTTAGAGTGCAACATGATGGACCAAGGCTCAAAGAAATAAGCGAAAGAAACCCACTTGTTCCTAGGTGCTTCACTCTTTAAAAAACTTGTACTACTTCTGTACCATCTAAGAGAATGTTTTGAACAAGTAGTAAATTATCATTACAACTACAATGAAATTTCAGATATTTCACTGATTATGGGACGCCTCAAACATTAACGGAAAGAGAAGCAACAATGTACTCAGACGCAGGATGCTATCTCATGGTTCATAATGGATGGGTCATGAATGGTGATCCTCTGAAGAATTTTGCCGATCCAGATTCAAATGTCTATGTAAGAAGAGAGCTGATTGCCTGGGGTGACAGTGTAAAATTAAGGTAATGTAATCGTCGTTGGCATGTTAGTATTAGATTTCAGATGTTCGTACAAATTTCCATTTTTATAGACGAATTTACAGAAACGAATATTAACCAAATTTTTTTTTTCATTGAGGGTTTTAATCTGCTTTGCACATTTATGTAAGCAGTAAATGAAATTCAACTGCTATTATCAATCAATGATATACTACATATATTCTAGATATGGAGATAAACCAGAAGATTGTCCGTTCTTATGGCAACACATGACCACTTATGTCGAGCAGACAGCTAAAATATTCGACGGTATACGTTTGGACAACTGCCATTCAACGCCTATTCCAGTTGCAGAGGTACACATTATAAACCAACGAATCGATAATATTGAAATTCTTATTAATTTTTCAAATTTTGTAGTATATGCTCGATGTTGCCCGTCGGGTCCGTCCAGATTTGTACGTGGTTGCAGAGTTATTCACTAATTCTGATCAAAAAGATAATATTTTTGTGAATCGTCTCGGCATCACCTCTCTAATTCGGGGTATGTGGATTTATTTTTTCGCTTTACAATGCTTTTATGACAAAGGATGGTATGGAATTTTTTGGTGATCTTTTGAAACAGAAGCCATGTCTGCATGGGACAGTCACGAGGAAGGCCGATTGGTGTACAGATACGGAGGTGAACCGGTCGGAGCATTCTTGCAGCCACGTAAACGGCCTTTGGTACCGAGCATAGCACACGCGCTTTTCTTAGATTTAACTCATGACAATCCCAGCCCCGTGGAAAAGCGTAGTGCATTTGACTTACTTCCGAGTGCTGCGCTTGTATCGATGGCAGCGTGTGCCAGTGGCAGCAACCGTGGATATGATGAACTAGTTCCTCATCATGTAAGCATCTTAAGATGGTATATTCGATCAGTAGAAAGGTTTCTTAATAACACTGTCGAACAAATTTAAACTTTTCTTCTGATCTGCAAGATCCATTTGAAGATCCTTAGAGTTTCTTGTCCAGATTACGAATTCGGAAGCAGAATTTCTCCATATGTCTCAGTTTTTGAAAACCACGAGCTTTTGTAAAAACACCTGATTTTGGGCAAAAATGACGTATCGCGGGAAAGCTGCGAACGCTACAAAGTTCAATTTAACCTTGAAAGATAGAGAAGAGTTTTCTGAATATAGTAGTGTATACAGTTTTATAACTGTATACAGTAATGTCTCGATGAGTGCGACGTAGTCGGGTCCGCTTCGGAGCATTCATGGCAAAACGGAAAGATTTTCAGCCCCTCATAAATTTGTTTTTTATCTGAAGCCAAGCCTCTGCTTAGCTTCTGTTTCCTTTGTTTTGATTGATTTCAGAGGGGGACCCTCTCTCCCCAGTGGTGGAAATAACGTCGTTGCTCCTATCGCATTCATTGAGGAATCACTGTACACTGCTATATTTAGAAAACTCTCCTCTATCTTCCAAGGTTAAATTGAACTTTCTAGCGTTTTTGATTTTCACGTAATACATACGTCATTTTTAGCGAAATATCGAGGGTTTTTACAAAAGCTCATGTTCTCATGTGATCTGGACGAAAAACCCAATAAGGATCTCCCAATGAATATTGCAGATAAAAAATCTGAACAGTGTAATTGAAATTTGATTAATTCTAACAGATACACGTAGTAGATGAAACAAGACAATATGCTTCCTGGACAGATGACGAAGATCTGGTGGATGGTGTTGGGCTTGTAGGTCTGAAGACCGGTATAATTGCAGGGAAGAAAGCGTTGAATGAATTGCATTATACTCTTGGACAACAGAAGTTTTCTCAAGTATGTCGATGCTTGTTTTACGGTAATATCGATTTGACACGGATTATAAATAATTTAATGTTACGGACGATAATTACAGGTTTTCGTTGACCAAATGGACACTGATGTGGTAGCTGTGACAAGACACTCCCCTACGACACACGATAGTGTAGTTTTAGTTGCCTTCACAGCTTTCAAACATCCAGATCCTAATGCTAATGATTTGAGACGACACGTCAAACCGTTGCGTGTAGAAGGTGTGGTGGAGGAAATCATTTTAGAAGCATCTCTATCTCATACGGGAGTAAAGTAAGAAGATTCGATATTTTTTTATACTCCTTGGTAGATGTTTCAATGTCACATTCACGCCAGATATTGGTTTCAGGAATGGAACTTCGCCTTTTCATTATCCAGAGAAATATACGCGCGATGAAACTTACATAAACGGTCTGTTTGAATATGTGTTAAGTTTGAAGGAGCATATACAAATTTGCGATTCAGAAGTATTTGAGAAAGTCGATTCTGGAGACCCGAAGATCACTCAACTGAATTTCGTAAACTTCCAACCGGGCTCCATCATCGCTATTCGGTAATCCTACTCTATATACTGGCCCTCTACAACATTTTCATAGAGGTTCGTTTGTTAATTTATCTTTTTCATTTCAGTGTATCACTTCATGCCAATATAAAGCCTGCTCTTGCAAAACTGCACAACACTATCTCAATAATAACATCGTCGAAGAGCTCTGATTTACGCGTCGTAGCTTCTCGTATGGATTTAGTGGATTTAAATAAGGCTTTGTACAGGTGTGATCAAGAGGAACGCGATGAAACTTCAAACCGATTCGGCGTGTATGATATTCCTGGATACGGGCCACTTGTTTATGCAGGATTGCAAGGTGAATGTTTTAATATTTCCATAATTCATCGATTACAATAATTAAGGGATATTTGTTTATTTTTAGGCATTATTTCTCTATTAGCGGATATTCGTCCAAATAACGATTTAGGTCATCCAATGTGTATTAATCTCAGACAGGGTAATTGGATGATAGGTAAATATAATCAACTTATTATTTATTTCTAAAACAGATACGATATTTAATTATGTCTATATATGCAGACTACACGTGGCAGCGACTAAAAGAAGACGATGGAACTAGAGCTCTTGGAGAATGGCTGGAAGAAGCCACTGAACCATTTAAACTAATACCTCGGTATTTAGTACCTAGTTACTTTGATGTCATAGTTGTAAATGCTTATATGATTCTCCTGGAACAGTCCTACAGCTTAATGTCAAGGTATATAGTTAAATATATTAATATATTATATTTTTTATATTCACATTTAATAAACGATTGCTATACGATGTTAGCTTCGTGAAGGATGGCTCCACTTTCATCAAAATGCTATCGCTAATTTCAATACAAATGGGAGGCGTGGTAAAATCATCTCCGTTACCGGATCTGTCGCCCAATTTAGATTCTCCAAAGCCAACGATTAAACAATATAACGGAGAAAGTGAACAGATATGCGTAACATTATCCGCTGGTTTGCCACACTTCACGACCGGTTACATGAGAAACTGGGGAAGAGACACCTTCATTGCTCTCAGAGGGTTGCTCATATTAACAGGCCGATACACCGAAGCAAGATTCATCATTCTTGGTTACGCGGGAACTTTACGACATGGTTTGATTCCTAATCTCCTTGACAAAGGAAAGAACGCCCGGTGAGGAATCGACTCGTCGATATAGTAGATATTTAACAGACGATTTGAGGAATAACCAAAACATTTTGTATTATAAAATATCTTTTAGATACAATTGCCGGGATGCTTTGTGGTGGTGGTTATATACAATTCAGTGTTATATACAGGAAGTACCGAACGGTTTGAAAATTTTAACCGATAAAGTCTCCAGATTGTTCCCATCTGATGATTCGTCGGCATTACCTGCAGGAGACGTAGTACGTACAAGAACTTTATTCTTAAAAAGTTCCCAAATCTATGTATTTCGTGTTATATATATAGATTTGAAAATATATAGGTTTAATATATCTAGATTTGAAAACACATTTTCAGGATCAACCATTGCACGATGTTATCCAAGAAGCTCTCTTGGTGCACTTCCAAGGGCTCTGCTTCCGAGAAAGGAACGCTGGAAGACAAATCGACGAACATATGACCGATCGTGGTTTTAATAATCAAATTGGAGTACAACCAGAGACTGGATTTATATTTGGTGGCAATGAAGCAAATTGTGGCACATGGATGGACAAAATGGGATCCTCTGAAAAGGCCGGTAATAAAGGAAAACCTGCCACACCAAGGGACGGTTCAGTTGTCGAAATAGTGGGCCTCAGCAAGAGTATTTTGAGCTTCTTGGCGGAACTGTACAAACAAAACCTTTTCCCCTATGGCAGTGTACAACGGAAGAACCGCGATGGTAAGAAAAATTTCACTATTTACTTTATTACTATCTTCATTTTCAATAACAGTGTGAATATTTCATAGGGTCTGTTATCACATGGAGTTACAAACAATGGGCAGACAAGATTTCGTTGAATTTCGAAAAATACTTTTATGTCAATGAAACACCGGTTGAGAATGAATTAAAGCCAGAACTAATCCATCGTCGTGGAATTTATAAAGACAGTCACGGGGCAACTCAAGCATGGGCGGATTATCAGTTGCGACCGAACTATCCCATTGCAATGGTGGTTGTAAGTATTGCAATTTTCAGGGTATTTTTTTAACGAGCTATGAAATAAATTTTAAATGCATAATATATTATTCTAATCTGAAAAGGCTCCAGAATTATTTAATCCACAACACGCATGGGCAGCATTGAGAAAAGGGGAAGAAATTTTGTTAGGGCCGCTTGGAATGAAGACATTAGATCCTGCTGACTGGGCATACGATGGATACTATGATAACTCTAACGACAGTGGAGACACTAAGTTAGCTCATGGGTGGAATTACCATCAAGGCCCTGTAAATAACGTTTTAAGATGTATATATACATAATCCTAAAGTATCTTGAGGTATAAATAATATAATATATTGTATTCAACAGGAATGGCTTTGGCCTCTAGGGTATTTCCTTCGGGCTCGACTATACTTTGCTCCATTAGTCGGTGGAAAAGAGGAATTACTCCGTACCATCGAATCGACTGAAACTATTATTTCTCGACATTTCATAGAGGTTTCCACAAATCATTGGAGAGGTCTTCCTGAACTGACCAACAAAGATGGCGAATATTGTAAGGACAGCTGCAGAACCCAGGCTTGGAGCGCTGCAACTATACTAGAGGTTTCTATATTTTCATCGTATAAATATTAGCGAATAATAATACAATTCGCTATATCTTTCTTTTTTATGTCCGATTTCAGGTTCTCTATGATTTAAATAAAATAAAAGGAGAGTTACGATCCGAGGAGACCGAGAGAACGAATTGATACAATTTTGCGTGTGTTCACCACCGCCAGTTACACTTAGAACATTTACGACTAGAGGACGAACATAGACGTAGAACTACGGAACACGATGACAAGTTGCACCTGTCGAACACTGTCCTAGGAACAGAACGCACGGAGACACACGCATATGGTATATCGCACGTAGAAAATATAACTATACCGCCGTGCAAATTTCTAATAACCGATACGATTTCAACGAACGACGGCTTGTTCTCGATTCAAGAGTCTGACGAAAACGAAAACCAATCGGACATCAAGCACGAATACGTATCTCCTACTTATCTTAGTAATTTAGAGGCAATCGAAACGTTAAGTACCACAGGCCATTCAACGATACCAGGAGGCGATGTTCAGTTATCAGCGCAAGTTGTCTATGGAAACGAATCCATGAAATACCCAAATAACTTCCCAGACGAACTAACCGATCAAAGTAATATAGTTGTAAAAGAAACCATAGAAGACAATAACAGGAATAGAAAATATTTATCAAAAACAGATCATGTTTACGAAGAAGTGAACGCATTCGAGTGTGATATAATGGATTATTACGAAAAGTATAGTCCAACCACGGCCAAGACTTTAATAAATACGCTTCTGCTTCCTCGCCAAAAGATTTGCAAACAATGCGCCAGCTTGCCGAACAGTCCAGTTTATTCTGACCGGTTAATATATGGAAAGAAACCATTGTACGCCAGGGAGGTACAATTGTTCGAACAAAATGACACTATATGCTTTAAATATTGCCCGGAGAATGGTAAACATGATAATACTCTATTGTTTTCGCAGTACGATGACACTGGAGATCGCTTATTAGTTCATGCTTGCGTTAAAACTAATGCATCTAGTATATTTTATTTTTACGCGCCAACGAGAGATTTTTTCGATTTAAAAACATCGTTAACACCGGATATTTTTCTCGCCAGTGATCAGACAAAGGGGATCGTTAATACAGGATTATATCATCGTTCTGCGAGCAATTTTTATACAAGAATGTCTAATAGCGGCGTTGCACCTGCATTTCGTGTAAATCACAATAATATTCTGAGCACCATAAAACACGTTGGATACGACACCGATTTGCAAAACTGGATGAACTATCGTAACGATATGTCCCGATCACATGGTTTCAAGCAAGACGACACGATCGAACATCGGGCAAACAGATCGAGTTTGTTATTATTAGAACCACTATTGCTAATGCCGGAGTTAACGAGCCCTATTTTAGCGACCATTACGTTTTACATAGTTTACTTTACTTGATAATTATATGGGACGTAGAGGCATGTTCTGTTACTTAAATTTTGATATTAATAATAATGTGGAAATTATATTTAGTAGCATTAAAGGATGTTCCTACTTTAGGTTTGAAAAAGAAAAATTCAATTTCTATGGAATACGATTTCTAGGTATAAGAATTTTCGAGAATGCGTCTCTGAAATTCAGTAAAATAATGAAATCCATGATATTTAAAGAAAGCAGCTGCCACGTCAAAATCTGATCGAGGAAACTTTTAATGAAATTTTCCTCGAAAACTGGTACAATAATTGATTTTTCATCATTGAAATCGGAGCAAGCCGCATCTTGTAAATCCTAAAATAGGAAAAACCCTTTAATTGAAAAAAAGAACAATTTTAATTTACTAACATTTGTTCGGAAAAAACGTATAACGAATTCAAGATTTACTGCTGTATTGCGTATTATAATCATTGTTATAGTTTGTTGTTCCTATTTAAAATTTAATATATTTCTTCTGCTTCAGCATAATTGTGTAGGGTGTATTTGTATTTCATTGGGAACTTTGAATACTTACCAAAAATTTTACCAGAAACATAATAGTGCGAAATTGTAAAACACAAGAAAACCGATTAAATATAACTTGAAATAAAAATGGCAAGATTTGTAAACATATGTCTTGCTTTGTATTCTTTATACATTCTTAAAATTGTACAAATATTGTTAACAAATGCAAATCAAATAGTACATTTCGGAAGATAGAAAAAAGATTGTTGATACTTGTTTTTTTTTCATATATTCTGTGTTACTTTTGCACGTATATTTCAGACGCACATTTTCATAACTGTTGTTATATCTGTATGAAATTTTTGCAATAAAATTGATATACATAATCTCATTTTGCATAATAGTGAAATCATTATTGAATTTCTCCTTCTTTTAGCTCTGTTGGTTACTCCTTTATGTGTTTCATATAATATAAAATAAAGTAGTTTAATGAATATAATATAAGATGCATGTATAATACAGAATGATAACTAAATTTCGCTATAAGTTATTAATCAGATAACACAAATATTGGCCTATTATTTACAAAGAATTTAATTGCCACCAAAGCAAATAAAATTCTACTTACACAGTACTTAGAATATACAGCATTCGTTAAGCATAAATATAACTTTAAAATCTTTTGAAACTTTAAAATAACAACACTGAACGGTTATCGTTTGTAACAAAGATAAATCACCGTTTGCACCATAAATATGCAAATAATTTCATTCTTATGAAATATAAATATAATCATGTGGGTAATATTCACTTCAATATTATAAGAATTATAAGAACCTGCTTATATACGATTATATAATGATATAATTAAATATACCTACTATTTGTGGTGAAACAATACGTCATTTCTGTTTCTCATAATGTGCAATGTTAATAGCACGCATAAATATTAAAAACGACTACTCCTCTATTTTTATTTTATTATACCTTAAACAATGTGCAATTTTCTGTGAAGGAATTTATACATAAGAACCATACACAGAATCGAGTTGTTTTACATAAAAAAAAACGAAATTGAGACAGTAGTGATCATAATTTACGTACTTCGATTTTTTCATTGGAATAATTTACCACAGTAATAAATAGTTTATGTTTATTTATATACTTTAAGCATTCATTGTTAAAAATATATCAAATACTGTATGAAAGTTAACACTTTATGTCTGCTTAGTAAAACTATTTCTACGATCCTTTTACTCCTACATAATTAATTACCCATTATTATTATTATCTTGATAGAGATAAAAATTCTTCGGTAATGCAAATGTACAAACACGAATGAAGTAAATCAACTTTCCAAGAGTATCAGTGACGAAACTATATGTATAGATGACACATTTATTTGATTAAAGTTTAATAATAAGCACTGAGAGTATGTGGATTGAAAATTCTTTTAATCGTATTTCTTGAAATAATTGCACTGATACTGTATTAATAATAATATAACTTTACACTATCTGTACCATTCAAACGTACAATTATATTCACAACCTCTGCATTAAAAAACTCTATGTATGTACCAGAAGTAGATGGATTAAATCTGAGTATTGTTAACTACAAGTATGTTCGTATAGTAATTCATCGCTAAATATATACTAAATAGCATTGGCTCAATTTTTAAATATCGTCAAACAATCCTCTCGGCGGTGGTCCCACGCGATTGGTGTTTGTGGTAAATGCTCTTGCATTATCTATACGCTCGTCATAAAAATCATCTACCTGATAGTCTCTATCGTAACTGTTATTTGCACCATAACTATCGACACCAGAAGTCATTCCGATGTAATAATCCGTAGGATCAAAATCACGTAGTAGCCCGGCCCTAGCCGATTCTACTGACTCATCTCGTTTTAACGGTCGTACTGTAATAAATAAAATGTAAGGTATCACTTATCTTTAAAAAAAATGCAATAATAGTCATAAGAAACGGAACATTTAAATCGGAGCTGCGTTGTGCTATAAATATAATTTATATACAGGGTGTCCCAAAATAGCTTCGACTGCTAGAAATGAAGGGCTCCTCGGATAATTTGAAATAACTTTTTCCTTAGCGAAAATGTTAACAAAGCTGTTTCAAGTCAGTCAAAGTTATTTTGAGACACCCTGTAAACACTAAGGTGGGGACACTCGAGCTATTTAGCAATCGGAGGACCATAGTGGGGGTAACCCGGGAGCATCAGTTGCGCTACTCTGACCTAAAGTAATATTCATTGTCAAATGTGATAATATAAAAGAGTAAATAAGAAAAATTGTTATATTTTTGAGCTGTTAAAATCATTAGTGATTCTTTAAATGAAACTATATTGTATCTTTATCCTTTGAGTTTTGTAGCTTGTATCACGATGAAGTGAACCATCATATATTATGATACAAAGAACGAAAATTTAACAGTCTACGAAAACATCGAATACTATCATGAAATATGTTCAGGTGTTCTGATTCTCGTAATTAATCTTGTATGTACTGCATACCTGTATCTGTACTTTGTCGCGACGTCCTGTAACGAGACGAGGTTCCAGTGCTACTAAATCTTTCTTGAAACTCACGCCTTCTACACATTGAGTCTTCTGCCCTTTGTCGTTTGCGTCTCTCTGAGAGTGACACAAATACAGATATATAGAAATAAAAATCTTGAAAATAAATACGAGTTGCAACGCTAAAATTTCGATGATAATTCATTTAAAAATTTTATTTTGAAAATTAAATAAATGTAACACAAAGCCACCCACTGTACACATACATTCTAGCGTCGGATCCATTGATCGTAAAACCGTTACGTCCCCTTTAACGGAAACAAAATTATTCTCGAAACTTTATTGTCACACCACGTATAAATGTTAACCTCACCTCGCTTTATCAATTCTCGACCTTCTTCGACAAGATCTGTTGTGAACTCATCATCGTCAAGAAACTGTTGGAAACCTAACATAGAAAGTAATCTACTTCCTAGGCTGAAATATGTTGCTAGGCAAAATGCTAAAATAGCCATCGGAAAGTACACGTTAAATCCATCGGATATAATGGAAATAACATCCATATGACCCATTACCTGCATTCAAAAATTGTAGAATGTGTTATGTCAATAACAAGGATGCAGATATTACTTTATCGATGTAATTCTACTTACCTGCGTGTAATGAGTTTCCAGTATATGAGTTTTTATAATGTGCGAATCCATATGAATAAGACCCAAGAAATTTAAACACATCGGTGGCATTAAACGACACAACATCATACCGCTAAATATTAAACTGTATTCGTTAGTTTGATGATGTGGCGCCAGATAATACAAATTCAAGACGCGAATTTTTAAGACAGTCGAATAAGCACAATAACACAGATACGCAATTATCAGCATTGACAGTAACTGAAAAAGAATATGACAATTTTCAAAATTCAATATTAAATTAAAGTCCGATGATTGTTCATTCTCACCTCAATTGTAAAATAATCATAATTCTTCCTGGCTAAATTCAAGAACTGAGCGAACAACGATAGCACTGGAGATTTGTTGAAGAAAGTAACTTCTGACCATACAACAGCTACCGAAAGGCAACCAGCAGTAATAGCTGCTATTTTTTGGACGTAACTCTTTACGAAACATTTCCAATACCACTCTGAAAATTTTCAGAAGTTGCATACATCAAATAAAGGTTTTACATGTATCAGTACTGTGCCCATACCAATAACTGGATTATAAATAACACGAAGTGGAAACGAACGATGTGCGGGAAAAGTTGGTTTAAATCTTCTGTCATGACTTTCTTGATTCTTTGCTATATCTTCCAAATCAATTATTTTATTAACCAAGATTCCCCATTGTGTTTCTATGCGTTGTAAAGTTTGCAGTGCTTTTATAGTCTAAGAAAGGAAAAGGAACATTAATATTTACGTACATATAAAGGCACAAATATGGTGTCTTTTGATTGTACAAACTTGTCTATGTAGACGAATCAATGATTTTTCAGATGGTGTATCTATCGGTGTATCATCGGGTAACTGCCTCCGGTTCATTCTATCCTTCAACTCTGCGGGGATCTTTTGGAAAATTGTCTCCAAGTTGCAGTGAAATGGATGTCCCGGTCCAATAGACACTGCAGCAGCTTGCAGCGACTAAACAAGATGATAAATTGCATTAAACAACATTACAGATATAAAGAAAAATGATTGTACACACATTGTCCGGAATATTACCTCGAGTATATCATCCACTGTTTCCTCTGCCTCGCACTTGTCTAAACTTAACTTAGCAACTTTAAAGTAGCTATAATTTAAAGTGTATCCAGGTTTGCTGGCATTCCATAATCCACGAGGGACTTCTACGAGCGCGTATCCGAGAAGCAGTACCAACAAAAACAAACCCCACGTATTTGATGCGGATGATGCTATGGCCTTCAGCTTTTGCCTATAAAATTTAGAATCGGATGAATGCTATAGATGAAACAAATACAGTGATTAACGTAGAAAAGAAACTTAACACAGAAAAAGCAGTAGGAACCATAAAATTAACTTCTTTCATAAGAAATTTTCTTTGAACAGACTATCAAATATGCACAAACTGCTGTGTACAGGTGGTGAAATGTTGTGTCTCGTAAATAGATGCAACTGTTTACAAAGATTGATATGGTAAAAAAAAATGTGTGCACAGTGATTTAAAATTTCAGATTGCTTGAATCTTTGGCAAACTGTTTACTTTAGATTTACCAAGAAATGGTTCTAAATTTGGTGCATAATCGATTTCTGTTCATATGTATATAAGTCCTAAACATCTATTTTTAGACCAACAGCCAATAGTGTGTTAAGAGAAGTTGAGTTATTTGTATAGTTGTATGACATTAATACACGATATTTACCCATCAAGATCTAAACCAGGTTTTAATGCTATATATATTAGCAGAACGCCACATATGAACAAATAACTTCCATAATATATAGCATTATCAATCAAGGCAGACTTCAGTTTTCCTTGGACAGTAAAATCCCCTGCCTTTATATAAGACTGCATGAGCGGTAATATTAACCATGTTAAACACTGTGAAGTCCAATATACAATTCTCCATAAGTTTAGAAATACATTTTCCGGAACATTAGGCCAAGGTTCCTTGCAAGTATGAGATGGTATTGCTGTTGTACCATCAGGACTCCCTTTAGTGGTATTATGAATGTTTTGTTCTACACATTGTCTAAAAACAGTCTGCAAAGATATTCATTAACATTAACTTTCAACATTAAATTACATCATAGAAGCTTTTCAATATAACTCTACTTACAGATGAAACATCCAAAGGTAATATAAATATTATCAGCAGTGAGAAGTACCATGCTATGAGCACAGAAATTGTAACAAAAATGTGATGTCGAAAAATATTCCCATATTTATATAATAAAGTCGCAGCAAAGCAAAATGCTAATAGAATATCTATCAAGAGTGCTCCTGGAATCATTTTGTATACGTTTTTTAAAACCACTATACAATAGACTTATTACATGTCTTTTTCTCCGATTCTCAAATCCTATTCATTATTTTCTGCCTTGTCCTCTCCATCCGAAGCTTCTTTGATCTTTAACTCAGCATCCCTTTGCATTCTTTCCAACTTTTCCAATGTAATCGACTTTAATGGAATTAACTTGGGTTTACAAAGTATGTAATCCAGATTTTCTTCCTGATACAGCAAGCCTTGCTGTGGAAGGACAATGTCAATCTTTTCTGCAGAAGTGTTTGTTACTTCTGACATTTTTGCTGAAACTGCAAGAAATCTGTGATAGTATAAAAAACATTTATATGTCTATCGTCAATGAAACTTCCATTCAAACGTCTATGTTTACGTGATTTAGAGAAAGGCTACAAACTCTAAACTAATTCATATGAGAATTCATCATTTCCCAGACACAAATCATTAAACATTCAATACTGTAGCGATCATAGCGATTTTCTTGAAAATAAAAGTAATATAAAAACATAACAGTTGCAAGTAAAAGTACCGAATAAAATCTAGCAGAATGCTATTCACGATCGTGTTTCGTGTCTCTACTTTGACGACAATGTCGCTTACGTTTCACACTGCCCACGTTTACATTTTAACATATGTACTTTTAGCGTCGAGAAATTCAATATTACCATTTCCTTATGGTCATAATTGTTAGATATACACTTGCGATATCGTAGAAAGTATCGACGTCACATGAACACCATCAAGTGATCAAGTTGGATCAAGTCAAATTCATTGTCATTCATAAACGATTAAGTTGGATTAAGAAGAATGCATCTGGGTGCATTCAGGTGCATTATTGGACAATTTGGACAATATGCATATATTTTATGACGATACACATACTAGTAACCTTAGTAACCACACAATTCACCACCAGATGGCTACGAATAGAAATCAACGTATGTAACTCTTGTCAACTTTTGTTAGTGCTATACTTGACATTTAAATTTGGAAATCCCAATGGATCCCAACTTTATTTATTGACCTTCAGGAAGGTCATCAATAAATTTATCTGGATAAATTTATTTTTTATCTGGATAATTCTGGTTATTTATCTGGACAATTCTGATTTTTCCGCAAACAATCCACGTTCAAATAAAAACTTCAGTTTGCTCATAGGGATACTTAAGGGAATACTCCAATACAACTTTGGAATATTTCCTTGTCTAAATTGAAAGTAATAAGTAAACATTTAGCAATATTCTTTTGAGAATCAAATTTTTTAGAAATTTTCAGTAAACAACTTGTTAAAACCCTATAAGTTTATGAAACAAAAAACAAAAATGCATATGAGCGTGACCACCAAATGTTCTAATTAGGCCACCAATGACCACCAATCGACCACCAATGAATTGGGTATAATGAACATTAAAAAGTCATAATTGCCCGGCTAACTTCACAGAGGTAATATCTCGTTAATAAAGCTTCGAAAAACTTTTCGCTAACGAAAAAGTTGTTTAAAATCACCCCAGGAATCACCTCTTTCAAGAATTTACAACTATTTTGGGATGCCTTTTGTATAATTCAACCTCATTTCGTAAGAATATAGTGATTTCAGAACAGCCTGAAATAAAGAACTACATTCATACAGAAAAGTTATAATTTTTTCTAATAATCGTTAATATTTTTCTTGTCGGATAGTTTGTAAGATAAGATAACTTTTCTAATACAGCTTGCAACGATTATGTATATGTACATACACAATCTTGTCATTCTATTAGCGGTCATGAAGTTGTTGATGTTTTTTCATTCGGTAACTATAAATACGCTGGTCAGACTGTTGTTTAGTCACCTATCGATGGGAAGAACCTTTTTGGAATATTTGCGTGCGTGGACCATTCGATTGTAAGTACCTATTTAAATGCATGAAAAGGTATTTATTACACTGTGCTATTGTTTCGACTCTAATTGGAATTATATCATTGCATAATAAAGACAGTAAGTATCACATTAGTAATGATTTTAATTATTCTTGATAGTATATTAAGAGTTTTTAACATTTTATTATATGTTGGGTGAAACATTTATATGTTCAAGGTGTGAAATTAATTATAATAATATCATTGGGATAAGATTTGAAATATGGCAAAGGATATGAAATGTAAGAACAGGAGAACACCTATTGGAGTAAGCACGTAAGTAAAATTGTTTTATAATAATATTATGAAACAGACGTTACTTATCACTCACACATAATCGATGATGTAGTTCTGAATTATTAGTCAATGACATGTTTAACTAAAATTAATGTCTTGCTTATTTTTAGACATTGTACCAGTTATGGTATACCAAAACAATTGCTATTACAACATTTTGAACCACCTCCTAGTTTGAAAAAGGCTCTAAGGGGAGTTACACATGCTACAGAGTATACACAATTTATTAATAGTCTTCCACATGTGAAAAAAATAAAGCCTGAAAACTATTTGGTATTATTTAAAATTTTATTATACTTGGAACACCATGAACTTCAATTAATTGTAGACAAGCATAATTTAAGGAATCAAATACTCGAAAAAGTTGATGATAAATTTGTTATCACTGTACCTACTCTAGATGAAGATGATCCATTTCTTATTATTGGTGATAAAGTGAAACTTCAAACTGTAGGTGGATATTATTCATATTATGCTAAGATAGTATACATTGAAAGAAAACAAGTATATGTTACTATAAAAAATCCGTGAGTGAATATAAATTATTTCTGAATTATTAAAATACAAAGTCTGGATTATATTCTTTATATAAATAATAATAGTCAATTTCTAAAAATTATTCAGGAAGTTTGCAGAACAATTTTCAGAGTTAACTAGAGTTAACATTAAGTTTATTGCCTCAAACTGGCCATTCAAGTGTTGCCATTATGTTTTACACATCATATCAAAACATAATTTAATCAATTTACTGTATCCTGCTATAAGTGCAAAGTATAATTCCTCATTAGGAGAGTATGTTTTCTTTAAACTGTGAATTACCTTTCTATATTTATATTTTTACATTTATATTATACTTTCATTTAATTATATTACAATACAGTGACTTTGATTGGGTACAAGAAAGTGTTGCGAGGAATCCAGAACAGAAACAGGCAGTTATTAATATTGTAAATCGTACAGCATATCCGGCACCATACATACTATTTGGTCCGCCTGGCACTGGAAAAACAACAACATTAGTTGAAGCCATTTGTCAGGTATAATTCAGAATAATCTATAATACACTGTACGATATTAAAATTCACCTTCATTATAGATTAGAAAGAAGCATAAGTCTAAACATATTTTAGTCTGTGCATCTTCGAATGCAGCAGCAGATGAAATAGCAAAACGATTACTAGCATTAATTCCAAATAAAGACGTGTTTAGGATGTATGCACCATCTCAACATTGGTAAGACACTTGTTTCTACAAACAATGATTTCTTTACCATCTTTTTGTTTCCTTTATACATAGGAAGAACATAGACGACACTATTGTTTCTTGTTCAAACTTCATCGATGACATAATCATTTTCTTGCCAAAAGATCTTCTCATTTTGAAAAAAATAGTTATTGCAACACACGTGACATGTTCAAGGTATATTTTCAGTTTGTTTTTGTTGATACTAGGTCTGGTAATGATAATAATAATACAAATAATATATACAACTTGTTCACAGAATGATAAAACTTAATTTACGAAGTGATCATTTTTCTTATATATTCATCGATGAAGCGAGCCAAAGCCTAGAATTGGAATCAATGATTCCAATTACTTTGGCAAGCACAACAAATAATAATGGTCAAGGAATATTAAATGCTCAAATTATTCTTGCTGGTGATCCTCATCAGTTAGGGCCTGTTGTTCGATGTAAAAAAATTGAACACCTGCTGGGTGAGTACAAATTGCCAATTTTAAAAAGTCTACTTGAATAAGTATTACCATCAACTTGTTATTCGATTTAATTTTCAGGAAAATCAATGTTAGAAAGATTAATGGAATGCAAACCGTACCAAAAAATAAAAAATGAATATAATCCATGTTACATAACAAAATTACTTCGTAATTACCGTAGTCGAGAGCCTATTTTACATGTGCCCAATAAATTATTTTATGATGACGAATTGATATGTGGTTACGAAACAAATGAAAATTTTTTAATTTCCAATTGTAAGAGAATTTCAAATAAGAAATTTCCTATTTTATTTATTGCAATTAATGGTAAAGAGGAAAAAGCTCTGAGTAAAAGGTAATTGTAGCACGTACAATTTTTTCTTCGATAACTTAATACAAGTAACTATAAATGACGCATGTTTTTTTTAGCGTTTATAATGTACAAGAAATCGCAATTGTGTCTAATTATGTGTCGAGATTGATGCGTTCCAAATTTGGTACGCGTAACGTTCGAGAAGAGGATATTGGCATTATAACGCCATTCAGGCAACAAAAAATTAGTATTGAACGGAAACTAAGTAAACAAGGATTAAACAAGATAACTGTTGGAACAGTAGAAACATTTCAAGGACAGGAAAGAGAAATTATAATTTTCAGCACTGTAAGATCGAAGGTCTTTAAAAGTGATGGTGAACACCATATCGGCTTTTTATCTAATCCAAAGGTATAAATACATATAATGATCGTAAACCGTTAATTTGAATTATTTACGAAATCATTTCAAAACACATAAAAATAAACTCTTTGTTTCAGAGATTCAATGTTGCTTTGACAAGAGCAAAGAACTATTTAATAGTGGTAGGAAATCCAATGGTTCTTTGCGAAAACGAATATTGGAAAACTTTGTGGGACTACTGCTATAAGAACAATGCATGTCGGAATTATTGATAATTTCATCTAAAAATACAATGCTAATCTTATCTTTATATCGTACAACAATGTATACTATCTTTTCGCGACAAGGTAGTGACATGTATTAAGAAAATCTGATCGTAATCATTTTTTTTAACTGTATTTTAAAAAAAGACTATTAGAAACAACAGGTTGTTCTATAAGAAAGTTGATATATTGTTAACATATTTTTTAATTCGTTAAATCTAGTATTGTAATGTTTTTTGTTTAATATTATGTCCGTTCCAAATCATGAAAAAATGAAGTCAAACGAACGGTACTAATAAATATTCATTCCTTCCCAATTGATACTATTTGTATTTGAAATCGACAGAATCTGTTTAACCAGTTCACTACCAGCGTCACATATGTGTGACGCTCCAAGTTCCATGTCAGCATACTTTCTTAGATAAAAAAAGGGAATAGGTTTTGCAATATTCACCTATATTTCGGGTCAGTCATTGTCTCTGTTTTGTGTATTTTTAATTTCTGATCAAAAAGTTAAGGATATCCCATTGAATAGAATACTGAAAATCTAGCATAGTCTGTGACGAACATTTTCGAAATAATATGCTGGTAGCGAACTGGTTAATGCCTATAATAGAATTACGCAACGTTTTGGAAACTTCAATAAACAGTATTAATACTAAACTTTGCAGAATGCAACTTTATTCTAAAAGTAGTTTCGCCATACTTTCGCTAACATCCTTATTAATACCATGACGTATCGCGAATTCATGTTTCACGCTCGAGAACACAATATCTGTTAACAAACAGATTTGTGCTATGTCGAATGCCAGCGTTACTCCGAAGTAGAAGTTTGCATTCGCGGATCTGGAGTATATCCACTGGTACCAAACAGTAGGTGCAAAAACTGTGCAGAATAACATTAAACAGCCTACAATGAATCCTTGCTGAGTATCTAAAAGCAAAGCAGAAATTATCATATTTTGTCCATACTAAGTAGAAAGAGACTAAAAACACACTGTCGTTACTGTAGTTTACAGTGAAAAAACTTACATTGAAATAAATGCTTCCAAAGTGGCAATAAAGATATATAAAATCCAACGTCCCCTATGCAGGGATAGGACTTGAATATGGCAGCAATTGCTAAATAAGAAAATGCTAAAAGCATTGTATCATGTCGTAGTAACAAAGCTAATGGTACTATGTACAATAAGGTGACATTTATTTGGAATGAAGCAATGAAGAGCCATCTGAAATGCTCGAACATTTCTGTAAAGAAGTACCAATACAGCCCTATATTGGGATGTAAATCGGGAACTGTTAAGATGAAACCAGTCGTGCTCCAAATGAATGACCAGCTTCCCATAATGTAATGAGAAACGAAGCATAAGGTTGTTAACATACTAGCAAATACAACAATGATAAAAAATATGGTACTCCTTCTTTGGTTTATATTTTTAGAACGAGCTATGTAAATAGTTGCTGGCACCATAAGTGAAATAGGATATAGTCCTTGTAATGTCAGCAATGAAATTGACAAACAGCTCCAAAATATAGAATACTTTGTCATTGAGACTAATGCTATGGAATACAATAAATTTGTAAATACTGTTGTTGTTTGTCCAACACAACTTAGTATTATGTATGGATTAATTACATCATAGAAGTAGAAACTGTCGAAGAATCATTTTGACTATCTGTACTTTCATCGGATAACTTTTCTTCTTCCTTTTTGCAGGCCTGAAATCAGTATTACTTGAATAATATAGCTTCGTTTATATATTATGAAAATGACATCAAGTATGAAACAGAACTAACCAATTCGGTTGCATATTGTTTTGCTGTAAATGCAAGAAGTAAAGCGGTCAGCAAATCAGTGAAAATAAACAAGAAGAATAAAGTCCATTGAGGTAGATACTGTAGTATGAGATCAAAAATGTATAAACCAATAGGAGTTTCATGAAATAAATCTCCTACATACGGATCTACACCAAAGTTATATAAATGTACACCTTCAGTAACTGGAAAAAATCAAGATTTTAACATTTTTCTAATGAAATTATTATTGATGAATCATTAGCAAAGCCAATTAGTAAAATTCTTCAATTATAAAACTGGTAGACAAATTAAAATAAAACGGCAAGTATCCTAACCTCTCTTCCAAGAATTCAACGCTGTTGATACTTCCACACGATCACTAATAATTTTTTGATATCCTGAGTTCATCAACAGAAATCTAATAGTACCGGCTAAAATGAAATTTGACAACCATTGTTTCGACATTTTTCTATTAAATACAAATCATTGATGTATTTTTATTATACGGAATGTATGTAGCCGATATTCAATGTAGCATAACATTCGGATGGTTCATTTAATGTAGTAACTGTGACTTTATAATCGTTCAGAATACAATATTCAATACGTAATATCTTCTCATTTTTCAGTTACACCAAAATTGAATTATCGTCGCGGTCTCGCGCTTCATTCTTACACGCAACAGCAGTGCGGGTCCCGCGGGACCAAAAATGTATATATACATGCATATGTACATACACAGCAACAGGCGGGAGTCCCCGCCGCGGGACCCGTACTGGTTTAATTTGTTGTTTATTGCTCTTTGCTTTTATTCGAATAAACATTAACTGTTAAACTTGATACAATGAAATTAACCCCTTGCCCTATGATTTGTTTATGGCTGCGGTCTACAGAACTACTTTATCGTCAATAATTCCCCGGAATCAAAAGAAATTCTTGTACTTATGGCAATTGTACAGTTACTCTATAAGTCAAATATTAATATCAGCAAATTAGTATTTCACTTTGACTCAAAGAAAACGAATAATATTTGTTTGTTGAAACCATGTTGATATCGTCACCACGAGTCTTACTCGATGTTATAAGAATATAAGCTATACGGCAAAGGGTTAACACATGGTCACTTTCTTGCCAGTTGTACCATTAATTGTGAGACAAATTGCATATAAATTATTTGTAAATAATAAACATACATATAGGTAAACTTATATCTACTTTAACATTAAATATTATACAAATCATTAAACGTCCTTGTTGTAACATAATATTTGAAATTATTTAATAAAAGGTTAATCAATCGTTTTCGAAACTGGCAAAAAATGTTATTGCAATAATATTGACAATTCTTTTGAAAAACGTTAATTAATCGGTTTTAAAAATGGCAAAAAATGTGGAACGCTTCACGATTTTGCGTGTCATCCTTGCGCAGGGGCCATGCTAATCTTCTCTGTATCGTTCCAATTTTAGTATATGTACTGCCGAAGCAAGTACATATATCACTTTCCGTGAGATTGCTTATATACTTATAAAAGGTATGTCGAGTACTAACGAGAAAGTAAATTTCTCATAAGCCATCTAGCGGTAGATTAAGAAAACTCGATTTAATTCATTATTCGAAATCAAAATAATTGATGGTCAACATAATTGTCCATCCTATTTCAGTAGCTCAGGAATCACAAATCGAAATGAGAGTTTTATAAATATTCAATTCTTTATGATGTTAGTATATAAATATATACAGAGTGAATCGTTCGCTGGTATGATCAAGAGGTTAGCCACTGCTTTGTCATTCGCTAGCTTCCATCTCCTGCTGACTCAGTAGAGCTGAGTAGTGCTGAGCAGCTATGTGTGTGACGGAGACAGAGAGAGTGTGAGCTGAAAGTGCTGAATATAAATTTTAGGTTACTGTCTTTCGTAATAAGAAATTCACAATTACAAAAACTGGATGAGTTATAAGTTAATAAAAAGGAAACCCTGATCATTTATATCGTAGCAGATATGCGTCTGACAGGTTGGCGATACGCTGCATTCATTGCAGTTTTTGTGGGAGCTATTGGAGTACAGTCTTATTTCACTATGATAAGTCCTATGCTTGATCCAGAACCATACAGTATGTGCGATCTTTTCAAGTTATCATATGTTTAGTTAAAAGCATTAAAACGATTAACAGATTCGAGACCAATGATTCAGTTTCTGAATCAACCGATCTCACATGTGTTTAGCCAATAAATCAGCAGATGGGTTATGTATGTAAAAATTGCAAGTTTCTAGAGGTAGTCTTATAATAATATATCGGTCTCGAATGTGTTGAGCTCCTGTGGTAAATATGTGGACTAAAATAATTATAATTTTAGAAAAAATACGGCAACAAATACAGGAAAAATATCCAGACAAAACACTGTAAATGTAAGAAAACAAGTATGAATGGAAGGAATATTATTGGAGAATGCTATAGAAAAAGGTAGATGAGATCGATCGTTTATTGTATAAAATAAATGTTTATTATAATATATTACAATTGGACCCCTTATTTTGGAAAGGACATATTTCGCTAAAGATTCATGCATATAAAATGGAGTAAAAAACACTCAAGATCATGTTAAAAAAATCAATAGATGTAATGACTCACACTCTTTTTACAATAATTAATGTAATTACATTACTGTACATGTATTTCCTGTAAGAAGTTTCTTATTTGTGACTAGAAATTTTCTTACAGGCATAGAATTTTATAAACATAATATACAGTCCGTATTAAAAGTCGTCATGATCACAAACGTCTAGGAAGACGTCAAATGCCTCACGGTTGCAGTTTCCATCAGCTGTGAAAACATATTTGTGAAATGTTCCATCCATACAAATAGCTGTAATATAGTGTAAAATATGAACGTGTAATAAACAATATATTCAAATATTTTACGTCAACATACTATCGGACGGCAACGCTTTGCATAGACTGTTGTCTACGACCGGCAGCTCTCCGCGCAGACTGTTGCCTACGTCCAAACTTTATCATTTTCCATTTTAAGAAAAAATGTTATATGTGTACGATTATATATTTATAATTGCATATAATATTAAATACTTTTAACAACGTTCAGAAAGTTTATGATGATGACCGTTTACGGAAGTTTTTGCAACGTCTAATTTTAGATGGCTGACCGATAGCGTGTTAAAATAATATTAGGTGTGCTTGGTCTGTAATACCTATGACAGAGCTCCTTGTACCAAATGCACATACACAAGCGCATTCTGGTGGTACGGTAAAAGTAGCCAGTGCCCACTGACTTTCGACATAATTTCCCAAAAAACCCATTTTTGAGAAACTATAACAAAATGAATTGTTAATTTTAACAGTATTTTTCTAATAGTCACTTGGAATTTGAGCTCTGTTTACATACGTAGATCTGCGATTCAATTGAGTATCTTTTAATGCAAATATATGTACAGTTCCTTTGTCGCTGGACGCACACAGGAACTCCGAATCTCTACTAAATGTGATGCTGAAACGTACATTACGCGGAGCTCTTATGTTTTCAAAATTAAATACGATATAGTAAAGTATATTCTTAATCTTCAGGAATAAAAATTTTATACTTACCAGTAAAGTGTAGCAGGATCAGCACCTCTCCTCAATTCCACTAGTAAGTGTCTACGTACACTATCCCACACTCTGACTAATGTACCTTGCGTGGAAGCAGTTGCAATCATTGTACCACTGCTATTAACTGCGAGACAAGCCAATGCACCCTAACAGTATTATTCGTAAATATAAGATACTAAAAGCAGACATGGTTACACCGATTTTATTCAAGTTTGTTTATACAAGGTACCCAATAAATTGTGGTATAACAATAAAATAAATGGTTTTACATGCAAAAAGAAATCGGAAATATGTAAAACAATATTGAAGATTCGTTTATGAGGAAATAAAATTGAAAAATCATTATGCACACATACTTCTGAAAAAGACTAGTTAGCAATAGTATATATTATAATAAAATAATAATAAATAATAGAATTCAAGTTCAGTAGTACATAAGTATATGTGTAGCAGATGAAAATTGAAAATATAAAAACAAATTTACCGTATATTTTAGGTTTGCTTTTGCACATAGCACTTTTTTCTCATTTATACCGCGATTTATGAGACATCCTGCATAACATATACATACTTGATGGGCTGCAAGGGTTGCAGGAGCACTAGAACTTCCAGCTTCTGTAGCACCAAGATCGATTAACTGTACACTGCCCTGCTTATGACCAGGAAACGCGAGAAGCTGCTTTTGTGCGGTAGCCAATGTAGCGACTTCGATCAATCCCTTTGGATTGTCTCTTGTTTCTAATGTCAGTAATCTTCTTGTTGGCATAGGAAACGAAAAGACATGTATTTCTCGTTGAAGTGCCACCACCATTCTGTTTTGTAAAATTATTCCTAAGTAAGTAAAGGTACCCATTTATATCCACTAAGAAGACGATTCTCTGTTATCGATAAACTTACTTGTCTCTACGTAGTCTGACAGCCTTGATAGGGCTAGTGAATGTGACTTCCATTACAAATTTTTTCGATAAATCATCGTAAATAAGTACTGTATTCTCTGCGAATTTTGGTCTTGTACCACCACCTACTATTGCAATAATGTTTGTTCTCCATAGCATTTCTGCAATGGCTATACTCCCCATGACATCATTTTCCAGATGTGCTTTCTCAACCAACGGTTCCACATTATATACCCTAAGACCAGACTCCATACAACATGTGAAACATCCTAAAAGTAGAAATAACATGTAAAAATAAAGTTAATCTAATCTTTGTAATAATTTGCATCGCAACAATTTTCATTTTTTATGCATAAAATAAAGTTTGAATATTAATAAGCTCGAGTAAATGAAGATTAAGTTTTATGACAATGTTTTAACAATTAAGAAACATGTATAAAATCTTTAATAGTTTCAGCTTACCAAAGAAATGTGTTTCTAACAATGAGGTATTTTATAACTGGCTTTTATAATATTATTTCTGCTAAATTCATATATGTTTTTGGCTTCTTTCTCTATCAGACATAGTATCTGACTGTCACAAATATCAAAATTAAATTTATTACGTAAATAATCATCAAAAAACAAAGTAACCTATTGCAATATCTTCTTTCACTGCTCTAGGATTTTAAGAACACTTCATGAAAGTTTTTGTTTAGAATTTTTCATACACAAAGAAATAAATAAATCAAAACAATGCAGACTTAAAGTTCTAAGTATGATTTACGAGTCCAAAATTAATTGTGAAATGAATTTAGGAAAATTTGATACCAAAGAACTTATGGTTTATAGAAAAGTTCATAAAAATTGTGACAAAACTTTGTTCTCCAATGTAATTAATACAGTAACTACAATAGAACTTCATTCTAAATGTTACTAGTTTGACATGTTATTGTTATGAATAGAGAAGGATGCTCCTCGTAATGCATCAGTCTTGTATGTTTTATAATTTTATTTTAATTTCTTTTAAAATACATCAACCTAAATCGTTGATTATCAAGCATTTTTTTCTTACATTTTAACCTTGTCAAAGGGTCGAATTAGTACAAAAACAGTACTATACTGTAAAACAATAAAACTAGGTACGTCGTAATTGTCAATAACTTATGATAATTAAAACTGTAAGTAATAGTCACCTTGATCCTGATTAAACCGTAAACTAAGAATATTTCTTTCTGCAGCCATTTGGCTTTTACATTAAGTTGACCGAATAGATGTTCCCTTTTTCAGCTCTTCCAATTTTTCCCTTTAATAACTATAGTACAAGGTTTTGTTTACATTCTTATTTCACAATCATCTGTGACTGGTGACAGAATGTTTGGTATAGTCAGGTATGGTATTCCATTCTTTATGAAGTATGCACAATAATAGAAATAAGGCTGATTCTCATTATTAAAATGAATCGATCGTATTTAAATACAAAGCGCATTTCTTTTTAAAAATTGATATAACGCTTACAATGTGACAATGTGTATATATATATATATATTTGCAAACTCATGTGGAATAAATAAAAATATGACAATTTGAATAAATCTTGCAGATTTATAGGTACTTCTCGAATTACCAACTGATGTATTCACGAAGAACGTATTTCTACGTTTATTTATTTATTTATTTATTTTTTAACTTACGCCAATATCGTAGAATATAAAGACGGGTACGCAATACTATTCACTAGTAAGAAAGTTTCTAGCACGAGATCGTTTAAATAGTTTTAGATTTCCATTGTTGGTCACATTTATTGTCCTAATATCCTGCATTGCAGGTTCCATACTGTGTAGGGGCCTGTGTTCACAAAATTCTGTCAAAAAAATGTCAGTAATGGTAAGTTTGTACACGAAAGTGATTATCATACTCGTTTTATCGGTCGTTGCGCGTATACAAAGCAGTAAATATAACTGGAACCTAATTCAGAAAACATTTATTCGTGACAAATTTGTGACTACCCCCCTCTTCACTTCGAGTCTCATCAATACTTTTGGCTATAGACGTTACATGTTTTCGAAGAATATCGTTCAATATTTAAATGATAAAATTTCGTTTTTCAGAGGATGAAAGCAGTAAGGTGTCCCACTGACGATCTCAGTATCACTAATTGTGCTATAATTAATCCAGATGACTTCCCAGATGATGTCAGGTAGGGATAAGACATCTTCTGATTAATTCATTGATTTGTACCTATAATAGGATTTTAAGATTAGAGAACCATGTATGCCTTATGGATTTCAGGAAAGCTTTCAATTAGATTAAATACATCTATCTACTGTATGTTATGACTACAGATATATACAGAAATTTATTTGAATGAAAGGTGTTTTATTTCATATGAAGAATTCCATGCAATACTTAGTTTTTTTTTATAAAGCTTTTATTTGCAATTTTATTTTCCAATTTTCTCACATAAAATAAAACAGTTTTTTAAAAAGTGAACTTTTAGAAAATTATTCTTCCTTACGGTTCAAGGTCATCTTTGTTTTTCAAGTGGTACAATCTTAATAATGTATTACAACATGATTAGATCTTGTCATCAAGATTCTCTGAGTGTCATTTCTATCATGATGATGTGTCTAAACTTGATGAGTTAAAAATCAATGATAAGTGTTCACTTTGAACACAGTAGAATAATAAGAAAACAAAATATTGTTGTATACTATTAATTCTCCTTGATTTTCTTGATAAATCTTGAAATACATAATAGTTTATATAATCATATTCTTTAGACATATCGAAGTCACCACTGCACCAAATCATCATGATTGAAGTACGACCTTATCACTTTAATCCTACATCCAATACAGAATGTTTGTGCAATATTGTACTGGAAGCTGATTTCTTACAAAAAAAATCGTATGTACACGATATACAATTTATTTAGTCCCATCTGTCTGTATAAGACGCTAACGGATAATACTCAATTATTTTAGAACCACTCTGGAACCCTATAACACCGACGATATGGCCAGGGATTTCCTATTACAATTTTCAGGACAGGCATTCACCGTGGGTCAGCAGCTGGTGTTTCAGTTTAAGGATAAGAAAATGCTTGGCCTTGTGGTCAAGAGTTTGGAAGCCGCCGACCTTGCCGCCATAAGCTCTGGACAGAACACTGTGCCTAAAAAGACGCAATTAGGACGCTGTCTCGGCGACAGCGTCATCCAATTCGAAAAGGCAGATAATTCGAGCTTGAATCTAGTCGGCAAAGCAAAGGGAAAAGTTGTTCGGCAATCGATTATCAATCCAGATTGGGACTTCCAAAAGATGGGAATCGGCGGTCTGGACAAAGAATTCAGCGCGATCTTCCGAAGAGCATTTGCATCGCGTGTTTTTCCACCGGAGATTGTTACTCAATTGGGTTGCAAACACGTGAAAGGAATTTTGCTTTATGGTCCGCCAGGTACAGGTAAAACGTTAATGGCACGACAAATAGGGACCATGCTGAATGCCAGAGAACCGAAAATCGTCAATGGCCCTCAGATATTGGATAAATATGTTGGAGAAAGCGAAGCTAATATTAGAAGATTGTTTGCTGATGCTGAAGACGAGGAAAAGAGGGTATATCGATAACTTTCAAGTTTCATAAATTCACTTTTCTTTAGGAATTTCTATCATTACGTTAGTAAATATGATTTTCAGCTTGGGCCGAATAGTGGACTGCACATAATCATTTTCGACGAAATAGATGCGATTTGCAAATCTAGAGGCAGCGTTGCTGGAAACACTGGTGTACACGATACTGTTGTGAATCAGTTGCTCGCAAAGATCGATGGTGTGGAACAATTGAATAATATTCTTGTTATTGGTATGACCAATAGAAGGGATATGATCGACGAGGCTTTGCTACGACCGGGTCGATTAGAAGTACGTTTCGATAACCGTGAACTAAATGCAAATACCTTTCAGTAGAAATAATTTCAACGAAGTTCTTATATGCTTCAAGGTACAAATGGAAATCAGTTTACCAGACGAGCACGGGCGATTCCAAATTCTTAACATTCATACATGCAGAATGAGAGACTACAAGAAAGTATCAAACGACGTCGATCTAAAAGAATTAGCTACACTGACTAAAAACTTCAGCGGCGCAGAATTGGAGGGTTTAGTCAGAGCCGCGCAGAGTACTGCTATGAACAGATTGATCAAGGCCTCTAGTAAGGTAGAGGTGGATCCAGCTGCAATGGAAAAACTGATGGTTAACAGAGCTGACTTCCTTCACGCTTTAGATAATGATGTTAAACCTGTAAGTGATTTAACAAAGATTAAAGTGATGTTAAAACATTTTTATAATTATGATATTAATAATATTTTGTACTCCAGGCATTCGGTACCAGTGCAGAAGCTTTGGATCATCTTCTTATACGTGGGATCATTAACTGGGGTAAACCGGTGGCAGAAATTTTGTCCGATGGCAATCTTTACATACAAGAGGCTCGATCCACTGAAGGATCTGGCCTTGTATCAGTTCTTCTGGAAGGACCACCTAACAGCGGGAAAACAGCACTTGCAGCTCAAATTGCGAAGAATTCTGATTTTCCATTTGTCAAAGTATGCACACCAGAGGACATGGTTGGTTTCACCGAATCTGCAAAATGTCTTTCCATACGGAAGGTAAGTACCTTTCCTTTGATGAATGTAGTGACATCGTAAAAGTGATAGGAAGCATTCAAAATTTCTTTTTACCCTTTCCCCTCGTTTAGATATTCGACGATGCATATCGCTCGCAGCTTAGCTGCATTTTAGTTGACAATATTGAGCGTTTGTTGGACTATGGATCTATTGGACCGAGATATTCGAACTTGACCTTACAAGCACTTCTAGTTTTATTGAAGAAGCAGCCACCACGTGGTCGCAAGTTATTAATCCTTTGTACGACAAGTCGCAGGTAAAATACTTGATTTCATGATTCAATATTTAAGCAACTTTTATCGAGTTTTTCGTCATAGTTAGCGTAATATTTATAATTAATGTATCCGTAGACAAGTTTTGGACGACATGGAAATGTTATCAGCGTTCAGTACAACTCTTCATGTACCCAACTTGTCAACCCCTGAACATCTCTTGAATGTTCTGGAGGAAGTGGATCTTTTCACTAAAGAGGAAATGATATCTATGCATGCCAAACTTCAAGGAAAACGGTATTATTCAGATTACTTGTTCGAAAACGTTGCATAAATGTATGAATGTTATGGACACAATCTCTGTATTTTTTGTTATAGGGTGTTCATTGGTATCAAGAAGTTGCTGTGTCTAATAGATATGGTGCGTCAAGTGGAAGGAAATTACAGAGTCATCAAGTTCCTCTCGAAGTTAGAAGAGGAGGGTGCACTAGAGTAATAAGTATTTAATTTAAAAATGTAATTATTTACGTAGAAATGAATTAGATATCGTTTACTGAGAACCCATGCATATTCAGTAATCGAGCGAAACGCATTAAAATGTACGTTAAACATAACTGAATTGATGGAAACCAGATAAAGTTGTTGTTACAAACTATAATACGTGTTATAGGAGGAAATAAGTGAAACATTTAAATTATTTTTAGGATCATACAAATATTTGTTGTAATGATTTGCTTCGACAATTTGCATTTCTTAGTATTTCTTTAACGTGGTTTTAAAAAAGTGATTGATGGAATCGATGGATACAGTATTTAAAAAGTTTTAATTTTCCAATATTTTTTTCTGAACTTTCAATCGAGAATGGTTTACTATGTAGAAATTGTAAACTGATTGTATGACAGATGTACAGTTGAAATGTAAAAAAGAAAGACTATAATAGCCGAAGGAGTAAAATCTCTGTCAGAAGAGAATAGCATTGTGTCATGGAATAAATTACAAATCGTTATTCCGTTGTGAAAGTTTTGACAGATTAATTGCATTCGATTCAATGGTAATATTTACGTGTAAAGTAGGAAGTACGCATTTTTGTTCATATAGAAATTAAAATTTATTTCTGCAAGTTGCAGAAATATACTTCCGTTAATTTATTATTATATTTTACAGCGAAAGGAATCTGTTTTGTACGAATAATAAAATAAACCTTTTTAATAATTTAGATTATTATACATACAATTGTAAACATGTATTTTTATGGTTCAATTTATATGTAATGTACATCCATATAATTATCTGCTATGTGCCTATTAGTATTTCAAAAGTTTATTGCAAATGTTACTGTAAATTGTATGTATGTATTTGGTTGACTGGTGTTTGTTAGTAGCCACATAATTAGTACCTCGTAGAGGTATCTTTGATGAGAATTATCGTCAAATCATTCCAAATGTATAATGTACACAAATATTTATTTTATTATTAAAGGCTCTGTCGAAAATATAGAAAAATATACTTTGTGCATGTTGTATTGTCTGAAGAAAGATAATACATAACGTTCTGTTTTGTGATAAATTACAATTTAAGTTCGTTAATTTATTGTCGCCTTAGTAATGTTGAATTGTAGTTGTATGGCAGTTCAGCAATGTGCCGTCAAATAATTAAAAAAACTGTTCCAATTTGTTATATGTATATATATATAAAGTTAAATTGCTTATACGGGAAGTTGTATATCATAAATAGTAGATTTCCCGTTCTGCTCGATAAATAATGTAACGTAAATCGTATCTGTGTACTTACAAAAAATATCTATGTATTAATATCATGCAATAAACTTACATCTCTGTAACAAATCTGTGTTCTATAATTAAAAAATTCCACTTCATACAGTACTATATATTTCCATTTCAACCTATTATTTTTTTTTCTTAAGTTTTTAACACAGAGAAATAAATAATAATTTAACTGATAAATTTGGGTTTTAGTACAGCTAAAAATAAGGCTTAATTATTACATGATTTGTTTGAAATTATTCTGTATTATTTTCGTTCTCATAATTTTTAAGTAAATACGGGTTGTATTATAAGTCTAAATTACAATTCACACTTATTTACATTTTCGTAAGAGAAACATTTCTTTATATGTAATGTGGGTAATTTTAAATATAAAGTAAATCATGTCGAATAGCACATTTTTAATGCATCTATTCTATGGACATAAACAAAGTGATAAAAACAAAACATTCATGTATAATACGGCTGGCAATCTATGAATACATGTTCTACAGCAAACTCTTTTTTTTACAAACATTAATACATAGTTCTATACAATCATATACAATTTTTATACAAATAGTCTTTTCAATTTATAGTGCCTTGCGATAATATATCTCAAGTTTGCAAATGTTTTAAACATTGTTCGTTTATATGTGCGTTTACAACTTTCCATTTATTAATAATGACAATTTAATAAGAACTGATTGAAATTAAGTGGAGTTAATTGAATTTATGGCTGCATTGAACATTTCTTTAGCAGAAATAATGTTATTTTTAGTTTGATAAACGTATAATGTTTTATGGAGCAACAGTCGAAAATGAACATCTAATCTAATCATTGAACAAACATGGCAGATTAGTCTACCAAAAAATACTTTTCTGACGGTATTTACATAATTCAACAATTAAAATGACGGAGAAATTGATTTGAATGTATTATTTGTGTTTGCACGCGTATATGTGTTCTGTATTATTGTATATATGTATGTAAACAGATATACATATATAGATAAAAAGATATTAGGGAACATAATGTGTTGCAGATATATATAAAAATAATGCGCCTATATATTTTGTGTGTAAGACCTCCTTTTTTAAATTATCTATTTGTTTTACTAACGTTATGCTGTAAATTCCTAAATTTGAAGAGTACAAGTAAAAAAAGTTAATAGACAAGTATACAAATTTCGTTGTTGTGTCTAATCATGAAATTATTCTCGTAAGTTTCTTAGTTAACGCTTCACACGTTACTGCACTGTACCGTCTGTGACTAATCTCAGAGTAAAAAAATTTTACAAAAGAAGAAACAAGATTGAGATTATCACACAAGTCTGATATAAAGATCTGTGTCCTGTCCCCCTTCATTCTTGTTCGGGTAACGCAACGCAACTATAATTCCTTTTTCTTTACTTGTAATTTATGCAATTATAAAGATAATATGTAATGTGTGTGTGTGTGTGTGTGTGTGTGTGTGTGTGTGTGTGTGTGTGTGTGTGTGTGTGTACATACACGATCAGAAAAAGTATGACTATTCTTCATGTGCTTTGAGTACTTGGCAGTATTTAGGCACCTTACTTCCTCCAAGGAAAGAACAATTTATACTTCATACTCTCTATACTTCGAATTCCATGTGATACGTAATTTCATAACATTTGTTTAGGGTTTTTTTTTAATATAAATTATGTCGACGAAATGAGGGTATTTAAAATAATATCGATTCTGATATCCTATAAGATCTGCACTTATCCTAAACAGAACATTTTACTTATTCTCGCTACAATATAACTTTCTATTATTCTTCAGCCATTAATAATATTTCCTTTTAGGAAATGAATAATTTTGCTGTGGAAGCGTGTCAAGTATACATCCTTTACTCCAAACAAATCGGTCGAACACATGTTTTTTTTTCTTTTGCTTTAAAAATCTTAAATTTACGATTCGTATTTGAAATACCACGTGTCTAATACGTGCACAACGTTGATGTACACCCAGGGTTTATCACACCACATTTGTAATATATTATTATAGCTTTAAAGCACAAATTTGGAACACTTAGTACAAAGTTCGAACGCAAATATATCAACAATATCATGTTTATCCTTAATAATACTCAAGTACGCCTTGTTAATATCTATTGTAAGTATGCGTGTTAAACAATCCTTAAATTCCTTGTATCATAGGTGAATCGGTACCTGTTACGTGTTAAGTCGTGTTACGGGTTCGCGAGTTGTCCCGCTAAGATAATACTATAATATATGCGGGAGTGTATAAAACACAGATCATGTTTTCATTCCATTTTTTAAATAACAATTCTATAGAAAATATTCTTAACATGTACATATATTGGAGAGAATTTGTCCATATCGATGATAAAACGATATTTTCGGCGTGCGTTTGACATCAACCAGCACCAAGCAACTTACATGCTCGAATAATCTGTGTCTTTGCCCAGCTTCTTATGATCAACTACTTATATGGTTTTCTTATGGTACAAATATGTCGTTAATATGGTACATAAAGCATTTTGAATTATGCGCACTGAAAGGATAAAGGGTTTTCCTTTAATGAACAATAGTCTCATATATTCCATGATTAAAAAGATAAATATTATGGTTTAATATCGTCGAAATTCATAAAATTCCTAATGCTTTGCGAGTGATTTTAATTTGACTAATAATACGAATTCTATTAAATCTCGTGAAATAAGATAATAAAGAATTAATATTCAAAACGAGTGTGATAAATTTCTTCGCTGTTTCTTTTAATCGATTTCTTTTTTTATCATTTAAACAAACAAAACTTGAAAAAGGAGAAAGAAAATCTTTTTTAACAACAGATATCATTAATAATTGTAACTTCATTATGGCACATGAAAGAAAATCACTTTATTTGGGCGTCGAGTGATTAACCTCATAATTAATAGAGCATGACAAATTATCTACTATGACTATTTAATATTAATATCACAAATGTTTACATTTAATGCTTTTGAATTAGTTCAAATTTCATACTCAATTTGTGCTGCAGCCAGGTAAACCATCCTAGGCATTTCAGCACGTTATTAGACTCTCAGTCGTCTCCATCATAGAGAAACTTTCTATCTGACATAGTCAGGAAAATATGTAATGAAGAAATAAGCGTGGCAACGAGACAAATCACGATGGCTTGCAAGATGGGAATTTCTTAACGCTAATGCATGAAATCGGTTTGCGCCATCTTCGTTTACTCTGATGCGAGTTTGGTTTGCTATTGTGACTATTCCATGTAGCTTTTTGGTCTTCACTGGTTCTGTCCATTTCTTGAAGCCTTTTTTCTTCTATATACAGAAAAAAAAAAGAATTTAATTAACATTCGTTGGAAATTTGTGTTACGAGGGTTAATGTTTTCTTAAATTTGTCAAAATCTAATCCTAAACACGGCAAGTTAAACCGAGATAACTATGCTTGATCATGCAGTAGCAAAATATATTAATTCTTTGCTACGAATCTACTGCTCGTGATTTATTATATGCACACGTCACATTGCAAAAGCTAATGCGTAGGACTAATAAAAGCAAACATTGTTCAATTACAGATATTAGTACAATAATTCGTTCATGTGAAATATTAAATGTTATGGACAATACAAGGGCAAAACAGGGTATACACTATATAGAGAGTACCCGTTTTTGTCGGCTCGCAACATCATAGGTAGATATAAGTGTCATTGTTACAGAATGGTGCATGTCTTTGATAAGAATACAAGTAGTCGATTTGAAAAAGATTGTTCATTATTCCGTTTAGAATCTGAAAAGCAAAAGCTATATTTTATTGTATTGTCTGTGCACGTTTCGTTTATTATGCTGAAAATTTGCATAAATTAAATATTTCCAATTCCGATCCTCTTTTATGTATAATAAAAAGAAAAAAATTGGTACGATTTAAAGTACTCTTCTTAAAAATGTTGATTCTTCTTCGGTTCTCTAGAATTCACCTCTCATGGTAAAATAAAGTATGTTGTACTTAATTCGCAAAAAAAAAATCGCATGCAAATACTCTGCTTTCTTTGTTAAAACACAGTTGCCAAGTACAAATCCAACGAGTCACGCATATCCACTAAGTAATATTAGTTTTCTAATTGTAAGAATATTTGGGGAACAATCTATCATACGAACGCTATTAGTCGGCAATAATATATTAAGCATCAAATATATGTATCAGTATCAAAGATTTTTACACTTCTTTCGTATAGTTCCATACATGCAAATTTCAGTCCGTTTATCTTACCTTTATATTAGTTAAAAAAGTACATACAGTATTAAGTACTATGATAACATGAAAGTTTAAGCTTCGATATATAATTATAATACCATACTGCATGATGCAAAATAGGAACTGTCATATGCACATACCGTTTAATTGATGTTCAGTGTAATACGTAGGATTTTCATCACCTCCGTAATGATATTCCATCAGGTACGGTAGTACTGTCATACTGTGCCATTTATGCCCTTTAAGAGGAGGTATAGGCACTTCTTCGTGCGTTCTAGGATGCCTGCATATAGTCCACGGATGCTTTCTAACTTGTTGCAAAGTAAATCTTTTATCTGCGTCTTTTTGTAACATTCCTTCTATAAGAGATCTCAAAGGCTCTTCTACTTCTTCAGGTATTGTGTATTCACCTTTCCCTATGTTCTCGTATAATTTATAAATATTATCGCCTTGAAATGGATATTCACCTGTTGTTATATTGTACCTACAAAACGTGTACCAATTTGCATTATTATTAAAGAAACAAGGATGGTTTTTCTTATATTTTCACAGAAATCTAACTGAAAATGCACTTACAGTGTAACTCCGCTGCTCCATATATCTACCTTAAAGCCAGAAAACGTTTCACAGCCATTTGCAATTTCGGGAGGCTGAAATGCTGGTGACCCTTGTCCCATCTTGCATATATCATCTTCAGAAAACATGTTTAATGCCTAATAAAGAAAATTACGGGAACATTTAAATTGTAGCAAACTATATCATAAAAGTAAAATCTATAAGATAACTTCAAAAATTCCAATGTAAACAAAATATATACCTCGGCGACTCCAAAGTCGCTAATCTTTAAGGTACCATCTAAAGCTAGTAATAAATTTCCGGGTTTTATATCTTTATGTACTATTCCTTTGCTGTAAAGATATTCTAAACCATCCAACAACTGACAGAAATAGTCATGTGCTTGCCAAAGTGGAAGCTTCTTGAGTGGTGTGCTTCCCAACATGTCCTGCAAAAGATCTAATAAATAGAAATCTAATTGTTGTTAATTCCATGCAGGCTTTTAGTCCATAGAACAGTTGCATAAAATAAAAAAATATTTGCAAATGCATAGGTTTATAGAATGAAGAATTCTTATGATGAGTAGTCATTTTAGACGTGCTAGTTACAAATCGAGTGTTAGAGATAATTTATATAATCTCATTACTGTATACAATGTCATATAATTTAAGCATTAAATCCTTATTAAAGTAAAATGGACAGTTATACATGTACTGAATTAGTTTTTGCAAGGATTATGTTTGAAACTATAAATATAGCCAAATATTAATTTGTGCAAATATGTATGCACAATTCATGTTAAAATAAACCGTATAAGGCTTTGAAACTTTACCTGTAATCCACATACACAAAATTCCATAAATAGGTACATCTTCTCCTTTTCATGATTATACAAAACATCTACAAGGTTAATTACATTCTTATGTTTTAATATCCTTAATAGTTTTATTTCCCTGTTAACGAATGTGAACAAATAGTATTTAGAATTACAGGAAATTACACACATGATTTACAAAAGAAAAAGTGTATACCATTTTTAAATATTGATATTGTCTTAGAAAAGAAAAAAGAAATATAACATCAAGTTTTACTATTAGGTATTCATGTTTTGTGTTATGAAATCTTATTTAATAAAATTATTACAGCACATGTGCAGCATACTACTATCCACTAGTTACAATATATAATTTATAAAATTGTTTAGATGTTTTCCAGTTTTTGATTACAGTGATACATTGACCATGAAAGTAGACTCTTATATATTGTTTAACTTTTGAATAATGCAATATATATTATGTGTTAGATTAGTGCATATAAATTGTCGCTTTCTTGACTTTTTAACTTTCTCTATAACAAGAGTAGAATAATATTTGTCAATCTGTATGTAACACTTAATAGATGCATTACGTAGCATCTTATATGCAAATAATGTTGAAAAAAAAGGGTGCTATAAATTGTTCTAATAACACACTCCTTCAATTGGCAAGCAATAACAACATAGAAAGAATTTCATGAATCTGACGTTTAGTTGAAAAAAGAAAAAACACTTCATGTACACCAATCTAGTACATAGTCGCGGACGATTAAAAATATTTCAAAATGGGTCTTGTTATCGAGATAAGAGACAGTTCTGGAAAAATACGATAATTTGTTAACCGTACCGTTGAACGTTAAGCTCTCCATTCGGGATTCTACGGAGTTTCTTCTTTTTTAAAATTTTCACGGCTCTACGACAAAGTGTCTCTGAGTCCAGCACTTCTTTCACCTTTCCGTAACTACCTTCACCAAGAACATCACCCATAACATATTTACCGATAAATTTACATTTTTTCTTTTTCTCTTCGTATATAATTTGATTAGAATCCACTCTATGGAAGAACATGTTGATTTCGTCCAAGTCATAGTTCGGATCGTCATTGATCCACGTGACCGGCTCGATATCCTGAAATATTTCATTACCGATTTCTTCATCGTCCGGGTCACATATTGTGATCCTATTGTCCATCTTTCACAACGCTAAATTGGACTAAACGGTTACTCAAATCCACGCAAACTCTAACCTAAAACACGACCGGCACCACCATTGTTGTGAATTACAGCTGTATGCGACCACGGCTTACGATATAACAAAGGATTCGGATCGTCACCTCAGTTTCGGAATATCATTGGCTATACTAGCGCCCACGGATTGGCAAAATACTATATTTAAAAAAGTATTCTTTTAAGTAATCTATTTAAAAAAAAGTAATCTTATTTGTTGTCAAATATTATATATTTTAGCATAACACATTGGATAGTTAGATAGCCTTTTTTGTTAGTTTCAATTTTCCAGTGAAAAGTACCATACCATACCAATTTTGATCATACTCTCTGATAACTCTAAACTATGAAATTATTTTTTTTTCCATTTCATTAAAGCTTCAACATTAACTTTTATCTTTTTCCTATTTAATAAAAGAATACATCAAAGGCTTTACATAAATTAACTATATTCTGATTTGTCAATGGAGATTTGTGTATAAAAGAAGCAAAGCATATAGTAGGTGTTATTTTTATTGAATCATCTGTTTCAAAAGGAATGATTATCTCCAACGTATATAACATAATTAACAAAGTTATTTTCGTACATGTATATAAGTCGCCTTTTGTAAAACAGTGGCAGTTTTTTGCACTCTTTTAAAGAAAAAAAGGTACAATTATGAGATACTTTGATACATTCAGGCGAATATGGAAAAAAATCATGTAACCGTCGCAACGTGGAGCTGTATGAAAACAACGTTTGAGTTCGCTTTTGTATAAAAAATTTCATTTACCACTAAATAATATTTATGAAAGAACACTGATAAATTGAAACTTATTTAAACGTTTTTTTTTTGTTATTGTACATATGGTATTTATATTCCATACCTCTATCTTTCAAATTTATACAAATGTATATTTATATGATATGCCCTTTCTACAGTTATATACAATACATAGAGGTATATCAGTTAATTATTGCTAGAAAAGATTCCAATGTGGACAAATTTTCTAGGTATAGTCTCATAAATTGTTTAAATTTCATGTATTGAAATTTTAAATAATAATCATTAAGTGCATTAAAAAATTATACCCTTCGACGAGGGGAATACTTTATATTGTACACAATGGAGAAACAAATGTATTTTTTTGCATGACAATTTGTCAATGGTGATGACCAGTCGTAATCAATGCAGGTAAAAATGAACCTAATACTAAAACTAGTATTTCTTTAACTTTGAGCCCAGAAGACACTGTCACATTGTCAGCAGTTGGTAGATGAGTATATTTATTGTTTCTTGTCATTAATTCTGGTAAAACGTGCACAGTTGCAACATATAGGAATGTACCTGCACTAAACAACATTGCCAAGCCAGTTGCATTGACATTACTGAGGGTCTCTTTTCCTTCCTAAAAAAGAACAAATAATTATTTCACGTTCAGTTTATAATTTAAGTTTATAAATAGTTACCTTTCCGATACCGAAATACGTTAGAAGGGCAAGGCAAGGTGCAGCAAACGAAAATACCAGAAGGTGTCTACTTATTCGTTTTCTATCTACACCTTCATGAAGTAAAAATGATACCAGACCAAATGCAGCTGGAGCCTGTGGGAGATTTTTAATTTGTCTTCTTTTAAATGAGCTACACTTTCATAGAGTGCCTTATAATTTCTAGATATTATTCTTCCTATATATTCTAGAGGAAGAGTATGAGACAATTGGTTTCTCTTATTACCTTATGCAGCATTATTGCTAAAAACACAATTAATTCTACATCAGCCTGTGATGTAGTTGCAGCAGCTCCTAATGCTACTCCGTCAGCTGCTGCATGAACTACAAGACCCAAAGTAGCGGTAACGCTTCTCTCCCTTCCTCCACTTCTCCTAGCCGAGCAGTGATCAACCAGAAGCATAAATACAAAACCAAGTATTAAACTAATGCCTATTAAGGAGTGAGGATCATCTAAAAAGATAAAGATCGAAAACATCAAATTAATATAAAATTAAATCACATTGAACTTTTTTGAAAAATTCTAATTGGCTTCAAAAGTTGTACATATTTCTTTAAGAAAACTAAAACAGAATAAATTTGTGTAACACGTGTGTTACTATGCTTAAAACCACACAAAGTTTATGTTATTCGTTATACAACATTCAGAAAAGCAATTAGATCTTTCAATAAGAATAAAAATATTCTTTCGAAGATATAGTAATATCGAATACATTAATAAATTTATTAATATAAGAATGTATTAATATTTGCTATGTAAAAAAAGAATATAACATTTATTATGAACAATATTATACAGATTGTAGTCGATACTAACTGTGAAATTCTTGACCACTACTGCTTCCACCAGTAAACAATGCTCTTATACCTTCAGGTATTATCACAGCTAATGCGGTGCCAACAAGAAGTCCAGCACCAAGTACCGAAACCAGTTGTAATTTGTCCTAGAAAGATTAAAGGTTCATGATGTTCATGATCATGGAGAGTTCTTTGTAGCATCTGTAACCAGTAGTTCAAGTGCATGATAATTACAGAAAATAATCGATAAGAAAAATCTTTTATCCTTCTGTCTATCATGCAATGAGAAACAAATTACCTCGGATAAGTTCATGACCAACGGCAATGATCCAGAAATACAGGATCCAATTAGCATTACTAGGGATAGCATCCACAACACCGAACTTTCTTCCATTTTTGTCAGATATATTTTTCTCGATAAATAAAAAGCGTACGCTTCACGTAATTGATACTTTCATATTTCATTACATGATATTCATTGACTCAATTACATTTTTAATTGTTGCATCCTGGATAAAGCACGATTCCTGATAACACAGTACCATACAGCACAACCTGTTTTCGTCTACGTAGCAGATTTCGCGGTGAATCGCGGCGAATACAGTGAGTTTAGCTAGCAATGACATCAAACGACACGAAAGCAGCCCACTTTCTACAGCCATAGAAGAGGCAGCACGAGATCACGAGATGTAATAAAATAGTATGTAATTTAACGAAAACTTCTCATTGATCCGTCTGGTTGAAGATCTGATCAAACGTCAAATATATTTAAATTTTGTAAGTATGAAGAATTGAATGAATTTAAACAAGTTTTTAGTTTAAAAAATACTGATTTATAAAAGAAGAAACGATTGTACTCTTTGAATTTATCTTTTTGTATGGATATAAACCAAGTATGTATGTAAAAATAGCGCGAGAATGTAAAAAAGAATTATGAATTATAGTTTCATGGAAATACACTTGCTCATATGGGTAATTGTGACAAGCATTTGTTTCGAGTTTAGGTATTCATAGTAAAATATACACATGGAGACATCTGTCTATTAAGTTGAGGGATTTCTACCCTTTTATACAACCCTACAAATGAGGTATGTATGCACCTCGCTGTGCAGAGTTGGGCAAAATGTAATCTAATTACAAAATTTAAATTACAATTACAATTAAAATTTATTAAAATTACAAAGTAATTGTAATTTAGATTTTGTAGTTGGATTACATTTTGCCCAACTCTGTCGCTGTGGTAAATGAGATAGCCAAAATCGCCAAAATGATTAATGGTGCCATCTATGGTAAAACGTCCAAGTCATTAGCTATTTAATACCGTAGATTACTATCAGATTGCGCCACTACGTCATTTGCATAATTTTATATACATATATATATATATAACTTCTGGAGTACAGGTTATGGATCGAATGGGTAGTTTATCGTAATTCGTACTACCGGTATCACTGTAATGGTATCGAGGAGAGTATGTTACTTATATACATCGAATGTTTCGTTTAGTTCGGTTCTACGATGTCGAAGAAGACAGTTCGTCCTAACTATAAATCGCTGATAAACAAACTATCGTATCGTGACTCGATTGTTAATGAACTTGAAGGAAATTTAATATGATCCATGTCAGATGCTGTGAGGGCCGAGTTCGATGTAAAAGATCAAACGTGTGCCAAACAAATTTTTCACTTCGCCGGGAAAGTGATGCGAAAAGTGTCTTACGGACGATGAACAGAAAGTGATATGTGGTGAAAATTCTCGACGCGTGCTTTCTTCCAAAGCTGTACATGTCAGCCGCCTAAATAAGTAAAAGTACGTATTAAATCGTTGTAATGCATTCAAATCATGTTGATTTGCAATCCATATATCATATACCCTGCAAGTTAATTAATTTCCAATCAGGTGTTTTGAGATAAATCGAAACGTGATGTAAGTAACAAGGCAGTACTGCATTGCGAAAAATGTATTCCTGCAGACGCAAACCGGTTGCAATCGTATAGTTTTAACAGAATTGAATAATTGATAATGGTGTGACAATATTATTTTATGTTACACATATAATCATACACGAAATTTAGCAATTATAATGTTCGTGCTGTATTAAAATACAAAGTTTCCCGAGAATATCCCTCTCTGTGGATACCCCTCGATTAAATTATTAATCGTTCTCTCTCGATCGATTAGTAATGATAATTTATTTCGATCTATACATAGATATATACATGTAAAATATTTTCGTCGATGCATGGACAGGTTTTGATCGAAATTTGTCAAACGAACTTTCGTACGATAACACAAAGTCTGTATACTTATTCCTGAAATGTGTACTACACGGTATGAACAGTTGACCTTGAACTGCATCACACATTTCCTTTATTGATCGTGTTTATGTGTAAAAAATGTAGATTGTACATAGAAAAGTAATAGAAAAATCTACGTGATGTATCAGTACTTCATGATTATCTGAGAAACTGTGCAACTATAATCCAGAAAATAAAGAAGTCGCGATTTTTGTGTTTAGGTGTTCGACAGCGTCCTGATAAACGGAACAAAATATGTGTGCTATCTTATATCGGTACGTCATATGTATTTTCATCTGCTATTTTACGTTTACGTGATAATAATGCACACGTGCGAACGTCATCGGTAGTTTTGCGTATAGTACAGTGATTTTGAAAATGAATACGTCTGTATTTACGTCTTTCTATGATTTAACTCTGAAATGCACTCATTACAGTACATGTCACAAGAGTCAAATTTTATATACGAATGATGCACATTGTGTCCAGGCCCGAGGATTAAGATTTTTTGTGGTCCAGGGCTATCAGATTTTCGGGGCCCCCTTGGTTGAAAGCGGGGGGGTGGGGTGGGGAGGGACGGGTGTTTGTAATACAACAGAACAGAATACATAAATCTTAAAAAGTTTTAATTTATTTTGAATGAAATTAAATAACATTTAATCATAACGAAATGGGAGGTTCAGAACGAGGCCCCCTTGGAACGTGGGGCCCGGGACTACAGCCCCCTGATTGTGTCTGACTATATGTATACTAATAGCATTACTATAACAATATTATCAAAAAGCTGAATAAAAATTTAGGAATATGTTCAATGCACAGGGTGATTTGCCAAACTTGCACTTCTTAAAGTTACTCGTAAATTAGTTGCTAAGTATACGAAAAGATCTGTAAAAAATTTAGAATTAGTAGAATCATATGATAGCTATGGTTACCCTATATTTTATTTACATTGTTAAATACACTGTAGGTATGCACACTACGTTTTGACGATCAGTTTTATAAATGACAAATATACGTTTCGTGTAGCGTACTTGGATGCTTGTAGACAAAAAAAATAGGGCGCTCGGTTAAAAAAACTTGAGGTGACCTACAAAGTTTGGAATGTAAACAGGATAGAGAAGAAAAAATCCCTTGCAGCACGTGTCTCTTTGAAATCGGGTAACCCTCGCGTTTCATACACTTCTCCCTGCAGCAAATAGTTTACGAGTAATTCGAAGTCAGTTCAGGTGAATAAACTTCAGTACACCAACGAATATGATTTTGCAGAAGTAAGAAATGTTCTAGCGGGTAATACGTCGTATTTAAAAATGATATTGTTTGTTAACGTTTATTGTTCTGGCTACTGAATGCTTAAATTTCTCCTCAACGAAAAGTCCCATTAAAAATTATTTATCCGATAGGAATTAAATTGTAAAGTGTTTCCGTAGTTTTAGGTTGATTTCCATTTACATAATTCTACAACCGAACTTTTTCATAAATACGGAACTGTCGATCGTCAAAGGGGGCGTATAGCGATCGCCGTAGATTACGACCTGCTGTATGTTACCGTACTTGTTCGTCCCGTTGCATGCGTTTACGACAGATGGTAATAAATATTTATCTGCTTTTTATATACTTGAGTCAACTTGTTTTTGCTTATCCGATGTACCGTGGGTACATCGAACGTATCGTCGTTGATTCGGACGATCCCAGAACGTTCGAAGAATCGTGAAATTGTGCAACAGCGACCGACCGATGTCGTCTGACGTCGCTGAGAATAGAAACGCAGGAAAAGAAAAAAATAAACAAAAGGAAAAATACTACGTATAAATTCCTCCGGTTATTAACAATCGGTCGTGTTGATGAAATTTCAATAACTTCAAAAATACGATCATGGGAAAAAAAGTGTCGAAATTACGTCAGATGTATAAATGCATCCGTGTCGTGTGACTATTCAAGAGACAGATAATTACATTTTTTCCCCCTATTTCACCAAGTATCGTTTCTCCGAGGGGCATTTGAATAATTTTTTCCGATGACTTCATCGATGGTTAATCTTATCGTTTTCATGTCCCGCTTCGTACGTCATTTTCGTAATAATTTTCAGCTTGGTGTGTATAGAAGAGTCGATAATTCGGTATCAATGTTACTCGGGATTATTATTAAGTATGCGTCTCTATCGTTTCGAAACATTAAAACGTATATAGAGGAATAGAATCTCCGGTTGGGACGCCCAAGTGTGGTCCAGTTGGTGAAGCACTCGTTCGGCAATCGCACGTGTTGTCTCATTAGAGTTCCCCGGTTCGACCATTGGTGGCAGTGTTGTCTAATTCACTGTTCGTTCGTTCATGAAAATCGCCAGAGAAATGACTACGCACGAGGGAAGTTCGGTGGCGTGCGAGGATGGCCCGGATGTCACCGACGACGAGAAAGTACCACCGAGACGGAGCAAGGATGATGATGGGGAACCGACGACAAGGTCGAAATGCAAGCTGGATGCTAGCGGCAGGCTGAACCTGAGGGATATTTTGGTGTCCTTCAACGGGCCGGTCAGCCAGGAACAGGCATGGGCTTTGTGTTACCAAACGGCCAAAAGTCTGTCGCGTATGCCGGGCAACAGTTTCTATGAAATCTCGGAGTTATCGCAGATCGTCCTTCACAAGGATGGAGACGTGTGGCTTGGCGATCTAATCGGTAAGATTACGTACATACGTATGTATATACTTCTATTTCTGTTATCTCCTTATCGTTGGTTGTTTTGTATTCAATGACAAAGACAAATGAAACAAAAAGTATTAAGCATACGTGGATTAGATTAAGGATATTAAAGCACTGTAGTTGAGATGGTACACTGTACCTTGTACCCTCGCGAGCAAACTCGGCTTCCGTTAGGGCCGATTTTCCGCTCGTCTAATGTTCACTCTTTCACTTGTTACAGAATCAAAGCAACCCCCTGTTTCCGAGCAAAAGGTAAGCAAACCGAAAACGAAAGTCCGTTTGTTGTTTATGTGAAAAATAATGTTCCCTTCTTATACACAGGCGATATTCTCATTAGGCATGATGATCTTTAAAGCGCTTGATTTCGGCCTAGACGAGCAAGAGGAAAGGCCTTTATCACCGGATCTAGAGGGACTTATAACGTTAATGACTGGTTCAAACGAGGGTAATATTTCCTGAAGAATAAGCATCGTTGGTACCATTACAGCAGGCTGAGATTAAGATTTTTTGCGGCCTAGGGCTATCAAATTTTCGGGGGCCCCCTTGTTTGAAAATTGGGGGGGGGGGGGGTTGTAACACAGCACAACAAAATGCATAAATATTAAAAAATTGAAATTTATTTTAAACAAAATTAAATAACATGGAATCATAACGAAATTGAGGGTTCAGACCGGGGCTGCCTAGATTCCCCCCCCCTTGATCCGGCGCTATACTACGGTATGACGAAAATTGTGTGAAAATAATTCTGTTATTTTTCCTGGTACGCAGAATGCTAAGAGCGTCCGCAGGAAACGGACGACGAAGGCATCGAGCGGGATTCCAGCGATGCCGATGTAGATGAATTTTTGTCGCAAAAAAGTAACGACACATACGAAGAAAGAAGGCTGTCTATGTATTCGTTGAGAAATGTAATGCAAGTAGGTATAACGTTTTAAAATTTTCTTGGTCGTAACAAGCCTCTCTGATATTTTTTACTGTATTGATTCGTGTATTAATTTATAGTTATGTACCAGGCACATGCAGGCCAGCATTGAGTCTGCCGAGGCTCATTACAAAGCTGTAATACGGGCATTTGTAGCGGAAGCGTTGGAACTGTCGCAATTTTTGGACAGAGTGGCGGCTGAGAAGCTGCAGGCGAGTCAGAGGGAAGCCGCCAGCAACGACGGAAATAATAAAATAAACTCGATGTCTGTCCAGAATCTTGATACATTGGATTTCATTGATTGGGTAAGACTTTCGACTGTTCTCGCGACGCGAGAACCATTTATTTACAACATGATTCATGCTATGGGCTCATGCGAAGGCAGCGTTTTCCTGCTACAAGACGTTTCGTTGAAGTCTCGTAAAATTATAGATACAAACTTAGCTGGTTAGTAGAATTCTAAAAAAGAAAGAATAATGGAAAAATGTTCGATAAATTTATTTATTCTATCAACCGGTGAACTTGGTGCCTGTAATTTTAATGAAACACGCGATGGCGATGTAATACCATACACGGTTTAAAGTTGAATTCATTTCACTCTTGAGAACGCTCTAAATTCGAAAACACGACACGCGATTTAATTAGTGCGTTCATGTATGAATTACTGTGAAACACGTACCAGTACGTTTAATAAGTGGTGTGTAAATGAAGCAACTAACATTATTCTGTCCCATAAAGTCATTTGTCATTTTGCAGAGATAAGATATTTGAGATTTATTGACATGACTCTCTACCGTTATAGACTGACATTAGGATTTGGAGGGCTATACAAGTACGTCATCATTGATATAATTGTTTGCGCATGTGAATAGGAAGTGTTAGTGCTTAGAGTGTGCGAACACGAAGCATGCTTAGACATAATTATTTCTGCACAGTTTTCAGACGTTCAGAGCCTTTGGTATCGTGAAATTTCAGCATATTCACTCCCCTATAAATGCATGTATCCACTTTCCATCCATTTCACGTACAGTGTATAAAATAATGCAAAAAGTTATATTTGTAAACTACATTTTAAATATACAGACTCCCCTCGATTATTGTCTTGCTTGTTCTACACGATTATTGTCCAGGCGTTATCCCCACCATTGGAGAAGAAGGACGTGGAATCTGTCAAGCGCATATTTTGTTGTCCCTCCGCTTTTATTGCCAAGGCTTGGGCTTCGCGCAAAAAACGAAATTACGAGGGTCTGAAGCATTTCACCCTGTACAATTATTGTCCCGGCGCGGACCCGAGTTCGGGACAATAATCGCGAGGAGTCTGTACTACTATATGTATACTGTCATCTACGCGAACACTGACCAACTTACAATTGCAGCAGTTATTGGGATCTATACTTTCTATAAAGATAAGAAGATGCACTAGATAAAGAAATGTATAGTGACTGACACGTTTGTTCACGGAAGGCTGTCATTTTTGTATGATCATATTCCGTACAAAAATGCGAATTTTATTTCAAAATTAGGAAAAATTTACCACAAAAGTACCATAAATGTCTAGATAATTGCAATAAATGAGACTAATCACAAATAAGAATCTATCATAATATTGGTACAATAAAGTTAAGAATACCGTGATATTTCACAAATTTACTTTTATCCAGTTGGAAAATATATAAATATCTGCGGTCTAGTTATAATCTGTGATATAAAAAAAAAAAGAATCTAAAAGTAGCCATGTGAAATCTACAAAAAGCCATTCGTTTAATCTATGCTACGAATTTTATACACTTTAAACTGTGAAGCACAACTTAATCCGGCAATCTGAAAAAAAAAAAACGTATTTTAATAGGCACGATTTTGGGTACAAGTTATTCAAGAATTGAGGAAAGGCGTGAAATTGAAAAAGGTGGAAGCGAACCTCGGCTCAAAGAGTACAACGCGTGGACACGGTAAAGGGGCGGAGTTTGAGTTAACGCCGTATGAGATCTTGATGAATGATATTCGAGAAAGGAGGTACCGACTGCGGAAAACGCCATCACCGTCGCCGCATTTGCGAAAAGATGCCCACGCCATTATTCTCGAGTTTATACGGAGCAGACCACCTTTAAAAAAGGTAACTTTTTCCCTCCACAATGCTTGTATTACAATCTTATCACCCTTAGACTTATCCCCAGTAATTAACCCACGGTTCAATAATGCGATTAATTTGACATCCATATTACGATGTATACAATTCAATATATATATTCCTTTAAAAAAAAAAAACAGAATTCACTCGAACGTATAACAATCGTCGGTTCAACGCATAACGTTCACGAGGACATTTTCGGCAGTGTATTTATTGGAATTTTCTTCAGGCCTCGGAGAGACAACTGCCGCCGTTGCAGAAGGAATGGACTCTACGTGAGTTACTCATGGAGAGCATAAAAAAACCACCGAATCTGAGACCATCGCGCAACCGATACGTTCCTAAGAACGAGCGAGCATCCACAAAGAATGGTGAGTTACGTTCTCTGTTTACACGCACAACAATAATTTTTGCATGTTACGCGTCATGCTGCTTTATAAAATACATCTTCATTCGTGTATGACGTTCAATAAATCAATAAAGGAGACATACGCAGCGAGTTTATATTTGTGCACTGGTGATTACACGTTTAATGTATGGCAAACGCTTCGCGACATTCGAATTCTACTAAATGTATCTACAACACCACTTTACATTTAATTCTATTTTCATGAAACTTACCGATCTGTGGTGACAGTGGTTAAACAGAATACAATGAAAAAATCAAGAAACTTCTGAAATTTTTCAAATCTTGCGAAGCGTTACTCTACATTGATAAAATCATTTGCAAACTCTGATTGCTGGTCTTATATGGTACCTCAATAAATCTTCCTGAGTTAGTTAACTACCAATAATACGATTCGAGTTAGAGAATTAATTTTTTTTGTATGAAAAGTGTCACCCTTTCGAGGATTAGTCACGGAATTCCGATTCAACTTGCATTATATTTCAAACAGGAAAAAAGGAAAATTAAATAACGTATATATGGCGTTTAAAATTCTATAAAAATTAATTATAAATACTAAAAAATTTCTCCAACAACGAAATTCCATTTTCGTTAAACAGAAACTGTGCGAAAAAGGTTCACCTGCATTGGACAGGAACTTCTATCGAAACGTAAAATACCGGTATTATATCGGTATTTTCGGTTGTACTTTCGCTCTATATAAGTCCTACCCGTATAGAATCTGAAAAAATACCGGTATTTATTTCGGTTTCGGTATAGTTTTGATGGCATAATACTGATATCAAAATCATACCGGTTTAAGTCCCTGGCATTGGACAGGATAAGAAATATCTAAATGGAGTCGAGTCTACGTCAGCTAACGTATCCATTAGAAACCTTTACGGACCGACCGTACACACAACCCACGCGTCGTGCACGTGTGACTGTATTTTCCACGAAAATATATTTACCCAATAAGTATCCATGCGCAAGGATGCAAGGCCGCGACGCGCGCGGGCGCACAGAGCCTACACGGCTCTGCGCCGTATCTCTTCGCCCCTGATCTCGAGAGTACACCCTGGCAATTCCTCGCGGCTCGACCAAAACAGTGTGGTATCCGTGTCATTCGTATTATTCTAATAATAATTTCCCTCCATAATGCTTGTATTCCACTCTTCTTACCCTTAGAATTCTTCCCACTAATTAACCCACGTTTCCATAATGCGATTAATTTGACATCCATATTACGGTGTATACAATTCGATATACAGTAATGTCTCGATGAGTGCGACGTATTTGCTCGGGTCCACTTCGGAGAATTTGTGGCAAGGCGAAAAGATTTTCAGCCCTTCATAAATTTGTTTTTTGTTCGAAGATGAGCCTCTGCCTAGGTTCTGTTTAGCTCTGTTTTGATTGGTTCCACATGGGGACTGCCCCAGTGGTGGGAATAACGCCGTTGCTCGTGTCGCACTCATCGAGGAATCACTATATATTCCCTTTAAAAAAAACCAGAATTATTCTACAATACTTGATTGGGCGAAAGAAAAAGAAATAAATTCTATGTTTCGGCGGTCCATTTCTCTCGTCGCGACCAATCCGTATCCTCGATCTCGTTCGCGTCCAGAGAGGGTTGGTCTGAATGAATCATGATTCGCGGAGGGTAGGCCGCCGGCTTAGACATCGGCGAACCCCAGACGTAGCGCGATCAATAACCGAAAGCGCGGAAAGGGCGAGAGAGAGAGAGCTGACGTCGTCCGAGAACGTCATATCGTGCCGGAGAGAACCACATCGAATCGTTGGGTTCTCTGGTGTCACGTCGCTGTGGCTATCCTACCTTTCGTTTCGCGTTGTTCCTTCTCGTTATTCTTGCGAAAAGAGAGGGACGCTTTAAATCGACCGTGAGATATCCTTCATCGGACGTTTAAACGTGTGTGTCAGTGAGTCAAGTGCAGTGGGAGAAAGGGACAGGACACACTAACGAGCACGTGTACTTCAACGGTCTGGACCAGAGTGACTCGCGACGATGGAAAAGATGAACAGATGAACAGAGGACAGAGCCTGGACGCCGGTAATCCATTCCACATCTGTATTTAATATTTTCCAACGGAGACGAAATCGTCGATCAGATCTCCACTGTCTAGAATCCTCGACGGAGAATAGTTTTTCCGATTGATCCGCACGATTTATAAAAAGAAATACCGTGTTCGTTCGCAGGCCACGAGATTCTACGATCGAGCCAAGGAGAGAGATTCGTAGAGGAATCGGCGGTTAGAGCGACACCCAGTCGGACACCTCGTCGTCGTTATCCCAAGTAAAAAAACCATTGTACAGAAAAACCGTTGCGCAAATATGTTAGGACCCGGGGATGGAGAGGAAATTTAAACGATGAGACGAATGATCGTAGGCGGTGAGTCCCGCATGATAGTCCTGGGCGAAGTTCCACCGTCGCAGCCGGAGCAGGAACAGGAACCCGCGCAGGATGTGGCGGCTCAGTGGTTGCAGACAGAGGGCGCTGCGGCCAATACAGCGTCAACAACCACGGGGGGGAACAACGCAACCGCGGTTACTGTACCAGCCCCCGCGAGCCGAAGTCGAACGAATGTACCACCGGTGCCGCAACCGAGACAGAGAATCGGCAAGCCTGAGATCAGGGTACCGGGAATCAGGAATCGTAAGTCGCGTAGAAGGCGCATTACGGTCGCAGGTAATCATACACCCATTCACTTTCTCTTCGCCCCCGATGTGACTGGTAATAATATATGTATGAAGAAGAATGGCTCTGCGATGAATATATACTTTGTCACGGTACTCTGTTCAATGATCGTTTCAAGTTACAAGTGAAACAAAGTTGTTGATGGATGTTGGTTTACTTCTGTATATGTACATTGACGAGCAAAGTCGGCTTCCGGTAGGGGGAAAAGGTGAAGTTGGCTAAGGGCCTCCTACCACTTGGTAAATTTATTTAAGGTACTGAAATAAATGTTAAAAGGAATGTTAATTTTATATAAATTTCAGTAATTCTCGATACCAAGTGGTAAGAGGTCCTTCGCCTACTTCACTTGTTCCCCCGGCGGAAGTCGACTTTGCACGTTAGTGTACCACCTGTCTTGACGCACACTGAATATACGTATTAGTGTTAGTTCTGTGCATTAATTTTTGTATTATTTTCTTTTTATTATTATAATATGCTGTAATAGGTATTGAATCTTTTTTCTAAGCAATTACTAGTTAATACAAGTTTTTACACTGAGGAGCAAACTTGGCTTCCTCTTGAGCTACGGGAAAAAGCAATGTAGGGATAAAGTCCTCCTATTACTTGATAAATTTATTTCAAATTTTGAAATAAATGTTAAATCGAACGTTAATTTAGCATAAATTTCAGTAACTCCGCGACCAAATGGTAGAAGGACTTTCCCTTACGTCACTTTTTCCCCTAGCGGAAGCCGAGTTTTACTCGCGAGGGTCTGTTGCAAGCGGTAGAGCGCGGAAGTGACCTTTGTTTATGTTTGGGTTATGGTTATATGAATTAGGAGAAGCATCTTTTATATGTAAAGCTTGCAATCAAGAAAAGTTCAGAGTTCACAATTAAAGTGCAAGTTTATAAGGAATTATTTCAATGTAAAAATATTACTCTATAAATCGTATAAATTTAATGCTTGTATTTAGTTCAACGCATGCTCAGGAAACAGTAATGTATGTATCCGAGATTTTCTGAGGTACCATTGTATTATTTATGTTTTCTTTTTCCATTGAAAAACAGATCATATGTCATGTTCATTGATCATTGGCATACATACTCCCATGCTTTTTGTGACAGTAATTGACATAGTTGAAATCCGTGTGTACGAATGAAATTTATAGATCAAACCCAAAGTAGTGCCGACAACAAAGGCAATGTGTCAACTGCAATACCAAAACCTGCTCGGAGGGATCTGGATGGTTCAAGTTCTACAACCAGCAGGCGAAAAGTAATACCCGTGGATTTTGATTTGAAGGTAGACATTAATTTTATACGAACTAAAAAGGGACTAAAAGGCACAATGATTGTGTGATTATTGCATTTAATCTAAAAATTTAATAATCAACCGATTTTGAGTAGAAAAAAACTACCCCTACGAAAGGCCTGCGTCGCTCAAGAATAATTTCTGAATCCAAATTTCTTTTTAATGAACAGCTTGACGCAGAGGATGATGATGATGATGAAGACTACAATGAAGAATTTGCAGTTACGAGATTTGAGGAAGAAGATGAAGCACCGAATTACTGGCACCTTAAAGAGATGTTTGTGGAGAGAGGCAGTACTCATAGCAGACATAAAGATAACAGAGACGACGACGAGGCAGGCTCTGCAAATCCTTGGCGAAAAACGGGCGGACTCCGGTTGACAAGAAACGAGTATCACCGATTTTGTGATACCCAATTGGAATGTGATTATCCCTTGGAAATTGAAACACTTTTATTTCGTGTCAGATACGATTTCCAATTAATATTCAACTAATTGTATTTTGCAGCCTATGATCTTGCGACTCAGTGTCCATCTAGAAGAGCATCAGCTCGAAAACATGCCGCCAGACGCAGTATAGCCATCACAGCATTAACCGGCACAGCATCTCTTCCTCATTCAAGACCACAGAGTCGTCAGCACGTAGGCGTGACGGAGTCGACGTTAAGTCAAGGTCCCAGTCCTAATATCAGTCTGAACCCTAGTCCAAGTTTGAGTCCTCAGCCAAGAGCAAGACAACCACGTCGTTCTCAAACAATCGCCGAAGGTACAAAAGACACACCGGATCAAAACGAGGAGTGGCAAGAAGATAAAGGACAGGTAGGAGACCGTTGAAAAATTGCCAGTAGCAATGAACCTTGACAGATACGAATCATCATTCAAAAACAAAAAAGTTATTGTTGATATACGTGTTCCTTAAAACGTGTTACGTATTAATAATAGATAGGACGTTTTACGAGAAATGTTTTGTCGATATTAGGTAAATTATCTTCTCTTCTCGTTCTAGAAACCAACGTTAGGCGACATGTTCCTGGACGAAAGGCTTTCGTTAACTCTCGAGGAAATTGTGCACATTCGCAGCGTACTTACCAAAGCTGAATTGGAATCTCTGCCTGTAGAAGGACGCGTAAAAGAGGACGTGGAAAAACGGCGGGTCTGTTTCCTTTGCCTGAAGACTAGATTCGGACTGTTGGGCCCTTGGGGACAACGCTGTCGTTTGTGCGAGAGAACGGTGTGCGTGAAGTGTCACTCGAAAGTGAGTTCTGGACCTGTTCAATAAGAATCCAAATTTTAGTCAATCCTTACTACTCAAGTATCTTTACTAATATCACGTTCGATGTCGTAGATGCGTATCCCAACGGAACATTTTGCACATGTGCCGGTGGTTTTATTGTCACCTGGACTTCTTCTTTCTCCGTCGTCCTCCGAACCGGATACCAGCAAGAGTTCTTGGTTAAGGGGTAACGGCGCAGCTGGCTCTGCGCCGGCATCGCCAGCCTCGAGGCGTAAAGATTCATCCCTGAAAAGCGTGACACCTTCATCCACGCCGAATACGACGCCAGTTTTGATACTCACACCGACCTCAACACCGCCGTCTCACGCTCGTAAGGAGCCGGAACATCTGGAGAAAAGGTGATTCTAGTTGAATTGAAATTCGCCGGCTTGTGAACTTACAATTTGTACAAATAATTTGTCAGTCTTAATATATACTCTATAGAACATAGTTCCCCAACCTTTTATGGGTCACCGCCCCCTTTTCAAAATTTTTTTTTGTTCAACGCCCCCTTCGGTTAAACTATCTCTATTATCAAAATTTCCAAGTGTAGTTGTGCTTAATCTTTGAATCTCAAAATGTTAAATTGAAAATAAAATAACTGGAACGCCCCCTCGGATCTCCTCAGCGCCGACTTTGGGAACCTATGCTATAGAATATGGTCTCGGTACTAATTTCCAAATTTTTTTACGCAGGAATTACAGAGGCAGTGGCAGTCCAGCAAACGTGCCATCGCCGAAGGCGTTCGCCGGTTTCGGCAGTCACGGTTCGGAGCAACGATTGGTCGCGGAACGGTTGCGCGGAGTCTCCATGGTCGTTTGTCATGACTGTCGCATAATGGTGATACAGATAATCAAGAGTTCAAGAACGACACGGGCTACATTACGCAACAACGTCATTTCGCGACTTACATTGAACCTCTCGCCGGCGTACGTATGAGAATCCGCCCCTCGGAACCGGATGTCCAATGCACCAGGTTTCGATTGGAAAACAGGGGCGTCTTCGTCGCGATTCCGATAAGTGGATGAAACGCCTACGGGTGCCAGTAACGGTGGCACCGTAGATTAGATTCCCTTCTACTTGTACCCCGATGTCTTCTTGTTCTCATTGAAAGGCTAATCGTCTGCGAATGGTTGCCCGTCTCTCTTCAAAACAACGAGTGCATAAGTTACTACGAAACGGTTTAAATACTACGATTGGTTCTAAACTTCGACACACAACGCTATAGCGAAGGATTACGTGTAATCATTTACTAAGATTACTGTGTACCTTCTGTACAGTTACAAAAATCTTCAAGCAATCTTTTTCTCATCGAAGGAATAAAATCTGTTGTTTAAATGGAAAGAAAATACTCGTTTAAATATGATAGGAGTACAAGTGTGCAGATCAGGATAGATCTAAAGGTACTTCAGTTAAATATGGCGGCGTTTAAGAGGAGAAATCTAGTACGAGAAACCGGCATACAGTGGCATCTAATATAGTCTACGTACCTACATTCAGGCTTATATCTAAGTAGTATCGTTAATGCATGCAAATTCGAGAATGAAAAATGATATAATTATATAGTTGAATATTTCATTACGGTGGCTAAGCCTCCATATTTTGGTTCGCAACGGTGGTGAACTATTTTTGCTTCCCAATTCAATGATAATTACTATACTATTTAATCTTAATGGTAAAGAAAGATGGACACGCCATGTGTGCATTCTCTCAGCTCATAAAAACTGGGAATCCGTTTAACTCGAATAATTGTTCCCGGTTACGAATATTATGCGCATTTGCCCCCCTCCTACGTCGTTGTAAACACTAAGTCTATGTAATGTGACGTTTAAAGTGGAAATTAGTCGAGGAATATTGATCGTAAAAGGATCAGCGACAGAGCAGAATATGTCGAGACACTAAATGTAATCTATGCGTATCTGTGCCAGAGTATCTCGTTTCACGCGACCGCAAATTTGAGTCAGTAAATCATAATTTGCTCGATTTCGATTCGCTATATATATATATATATATATTTCTAACATGTTTCTATTGCGTCCGTATCGTTTCATTTTCATTTGTAATCTTCGCGTCGATATGATACTGATTCCGTTTGAAATCTTAACGTCTTTACGTTTCTCATTAATCAAATTTCCGGTGAGAGGTACGCGTACGTAAGCACACATATATTTAACTAACTAGTAAGAAAATCAACCGAAAACACTTGGAAGAACCCCAAAATGAAATGAACGTTGCATACATGTTCGCGTCCGCGTGACACTAGCTGAATATATCCTAAGAGATAACCATTAATTTATATAGAGTCAGTGTCGGATGCACAATTGTACAATAAGTCAGTTGTGATTGAATTTGTTGATTGAAACGTTCGTATGATGTTATTGTGATATTATTTATTATTTTGTATGTTCGTATATTTATTGAAATTATTTATTTAACTCTGCGAGAAAATCAGCAGAGGTATTTCCTTTGTATTGTAAATATAATTATTATAATGTGTATTTTGTGCGATTTGTACGAACGTGTAGTGCAGTCGTTTTACTTTGTTACTCGTTACTATTATTATTATTATTATTATAAATAGTTATTATTTGTCAACGTTAAGCGCGGAAAAGATTGTTCGTCTTCTTCCTTTTTTTGTTGTATTATGGTAAATGCAAATGAATTAAATTGTACACTGAAGCAAATCGAAAAGTCGAGCGGGGAAAGAATTAAGAGGTGGCTCTTGTTGCGGTCACATTTCTAGGAGTTTAGTACAATGAAGTGGCTGTTCACCTGTACAGATTTAGTGCTGTTAAAGAGGATATGTACAAACGTATAAACTGATAGTGGTTCAGAGTACAAAAGAAGAGGGGAAACAAAAAATGATGAAGATGTGAATTGCACTACGATTATTGCTGGTACGGTCTAGCACTGAATTGTATACGTAACAGTGAAACTATAAATTTGTTAATATGTAATGTAAATCGGTGAACACTACGAATGGACAGATTGTTTCAGTTGTGAAAAACGGAGTTTATTTATTTTTTTAGTCACAGCTAGATTCCCAAATGGTTTCCAGCAAAAATCAAAATGATATATACTCCTGTAGTACCTCATGACGATGTACAATAATAGATCACCGATTACATGAGAAAAGCACATCCCCCCAAACATATATATTGTGCGAATTACACGAACAAAAAGTATTCCACGTTTGTAGAATGTAATTACAGATAAGCGAAACTAGAACATACAACAGAGTCACAACGGTATGATATTACAACAAGACGCAAGAGGATTTACACGGTGGCTGATACGAAAATCATCGATTATATTAATTTATCGTTTTTTATGTGCAATGTAATATGTATACCAATGAATGATTATTAGAAATCTTGTTTTTATGATGAAAATGACCAAAATATATTCTACTCCAATGCATTACACTGAACGTTCTCTCTGATTAAAAAAATGTCTATCTCCTTTTCTACACATACTTTATTGAAAATATTAAAATTTTTATATTTGTAAAAGTTACGACCTATTCACGTTTTTTTTTCATTAATGTTGATATTTTAAATTTAGAGAAATACATTCCTTTGTGTTATTTTGAAGATAGTGTGAAGTAATATCAATGATTTTAAGATCAGTATTATGTTTTTAATGTAAAAAAATGTATACGCGACCTTAATATGTGTTTAGCATTTTTAGTTAACGGATACTTGATGCTTAACGTTTACTTTCATATCATAGTAATTATTTTTAAATACATATTTTCAATACGTCCTTAAACTTTAAACATAATCACATCATTCATTTTATAGAAATCACCATATAATTTCATTGTTATTATTCAAATCGTAGTATTGGGATACTACTATTAAATTACAATACAGTCGAAAAAAGTAATGTAGATTACAATTATTATTATCGAAAGCGAAATGTGATTTCGTAAACCTGTAAGATAAGTAGATTTATATTTTTTTTTATTGTTATTATTAATAGTTTAATGTTAATTGTTAAAACGATCCACACTTCGGAATAAATAAGTACACTTGAAATTAAACGCCCTAAACTACTAAATTAAGTAATTATTGTTAATAAAAATCGGATTTTGAAAATTATATAATATCAATCATTTTTCTAAAATGGACGTTTTCCGTGTGCGATTATTGAATTATGGTAAACCGCGAAACTCATTTTTGTGAATGTTCCATGTATGTAACTTACATGTATAATTAAGGCAACAGTTTCCCGATATTTAGTTATTAATCGGTGGATTATTATACCTCGAAGACGAAATTGAATTAACTGTCAAACTGCAAAGCTTGCTCCTCTATATCAGCTAATACAATACACACTAAACCTAGCATATATAATGTAATATTTACATGTAATACTGACAAATCACAAAATTTCCAATAGATTTATTGAAAGAATGAAACTCACGTTGGGAAAACAAGTACAATATTGCGTAGCAAAAATTCCAGTGAGAAACATTATCACAGCCGTACATTCTATTAGATGCATGTAAAGGAGAATATAATGGTCACAGTAATGAAAAATATCAGAAGTTTCAATAATAATATAAAAAAAAAAGGAGAGTACAAGAGAGAAGTAACATTAAATACAATCATTGTTCGAAAAGAAGATCATATGAACATATGCACAAAATATTCTATATATATACGAGGATATATCAAAATAAAAAAGTAAACACAATTTAATGCATGTAAATATTTATACATTATATAGTGGATCACAGAATTATTAAACGCTTGCAATCGAGACTTTCCAACTGAACTTACAAAATTTAAGCAAAATTTAACTGTATACAAAATACTATATACATATATATATGTGTTACTTATACATATATATGTATAAGTAACAGTTTCAGATAAAAGTTGTGTTGGTGCTTCTATGGTAGCTTCTCAAAGTTTATCAATATTTGATTTAGGTTCTAAAACTGAATACGACTTAGATACCCTTGTTATTATAGCGACTACAAGGTTCAAATACCGTTGTGTGATCCACTGTACGAAAAATGGATGTTACCGGTGTTACCTTCATGATCAATCAACTCCATTGCGAAGTAAAGGTCGTAACAACTCTCTTAACTTACCACGCTATATCACTTATGAGTAGACGCGGATATGTTTACCGTAAATAGTACATGTAAATATACAGAACACACAATACAGTAAACACTCAGACGTTTTTATTTTGTTCGTAATTTAATAAGAATCATTCATAGAAAAATTAACCTGAATAATTACCCTACGACAAATTATATATTTAGTACCGTAAGGATACGCATCAAGTGGATACGCACCTCAAGACATTCATCGATAATTTACAGTATAAATATAGAAAAAGAAGTTTACACGACATCCGCAGTCTACTTATGAGTTACGGTGGTAAATAAAGTTTCAGAAGGCAGTTAAAAGAAACTCGGTTCTGGCACGAAATGAATACTCATGTCTCTGACTTAATAATTACTTTTTAATTTCAGCAGCTTTTAAATATAGATATATCTTTGTACATACACGTGTGAGTGCGGCTATTGCTGTTTCCGACAGGTAATGTGTTTATCGTCTGTGTAAAGTACGAATTCAGCGTACGTCAACGTTGCATCACGTCGAGGTAATCAGCAGATAAGAGCTTCGTGGTCGACACGCACGAACTGCGCCAGGAAACCTAATGTTTCGTTAGTCCTCGTCGAACTGCCTTAGGGCGCCAATATTTTTCTCTGCGCTTTAGTCGTCACGTACACTGCGCATATTAAACGAATTTACACATTAAACGAATATGATTTTATTTACATTTGAGCGACAAATACACAGTGGATCCCTGTTGTTTCGTCTATCGAATCGCAATAATACTACTTATCAGTATCGATGATTTCAATGAAACGTATCAATATGAAAATCCCATTGATACACGGTGAAACGGAACTCGGAGACGCGTTTTCGATCGAATAAAACGACAACGACGTACGTGTAGTTCTCTCTAATAAGAAACAATGAATTATGTTACAATAGTCTCTCGTTTAGGTGTACTTCGGTTACTCGTTCCACTTGTCCCGAAGGTTAAGTGGTGCTATAACCCTTATCCTATTGATATACAAAAATTCAAATTTGTATCGTTTCCTTTCAACGATCTTAACGGAGAATGTTAGTGAACTGGTCAGTTCGTAAACTAATAAAATTGTACAATAATCAAGCGAGCTTGAAGCTGTCAAACGATAACAATATACGGTGGAGCAGACAGCATGCATTTTAAAAATATAAACATTAAGTTCAGAATATTTCTTTTTAACAACGGTAAATTTTCTTATTATTTCATGTTACAAATTTTCACATCTTTCACGTGAAAATAACCCGAGTAGTTGAATATACAGTATACAAGGTGTAACAAAAATATTGCAGGTCCTTGAAAAGGGTCACTCGTGAGGTGATTTGAAACAAGTTTTTCCTTAGCAAAAATGTGATATGAAGCTGTGTTAACGAGATATTAATGAAAAACTCCGACCAATGAGAGCGCAAGTCTGCCGAATGAACTCGCGCTCTGATTCGCCGGGGTTTTTCGTTAATATCTCGTTAACAAAGCCTCGGATAACATTTTTGTTGAAGAAAAACTTGCTTCAAATCACCTCACGAGTGACCTCTTTCAAGGACCTGCAACATTTTTGTTACACCCTGTATAATAGGACTCCGTGTGTCTGATGTATACGAGAGACTGCAGTAAATTTGAATATGGCCAGACGATAATGATCGTGATCTAGTATTCGGAGTACGGTCGCATAAAAGAAAACAATAATACAATGAATTTCGTGTTCTGCGTGAGGTCTATTCGCGAAGCCAAGAGTCGTAAAATTCGCGACGATCTTGAGAGCATGCTTGTGAAATAAAACCTTTGAAATGCGAATTATTATATACAATTGTGACTGATTTATATTTTCGTTAGATGTTTCATGTCTCACTCGTGGCTTTGAACGCTAATGCGAGGCAAGTAACGTATTCGGTACTATCCTAGAGAACAGTCGAAAACGAAGTGAGAGGTAAAGCTAAAAGTACGTAAACGCCTACGGTTTAGTATCTAGTCAAATTTTGTCATTGTTGGCAACAGATTAATAATCGTAATGATAATAATAATAATGATAATGACGATGATGGATATTCATCGTAAACAACATTCCTGTACAGGATGCTCTATAGTAACTAGTTCGCGACGAACGGGAAAACCTGCTGTCACGCTTAGAAGGCTACATCGAGGAGAAAAAACATGTACGAGAGAGAGAGAGAGCATGTAAGAATAGTCCTTTCGATTTCATTTAATTAGTCTGAGATCAGCGTGCACAGGAATATTCTTCTACGTAATAAAGATATAAACTTAACTTCGGTTAATAAATAAATATTAAAGACGCATTATAAAGAATGTGATGCTTACTGGAAGACGGTATTAGAATCTGACTGTAAGTGATTTACTTCTATTTCATTAAAAGAGAGGGTATATGAGGATACAGTTGTAAAATTTCCAATAATCATGATTATCCAAAGATATATAGCTACCTTATGTTCCCCACAAAACAACCGTTAAGTAAAAAAATCACGTTTACAAATCATTCCATTAAAATCATCTAAAAGTTATACCTTAAAACAAACAAGCCAGAGAAAAAAGATACACAGAGACATGAAAACGTTCTCGCGTTTAGAGACAAAAGAAAAGAAAGAAAGAAAAAACACATGATTAATACTGAGATATACAAATCACAGAATAATAAATGATTCAAAAAATGTCTTCTAATCCATTTCAACTGTATCCATTGACTCTCTCCGCTACGCAAACCACCGTTCCCGCAGAAGTGCTGGGCAACAAGACTCGATTGGGAGCATGAAAAACTCATGCAATTTGTCTCCCTTCCATCAATTTTCCTCCGTGTGTGTGTGTGTGTGTGTGTGTGTATGTGTTTTTTTTACATATAATGATTCGAAGAAACAACGGTATCTTAGCATCTTCGGCTCTGTTCCCGCGATCTGATGCTCCAGCACTCTAGTCGCACGGCTCTAAATTTATACATAAACAATCGGTAAACAATGATTAACGTATGAGACAGGTAGCACAAATACGTTGAGGCCCGATGCAGTCGTCGTGACAAAATGCGCCACACTGACGGCATATCACCATTGCACCTCTCATGTTACATTCGCAGGGGGGCGGTGGATCCCCACCAATGATCATACCAGGCGCCACGGGTTCGGCGCCACCGCCCCCTCTGCCGTCGGCACCTCTCGCCTTTAACGTCACAGCTTGATGGGAACCCTCCCCGGCACTGGCTGGCCTACCACGTACCAAATGCACACCAACGCCCATCCCGGCTATTTGGGGTGGCAACGGTGGTGCTGAGGACGCCCTAGGCGCACTGTCCCCGACGCCTGTCCTTTGTACAAGTATATATTGCCCTAGTCCACCAGTCGTTGTGGATCCTAATTGTGCTACGGTATTGCTTTCTGGAACCTGGAAAATTCGATCTCACCGTTAGCCACGAAATCAGTATTTCGATTGCCGTCGAACAAAACGCTGGAATTTTATAACGTTCTTTACGGTGGAAAAGTTTCCAATCAGGGAAATTCCATCATTCAGAATGTATTTAATTGTGTTATAATCACTCGCTCGTTTTAGCGAACGCTATCGCCTTGTTTACAGAGTGAAGTTATGTTATTATTTTCTACTACAATTTAGAAACTCAAAACTAGTTAAAAAGATTTATTTATTTTAGGTACCTGTATGATACAGTGATCATCACAAGCCACCCGCGAGATTAGCACTGTACACACAGAAAAATATAAAATAGTACACACACGGATGCAGGCTTGAGTTTCTATTTTTATACAAGTGATTCGAATGCAGGCTTGCGAGATTAAATAAAAGGAAATAAGCATGACTTCTCTAACACACATATATGTACTTTATACGATTCCGATTACTTTTCAAATTAATTAGTTTTTTTTTACAAGAGATTTGTTATTCAAGTCGTACGATGTTTGAGAATGAGTTTCATGAGAGCAATGCGCTTTTAGAAATCAGAATAAAACAGAAGAAACACAGTGCAAGCTAAACTGCAACGTAAACCGTTCAGAAGGGTGTACCGTACCTCTGCCGATGTGGCTTGACGCGCTGTGGCGAACACGTGTCTCAACATAACTGCCTGCGGTTTATTTTGAGCCGGTTTATTATGTTGTATCGTTTGCGACGGTTTTTGGGTCTTGACGGTGGTGATCGTACGACCGCCAGACTTGCTGGTGGTGAACGCCCCGTCACCTCTGGCAAGCAAGCTGGGCGGCGGTTTCAAATGGGCCTTCAACTGATCCCTGTTCGGCGAACTCTGTATGACCTGGAACGGCAACGAAACGTTTACCGTAATAAAAATAGAGTAACCACAGGTTCATTGCTTCAAAGACATAGCGTTACTGTATTGGTCTCTTTAAATTACCGCTTGACAGATCTGGTAGCTCCGTTCTAAATTCACAGCGCCTGGTGGTTCTTTCGTGGTGCTCCGAGATCTGCCTCCTCCTTGCTCCTTGTTGTTACTCCTGGAGCCCCTTTGACCGCCTTGATTATTCGATCGCGACGTTCTCGACGATACCGGGACCGTCGCACCGGGAAACGGTTGCTGTTGTATAGTAGCGACAACCGGTCGCGGTTGAGCCGACGGTGCCGTTGCTTGTTGCTGTATAACAATAGCATTCTGCGGTCGATTTTGTTGCACGCCGATCGTAACAGCCGGCACGACATTCGGCACTTGATTCTGCGTGACGACGTTCGTTCGAACGTTGTTACGCGCTACGTTATTCTGAACATTCAATTGGACCACCTCTTCTTGCGTTCTCATTATGTTCACTTGGGAATTGGTGGTCTGCTGCTGATTGGGCAACTGACCGGTGATCGGGGCGGTGCTGTTCAGAACCGGGGTGGCGGTTTGGTCGGAATGAAAACTGGTCTGCACGAATCGGATGGACTGCAATTGCGGGAAAGCTATGATCGGTGAGCTTTGCGGCTGAAAGTTCTTCATTATACAACTCGCGGTGGGTGCGCCGATCGCGAGACTCTCGGACTGAAACGGTGTCCCTTGGACTACCGGCAATTGTATACAATTCACAGCCGGCTCCACGTTCGAATCGGCGTTGATGAATTGTTGAGGTTGAGCGGTCGTGTCGGTTGTCGTCGGTGTCTCGTTACATTCATCCTGCGTGGTCACTGTGATGTTCGCAGCAACGGAACCGTCCAACGCCGCGGCTACTAACGGCCATGGAACTTGAAGTTCCTCTTGCGTCTTCAGGAACCAAGAGATAGAAATGTTCAGTAGAAGATAATTCTCGGGGCGTGCATGCACGGCTAGCGCGTTTACTATTTACAACGTGTACTTACCCTGGTCGTGTTATTAATGTTATTAACGGTCGGGTCTACCGACCAACTACATTCTAACATTTCGGAGCAAACGTAATTGTTCGCCTCCCGGAGAGCCTCCTCTTCGTTGCCGCCGTTCACATCTTGCTGATCACGAGCGTTCTCTGACTGTCCCGTGACGACCACTTGCGTTTCCGTCTCTTCCGTACTGTTCGTACCCATCTCCATTCCATCGAGAATCGGGTACATTATCTCTTCGGGGCATCCTGAAATCTCCTCATACGCTTCACGCATTTCCCCTCTTACCTAAAAACAAGTACACTCTTTGGTAAGACAATTAAACTTGCGAATTTTGTCTTTGCAATTTTACAGGGCTTCACCTCCAATTCGTGAATACGTTGTAACGTTTCGCTATCAATCTCCATTCCTTCCGGAATTTGTGATTCACCGTCTGTCGGATTCTCATGGGAAACCGGTGTCGTTTCCGTCCGATTGTTGTCAATCAACGCGGACTCGTCCATGACAATCTCTGTCGGTCGGACTTGTTCGTGCGTCGGCGATTGTTCAAGCATAGCTGCCGTTTCACAATCGGACATAGGATAGATTTGTTCCTCGGTGATTCGTGACACTTGTTCCTTGGACAACTGAGGTATTTGTTCTATCGTAGGCTGGGGTGTGCATTCTCCTGTCAACTGAGACGTTGCTTCACTCGGTGTATGACATACTTGTTCTGTTTGCTCGTTTGATCGCGGTGAAATGTTCTCATCCGGCAAAAGTATCGTATCTTCCTCGGAAACCTCCAGAATATGATCTTCCATCGGTTGAAGATCCTTGTCGCTTTCGGGTAAATGAATTTCCTCGTCATACGAATTTGAAATCGTTTCCTGGCACTCTTGCGCCGCAACTTTATTCTCTTCGACAGTCTCTTGTTTCGCCGGCGGTGTAACGGCTTGCTCTTTCTCCTCCGGTTTCTCCTGATGCATTTCCGTGTCTGCTATAGTTTCTACGGAACTTATGTTTACAGATTCTAAATGTTTTTCATCTATTAACGTATGCGTTGTTTCGTTATATTCCGCCGGTAACAGTTCTTGCATTCCCGGCCTCTCGTTCAAATCGTCCGAATGATTTATGGTAGCCTCCACTTTACAACTATCGTCCTCTATCTTATCGTCGGACATCATAAGCGGACAATGAGGATCCGTCGTCGGTGTATCTACATTCGATTCCAACCGAAGCCTTAAACTAGAACGCGTTACAGCCCCGCCGGTTCTCGATTCCGTGATACAGTGGAGACCAGATCTAAGTTTCGGTTCACGTTTCTCACCCCATATCGGCTCGAAATGTTTCACTTTCCACGGATCTAACTTATTTTTATCCCTCTCTGCCTCCATCTTCAGTCGTTGTTGATTTTCCGGTGTGAACTCTCCTTCGGCCAAGCGTTTACGCCATTCTAGGCACGCTCGTGCGAAGAATTCATTGTTTAATCCAGATGTAGCAGCATCCTAGGAGTAAGAAACAGTGCTATAATTACATATTTATACTCCCAATGGACTCGTACACTTTATGAAAACTCGAAGGTACACAGTATATTGTATGGAGCTCGAAAAATTGGACCTATAGGGAGCTATGAGATAATGAGCAATGCTTCTCAAGTTAGTAGACCAGCTACTAATGTATAATATCTATAGTCATTTGTATTACTAATGTATCAATATTCGAACAAATAAGACCAGCATTTTCTCCAGGCCCAAACATTTCTACTCCCTGTTATCGAAACAATACCATAAACACTACCTGTCTATCTACAGCAGGCAAAAGCTGCGCGAGTTTCCTTTGATACAAAGGCGGTAAACCTTGAAAGGTGTGCCTGTTCAAGAGGGCACGTAAACTCGTGCTGGCTAAAATACTCGCAGGTGATTCAAGATCCACGAGACCGGCCTCCAGCTGTGCAGTTGCCGAGAGTCTCTTCGTTGATCGCCGACGCCCAGACTTCAAACTGAACCCTGGCAAACTAGCCAGGACTTCTCTCATTGTGGCAGCAGGCTCTTCGGTTGCTATATTCGAAATTTTATGAAAACATATCATATAAGAGAATAAACTACTGGATTAAAGAACATGCTACAGTAATTTTCCATTAAACGGTAGACCAAGTTGATCCCCCAAGTTTCTACAATATCAGTAAGCCACACGTGAAGCAGACGTTTATTTTAAATTTACTTTCCATTAACTTAATTTATAAAATATCAGTTTCCAATGTTTTTCTATTTGTTGAAAAAGAATGAGAAACATAATATTGCAATGTAAATTGTTTCTGATTTCCTCTTTTGTAAAAGTACTTTGAACAAGCAATGAGAGATTCAACAATGATCCTCAAGAATAATATCTTATTCAGCATTTGAAAAACTACTGAAATGAATTTACTATTTCATTATATCATTACATCTTACGATATCTCGGTCTATAAATATATTGCTGAAGCCAAGAACCGTGTTTACATGTATTTAACATATTACACAATCATTCAAAAATCATTTGACACAGGATATCATGCGAGTGGCTTGGTGGGACAAATAATCTGTAACAAATGTGAATCGATTCGCTTACTAGTGTTAATATGTTGTACATTGTTCACTGGAGACGGTGGATCGTTCGGTGGAGGTGGTGGCAATGGTTTGACTACAATCCTTGGCAGAGTACGAGAATTGCCAGCTGCTATGGTAGTGTTTTTCCTACGTCTCTTGGCCTGCTGTCGTAGTGCATGTTTGATAACTTTTTTGCTGTGCACCATGCTAGAATAACCAGAGCAACCTGGACTGGTTTCACACCCTTCACCTTTGGCAAGCTCTACATCTGTGTCCATGACAGTACCTATACATCGGACATCGTTACGGAAAATGCCGGCGAGTCGAACATGGGGGGCCACGGTACCGTTTCATTCAACGAAACACGAGTTTCGCGACGGTTTATTTCATATTGCGCCTTAACGCTCGGCTAGCACGGGTTACCCCTTCGCGGGAGATAAACATTCCTCAAAAACAGCCCCGTGACATTCTCGAGGCGATCAAAGGAAGCTCCGTACGTTTCGCACGATGTCTAATCCATGTTGTACGAATGTCCGTGCACACACAAAACCCGATCGCATTCACAAACCTCGGTGTTTCTCAATCAATTGGCAGAATGCCATTCGGATAAAGCTCGCAACGTTCCGCTTCTGTCGGCCATATTGTATTTACATATTTATACCATAGACAACTATAGATAGGTAACTTTCCGCGGCGTGATCTAGGCGTTCTCAAAGCAACCACGAACCACTACTCGATGGATTTGAGACCGCGAAGGCGGGTAACGAAAAAGCGGAACCTACGTATCATTATCGTCGACTAGGTATAGAATAGACCTATCATCCAATGCTTTTTTCTGTCCTACGTTCATAGGGCTACGAGCCCTGTTACCATGTTAGTGTCAATATCCGACGTTACCGATAAAGCATGAATTCTGAGTATTATTAGCACAAATGAAGTGTTATATATTCCATTCATATTACGTGTATCTATATGATTTCACGAGAATAAAAACATGATTCAAAATGATGAAACAAAAATTCACGAAACATGAAACGGAAAAGTATATATTTTTTCACTTAACTACAAGACAATTTATTCTAAATGCATCGTTAATGGACATTTTTATTAATGTTACTTTTTACAGGTTCTTGTTTTATTCACCGTTCTCATAACGTAGAGGGCAGCAGAAAATCCCTGACTTTTTACACTATCGGTATTTCAGAACATGAGACACGAAATCCCATAAGATGATAGGTTTATCCTATACCTAGTCGGTTTCATTATTCTCTTATTACCGTCACTTTTGTCTCCTGTTGTCACGTACGAAAGTACAATTCTTGTAATGAATGTCAATTAAATTTATTAATTTATAAAATGGAAGTGTAAATAGTTAGGTTCGTACGTGTAATGCTTGTTCGTTCATTCCGAAAATTCCATTACGCTTAGCCGCCCGATGAAGCGTCCAATTGAAAAATACATAGAAAGGCACAGTAACTGCCAAATTTCATAATTCCATTGTGTATAGGCCCTAATATGCGGTAAATGTAGGCACGAATTGCAGTCTTGATATTCTACAAATTTACGCGCGATTTTTAAATTATAACTTGCGTTATTGTAATCGAAAATTCACTGAATAACAACTAAATGTCACGAGTAAAAAATATTTCAAGAATATAAAAAATTACATGAATTTTAATAATCATGAAGAACGTATGATCTGAACAGATATGAACTTAGGAAAAGAAAACTGGTTATTTTTGAATACTTTTAAGTGACTTCAGAGATTTTGCGTTATTATTATCTGTTATTACAAAATATCAAGTTAATACAAAGCAATAACTGCTGAGTTGACTTAAGAAATTATAAATCATTGAGCACAAATGACGTAAAGGAAGTCAGACATGTATTTCTTTTTTTACAGGATTTCTCTGTCGTAATTACAATGATTAAACAGTTTAAACAATATTATTATTCCTCGGGCCAGGGCTTTCCTATGCCTTGAGATGCACCCATTCGCGATGGATCTTGACTCGGATAATGTATAGGGGTTGTTCCCGGAGGAAAGATCGGCGTCGCAGCAGCAGCTGCAATCTGGGGCGGAAACATGAATTGGGGGGCGACTGGTGGAGGAGGTATCATCATTGGTGGTATCATGCCAGGAGTAGTTTGTAGATTGAAGAAGTTGTTTCCCATGCTTTCTGGTGGTGGTGGTAAAGCACCAGGTAAACCTGGTACAGGTTCTAGAATCTCTCTGGTCGCCTCTGCTGCTGACACAGTTTGTCTTCCTTGAGAGCGTCCCCATTTAATTGTCAATCTTCTGCCTCCCAGTATCAATTTATTGAATGTCCTTTCTGCTGCTGCTTCAGCTGCGCTTCTTTGCGTGTACTGAATGAAGGCACATTGCTGACGAGGAACCATCGTTATCGAACGTATCTCTCCATACTGATAGAAATGGTCACGCAATTGCTTTTCTGTTAACACATCCCCTAAATTGCCTATATATAGAGTTGTGATTGATTTGTCTTCTGGTGGATCTAACTTGGGCATTGCTGCAGCTCGACGCATTAATTTGTCAGCAACAGGATCATTCACTCCGTAATAACGATCCTTGATATTCTGATCAGCCAATGGATCATCAGGATCTGTTGGCTTCTCATGACGGTATGGACATTCTTCACCTCTCTTACATTCTCCCTTAACCCAGAAAGAACATATGTGCGGTCTATTCCTTTTATAATAAGGACTCGTTCTTGCCAGTTTCATCAACAAGTCACTGGCAGCTGCTGATTTACCAACAGCACCAGCTGGTGTCGTCGAATCTATTTTACCAATTTCACTATCTATGTTTTGTACGTAATACTCCTTGTTCACGTCCGATCTAGGGAGATCGTCTTTAATTTTAAGTGCGGCATCGCGTACTTGAATAGGCAAACCGTACTCTAAATCGAGTAAACAAGTTTGACATACATTTTTCAGGCGACTGCAAGTTTGACAAACTTCGGTCTTTTTAAAACGCATTCTTGCCCCGGGACACCATCTGAATACTGTGAACGGACGCATGCATATTTTACATTCTTTTCCATATTTTTCCTTTGTCTGTAAACATAGAAAGATTATTTGCTGATGTAACCTGTATATTCCTCAAGAATTATATATTCATACATTTTACGAAAATAAACCTACCATGCGAATATATGGATTGTCACCTAAACAAGTCTGACATAATATTGGAAATTCCTAAAATGAAATAAAATACGTTGGATAAATTTCATCCATTTTGACAACCTTATGAACATTCCATGATTAAACCTCTTACAGCGTCCTCCCAATTTTGTCTGTTGTAGGTGTTTGTTGTTTTCGATGTGGCCATTTTACACTATTCCGCCTAACACAAAACTTTATCTTCGGGTAACAATCACAAGAAAAAGATGCATAAACCTTCACCGAACGTTGTAATTAAACCCAATCATTATACTGTATTATACAACACAAGAGCAGCCATTGATGTTTATTACTCAATGACGATGATATGGATAGATGGCAAACACAGAAGGATTTTAGCATTTTCAACCAATCACGGTTACCAAAATGGACGTTATAGATGTTTTCATGAAAGTTACCGTGGACATTTGAATATCTCAAATAGAAATTCAAAGAAAGTTACTAAATAATTTTGTATTAATTTTAACGATTAAAGAACAAAATGAATGAACGGATAAATCTTGCAAAACTTCGAGAATAGAAACGTGACTGAACATAGGATGCTGATGAGTTTGAGAACACATCGATAACGGAGTATGCAGAACGTAAGGTAGCAACGATCAGGGGTGGGAGATGCCTCCAACGGGAAAGAACGGTTAGAGGGAGTCGCGACGCAGAAGGCCGCGGGAGAAGCAGTGCGTGCTCGTTGCAAAATGGCCACGTCCGACTCCAAAGCGCCTTTGCGAACCGTAAAAAGGGTCCAATTTGGCATTCTTTCTCCCGATGAAATAGTAAGTTCGTAAACTTGTAGACCAGTGAACGCGTGTGATACGTTTTTCATCGGAACACGCGACACTATTTCAACATGAGTCGACATTTTATGAAACCTTATCGTGCGACAGAAGGTATACGACGTTCCACACAAACAGACGCGCGTGTTGGATTCCGATGGGTACATTCGTATCTGTCGAAGTTCACTTAAAAATATGATTCAGAATTATAAAATAGATGAAATAAGTTTCAGTTTATCGTACGTGTGTTTATTTAACGTGATTGTTCCGTTCAATGCCATACTTCTCTTCCCCCGTTACTTGTGTTGAATTTCCCGATAAATGTTTGATTGTGAAACCCTCTTATCAATATTGTCTTGTTCAGCTAAATATTGGTAAAAAACAAAAGTTTGTGTGTTCTTGTAGATTTCTCATGCAGTTCACGTAATAAAAAAGAAAGTTCTAAATCTACAATCGTGAACACCAGAGATGTGCGGGTAGAATCGTCGGCTAGCCAGTCAGATGGGTTTAGACCAGACTCCCGATAGTATCGTGCTAATTTTTTGGTCGGGTTACCCGATGTTCGGCCCGAGAGGAATCGGACCAATTCAGTCTGGACTCTCAATATTAACATGATAAGATTTCATAGTCGATTACTCTACAAAATCTCAGATTGGCTCCAGTCGACATTAGTTACATTCGTAGTACATGCAATCACCAACAACTATTTAATAATGCATGTAACGTGAACCAATTTGTAAATGTAAAGGGAGAGAACTTTATATGATCACAAGATATAAGGGACTTTTATATAATTTCACAAATGTTTTTAGGGTACAATAGTACATACTTATTTTAAATTAGTATTTAAATAAATAGTATATATTATTTCATCTTATATTAATAAGTATAATGTCTGAAGATTTATAAATTAGTTGTTTGTGATTTGATACTCTCGGGATTCCGACCCGAACCCAGTTAAAATACTCGATACTATCTGACCCGGATTTTTCTGGTATCCGATCATTTGTGTGTGATACGATGTCTCCGAACCCGACTCGAGCGCGATTAAAATACCCGATCCGTACTTCTCGGATGTACGCACAACTTCTATTTTAATAATGTGCAACACGAAGTTATCAACTTAATTTAATATTGTGCTTTACTTTGTGCAGCGTCGTATGTCCGTCACAGATGGCGGGATTCGCTTTCCAGAAACCATGGAAGGCGGTCGCCCAAAGCTCGGTGGACTTATGGACCCGAGACAAGGTGTTATTGATAGAAACTCTCGGTGTCAGACATGTGCCGGTAACATGACAGAGTGCCCAGGACATTTTGGTCACATCGATCTGGCTAAACCGGTGTTTCATGTTGGTTTTATAACAAAAACTATAAAAATATTAAGATGCGTGTGTTTTTATTGCTCGAAACTCCTAGTTAGTCCTGTGAGTATACATTATCAATGTATATTTTGATATTCTATCATTACATTTTAATACTACTATTGTTTGTTTATTACAGCACAATCCAAAGATCAAAGAAATTGTTATGAAAACTAAAGGTCAACCACGTAAACGTCTCACATTTGTATATGATTTATGCAAAAGTAAAAACATTTGTGAGGGTGGTGACGAGATGGATATTAACAAAGAAAATCCAGAGCAGCCTCCCGCGGATCGGAAACCAGGCCACGGAGGTTGTGGTAGATATCAACCCAATCTTAGGAGATCAGGCTTGGATGTGACGGCGGAATGGAAACATGTGAATGAAGACTCTCAAGAAAAGAAAATGGCCCTCACCGCTGAAAGAGCATGGGAAATATTGAAGCACATTATAGACGAAGAATCGTTTATTCTTGGCATGGATCCGAAATTTGCTAGACCAGATTGGATGGTGGTGACAGTTCTACCTGTTCCACCTTTATCGGTCAGGCCAGCAGTCATTATGTATGGTTCAGCGAAAAATCAGGATGACTTAACGCATAAACTGGCGGACATTATAAAGTCTAACAACGAATTAATCAGAAACGAGCAGGCTGGAGCAGCGGCGCACGTTATATCAGAGAACATAAAGATGTTACAGTTTCATGTGGCGACGCTGGTGGACAACGATATGCCTGGAATGCCCAGGGCAATGCAGAAATCGGGAAAACCATTGAAAGCTATAAAGGCACGATTGAAAGGCAAGGAAGGTAGAATAAGAGGAAATTTGATGGGCAAACGTGTTGACTTCTCGGCTCGTACGGTCATCACGCCGGATCCAAACTTACGGATCGACCAAGTCGGTGTGCCTCGAAGTATTGCCCAAAATCTAACATTCCCTGAAATTGTAACACCCTTCAATATCGATAAAATGCAAGAGCTTGTCAGACGCGGGAACTCGCAATATCCAGGTGCGAAATATATCGTGCGGGACAATGGAGAAAGAATCGATTTACGATTCCATCCGAAACCATCTGATCTGCACCTGCAATGTGGTTACAGAGTGGAGCGTCACATTCGCGATGGCGACCTGGTAATTTTCAATCGTCAGCCAACGCTGCACAAAATGAGTATGATGGGACACCGAGTGAAAGTTCTGCCCTGGAGTACATTCCGTATGAATCTTAGCTGTACCTCGCCGTACAACGCCGATTTCGATGGGGACGAAATGAATTTGCACGTGCCGCAATCGATGGAGACACGTGCGGAGGTGGAAAACATTCATGTGACACCTCGACAGATTATTACGCCGCAGGCGAACAAACCAGTCATGGGTATTGTACAGGACACGCTCACAGCTGTACGAAAGATGACGAAAAGGGACGTTTTCATAGAGAAAGAACAAATGATGAATATTCTAATGTTCTTGCCCAGTTGGGACGGCAAGATGCCGCAGCCCTGTATATTGAAGCCGAAACCACTGTGGACCGGCAAACAGATCTTCTCTTTGATTATACCGGGAAACGTAAACATGATCCGAACGCACAGCACGCATCCAGATGAAGAGGACGACAGTCCTTACAAATGGATTTCGCCTGGCGACACTAAAGTAATGGTAGAACACGGGGAGCTCGTTATGGGTATCCTCTGTAAAAAGACTCTGGGTACGTCCGCTGGGTCTCTGCTTCACATCTGTATGTTGGAGTTGGGTCACGAGGTCTGTGGACGGTTCTATGGAAACATTCAGACTGTGATCAACACTTGGTTGTTATTGGAGGGTCACTCTATTGGTATCGGGGATACTATTGCCGATCCTCAGACCTATTTGGAGATCCAGAAGGCGATCAAGAAAGCCAAAGAGGATGTAATAGAGGTTATTCAGAAGGCTCACAATATGGAGCTGGAACCGACACCTGGTAACACATTGAGGCAGACATTCGAGAATCAAGTGAACAGGATCTTGAACGATGCTCGTGACAAGACTGGTGGTTCCGCCAAGAAATCCTTAACCGAGTACAATAATCTGAAGGCTATGGTGGTGTCAGGTTCGAAGGGGTCCAACATTAACATTTCTCAGGTTATCGCTTGTGTCGGTCAACAGAACGTTGAAGGTAAACGAATACCGTTCGGCTTCCGGAAGAGGACACTGCCGCATTTCATTAAAGACGATTACGGTCCTGAGTCAAGGGGATTCGTCGAGAATTCATATCTTGCCGGTTTGACACCGTCTGAGTTTTATTTCCACGCTATGGGAGGTCGTGAGGGTCTTATCGATACTGCTGTAAAAACCGCCGAAACCGGGTACATTCAGCGTCGTCTGATAAAGGCTATGGAGTCCGTAATGGTGCATTACGATGGTACAGTCAGAAACTCTGTGGGACAACTGATTCAGTTACGTTACGGCGAGGACGGTTTGTGCGGTGAAACTGTAGAATTCCAAAACTTACCCACCATTAAGCTAAGCAACAAAGCATTTGAAAAGAAATTCAAATTCGATCCGACCAACGAACGTTACCTCCGTCGTATATTCAATGAGGAGATTGTTAGAGAGATGATGGGATCTGGAGAGGTTATTTCAGAACTGGAAAGGGAATGGGAACAGTTGAACAAGGATCGTGCGATACTGAGAGAGATCTTCCCCAGTGGCGAGTCGAAAGTAGTACTGCCTTGTAACCTTCAACGAATGATTTGGAACGTGCAGAAGATTTTCCACATAAATAAACGAGCTCCAACCGATCTCAGTCCTATGAGAGTTATACAAGGTAGGTGAAAGAATAGATATATCTGTAAAAAATATATTTAAATAAGCAGTGTAAATGACGTAAATATTGGAAATTCTGGTTTCCAGGTGTAAAGGATCTCCTAGAGAAGTGTATTATTGTGGCTGGCGAGGATAGGCTGAGCAAACAGGCGAATGAGAATGCCACGTTGTTGTTCCAATGCCTAGTAAGGTCCACTTTATGTACAAAGTGTGTTTCTGAGGAATTTAGATTGTCCAGTGAAGCCTTCGAATGGCTTATCGGAGAGATCGAAACAAGGTTCCAACAAGCACAGGTTTGTACATAGTCTGTTTTACCTTATCTTGTGGTTATAGAAATGTAATATATTTTCGAATTTATGGGTAGGTATCACCTGGTGAGATGGTTGGTGCTTTGGCCGCCCAGTCGCTTGGCGAACCAGCCACTCAGATGACATTGAACACTTTCCACTTTGCTGGTGTGTCGTCGAAGAACGTAACCCTTGGTGTGCCCAGATTGAAGGAAATTATAAATATTAGTAAAAAACCAAAGGCTCCGTCACTAACGGTGTTCTTGACTGGAGCTGCGGCAAGGGATGCGGAGAAAGCGAAGAACGTTCTCTGCCGGCTCGAACACACCACGCTGCGAAAGGTCACGGCGAATACAGCGATTTATTACGATCCGGATCCGCAGAACACAGTGATCGCAGAGGATCAAGAATTCGTTAACGTTTACTACGAGATGCCTGACTTCGATCCCACTAAAATTTCACCGTGGCTGCTCCGTATCGAATTAGACCGGAAGAGGATGACCGACAAGAAGTTGACCATGGAACAAATCGCGGAGAAAATTAACGCTGGTTTCGGGGACGATTTGAATTGTATATTCAATGACGATAACGCTGAGAAATTGGTGTTACGAATTAGGATAATGAACAGCGATGACAAATTCACAGGAGACACAGAGGAGGAGACTGTAGACAAGATGGAGGACGACATGTTCCTCCGGTGCATAGAGGCGAATATGCTCAGTGACATGACGTTGCAGGTATAGATATACTTATCTAGATGGATTAGTTGCGTGGATTCTTAAAAGATCAACGTGATTTATTAAAATTATGGAAACCTAACCTACAACTTTGTATATATTAATTAAACTTTTTCCAGGGTATTGAGGCCATAGGAAAAGTGTACATGCATTTACCACAAACCGATTCGAAGAAACGTATCGTTATCACAGATACTGGTGAATTTAAAGCAATCGCAGAGTGGTTATTGGAAACGGACGGAACGAGTTTGATGAAAGTATTGAGCGAAAGAGACGTGGACCCTGTCAGAACGTTCAGTAACGACATTTGCGAAATATTCCAAGTGCTGGGAATAGAGGCTGTGAGAAAATCAGTGGAGAAAGAAATGAACGCTGTGTTGCAGTTCTATGGTCTTTACGTAAACTACCGTCATCTTGCTTTGCTTTGCGACGTTATGACTGCCAAAGGACACTTGATGGCTATTACTCGTCATGGAATCAATAGACAAGACACTGGTGCCCTTATGAGGTCTGTTTTTACAAAAAATGACATCATACTATATAAACAAAAGTAATATATCTACACTCTTAAGTACACGAACATTATATCTAATTTCGTTTTCATCTCCTTCCAGATGTTCCTTTGAAGAAACAGTAGACGTTTTATTGGATGCTGCATCTCACGCAGAAGTCGATCCTATGAGAGGAGTATCTGAAAATATTATAATGGGACAACTGCCACGTATAGGAACAGGTAGCCTTTCTATTAGATATATCTGATTTTACCACACAGTTTGCATATAGTATCGAACTAAGATATTTAATCACACTTTTCCAGGATGTTTCGATTTACTGTTGGACGCCGAGAAGTGTAAGGCTGGCATTGAAATTCCAATGGCAGTAGGAGCTGGTGTAATGGGAACTGCTGGAATGTTCTTCGGCAGTGTTGCCACGCCAAGCATGAGCCCACAAATGACACCTTGGATGGGCGCTACTCCTGGCTATGGTGCTTCAAGCATGTCACCTGGTACGAATATTTTATGGACTATCTTATTAACATATTTGCTACCGCGTGTTGCATATGGGTCATTCCACGCGAAATCGGACACTATTAAAACAGGGCATTTATTTGAAACAATTGCAAAACAAATGGTGAAAAAATATTTTTTTTAAACTGAAATAATTATTATTTGGTACTCTTATATCTCCATTCTAAATACTCACAAAGCTCATTTTTATCAGTTTGTTAGTTTAATAGTTATGATTTATTCAAAAAAGGTTGACCCTAAATTTCAAACAGTTGTAAAGTCAACAGTTAAAAAATTATCAAAAAATCTAGTACATAAGTTTATAATAAACACGTAATTCTTTTTTGTTAGCACTAGGAAGTGGTATGACACCGGGAGGTGCATGCTTCTCACCATCAGGCGCATCGGATGCCTCTGGTCTTTCGCCAGCATACTCTGCCTACTCACCGCAACCTGGAAGCCCAGGAAGTCCAGGGCCCAGTATGAGTCCATACCCAATGTCACCAGCAGGCGGTGCATCGCCGAGTTATTCGCCTACGTCACCTGCTTATCTGCCAACATCGCCCAGTATGACACCGTCGAGTCCTAACTACTCGCCTACGAGTCCTACATACTCGCCCACCAGTCCGAACTACTCACCAACGTCGCCAAGCTACTCTCCAACGTCGCCTAGTTACTCACCGACGTCGCCAAACTACTCACCGACGTCGCCTAGTTACTCACCTACGTCGCCAAGCTATTCACCAACGTCACCGAGTTATTCACCAACGTCACCGAGTTACTCACCAACGTCGCCAAGCTACTCGCCAACATCGCCGAGTTATTCACCAACTTCTCCTAGTTACTCGCCAACATCGCCAAGCTATTCACCTACTTCGCCCAGTTACTCGCCAACCTCGCCGAGTTATTCACCAACGTCACCGAGTTACTCACCGACTTCGCCTAGTTACTCGCCGACGAGTCCAAGTTACTCGCCCAGCTCGCCGAATTACACACCAGCCTCACCGTCGTACTCGCCCACGAGTCCTAGCTACTCGCCGAGTTCACCGCAATACTCTCCAGCGAGTCCAAGCTACTCGCCTAGCAGCCCGAAATATTCACCGACCAGTCCTAGCTACTCGCCCACATCACCGTCGTTCGCTGGCACCTCGCCGCAGTACACGCCAGCGAGTCCAACGTACTCGCCGACTAGTCCGACGTACTCGCCAACCAGTCCATCGTATTCGCCCAGCTCGCCGCAGCACACGGCATCGGGAAGCACAAGATATTCGCCGAGCAGTCCGAACTACTCGCCAACTAGTCCAACGTATTCGCCAACGAGCCCGCAGTACTCGCCCTCCAGTACAAAGTACTCGCCCACCAGTCCGACTTACACACCCACCAGTCCAAGTTATTCGCCGACGAGTCCAACGTACTCGCCCCCAGTGCCGGGCTACTCGCCAACGAGTCCAACCTATTCACCGGCCTCCCCGGCCTACGAGACAGATGACTAAGAAGTATTACGCATATCTGTATTTATGCACAGTTTGTGTACGATTTCTCGTATATTGCCACCTATACGATCGTAGGTCGGAGAGGTTAGGGAGATGGATGTAATAGTTTTGTTTCTTTTGTATCGAAGAAGAGCGCAGCAGGTTGGAATGGAGCGAACACACACTGTCACAATGTGAATAAGGACGATGTGAATTCTTGTTGGGCATTCTGAACAACCTGACGGGAATTCAATGTGGTTCCTTCCGATTTTTCGATGGTATATCCATCAATTGTATAAAATATCTTTTTTTATATATATATATATATATATATATATATTTTTAATTAACAGTTCGATGGAACTTTGTTTTTTTTCTTTCTTTTTCTGTATTCACGTTCAGACGGAACGACGACTATGCGTGCGTGCAAAAGGAGGAGACACGTTGTTGTGGGTCTTCTTTAAAACTCCACGTCTCGTATCCGGATAAGCCGTTCGCGTTCGATAAAGGGTATCGTGTTACCGTTTCGCGTGGTGTGGTACTCTAACCGCAACGCGCATGAAACCGGTTCCGTGTTCACCGTCGATGTCCCGAACACACACGGGATAAGGAATTATTCCCCCGAAATGAATCGCGAGAGACGGCCGTTGCTTTACAGAGACGCGAACTCGGAGCTGTCGCTTTTCTTCGCGACGTTATGCGTCATCGACATATTCGGCGTTTTTCCGATCATCGCTTTACCGCGCGCGATCGTGCAATGCGGTAAGTTCTTTTCTTTGTCTGTTCTTATATTCTCGTATACAGGGTGTCTCATAACTGGTGGTACAAGCGAGCAGGGGGTAATTGTACGTGAAAAAAAGTATGGAATAAAATTGTTTCATTTGAAACTTCGTTTTCGAGAAAATCGACATTGAAAATTAATCTGAAACATGTGTATTTGTGATGGTGGTAAGTGGAGATGGAATGCAATGAACAGACGCGTTAGCCAAGCCTATACGTTCGGTAGATTTTCAAATTTGATTACCTCAAAAACGAAATCTGAAATGAAAGAAATTTTATTCTACATTTTCGATTCAATTTTATCACGTAGAATCAACACCTGCTCGCTTGTACAACCAAATACAAGACACCCTGTATATTCCGTACAGGTGGATCGATGAACCTACAAAATTAACGAATATTCGTCGATAGTGACATTTTCTTTTTTTGTTTTTTTTTTTCTTCAAATCGAAACACGCGCCGAAACTTTTGTGAATACGTTTATCGAGTTAGCGTGGACTGTGTTTTGTGACGCGCACTTGGTGTTTATCAACCTGTCAGATTTATTTTATAAGCTATAATATTAATATATATATACACACACAAAGAAATGGTCGATTGTAAGTACGATGTAAGTTTGTTTCGCAAAATATTTTATTTAAACCGATTCTATGATTTACCTGTAATTCTGAGTGAGATCACCTGTAAGAAAGGTTTGTGCGAAGGATGTGCGAGCAGCTGTATGAAAGAGTTGATTGATTTGAAGGAAATAAAGTTGGTTAACTTGTTAAAGAAACTTGTTATTCTATGATACCTGATACGCTGTTTTTCACGATTATTAATACTTCATCTGTGTTAGATCATTGTTTACAAGTCTCGTAACGCGATATTTCAAGGTGTTTATAAAATGATTGATAGTTTTCACGATTTCAGGATTATATGGGATTCCCCTGGTTCTAATTGTGTTGGGCCTACAAATTTATACAGCGGTTCTCCTTGGAAAATCATGGATAATCGCAAAGACCCTCGATCCACAAATTTCACGGAAAAATCGGTAAGATTATATCCAATTTCAATCTATAAATGATCTGGTCTTCACCGTCGTTGTTTATTTTAATCTTTTTCATAGACATCCTCTTGCCGCCGTGACCGAACTGACCTTAGGACCTCGTGCAAAGACTTTTGTCACTATAATTCTAGATCTCACCGTGTTTGGTTGCAGTATACCGAATTTACTGGTTGGTAAGTTCTTATTATACGTTTCATGTAGTAGTACACTTTATTAGATATATTAATCATAAATGATATTGGTCAATTTCAGCTTCACAAAACTTACAATTATTTGGACTGAAAATATCCGGACAACGATTCGATCTATCCTTCTGCTATTGGCTTCTGGTTGTGGGTGTACTTTTGTGCCCAATTATGTGGCTTGGAAGCCCTCGTGATATGAAGTAACTGTTGCTCAAATTTCAATGAAATCCTATTTTATAATTTTTGAAATTAAAATTCCACACAGTGTGTCAGGAATATATTTGAACATTTGATATAGAATCTGGAATACCAAATTCAATTGTAATGTTCAGATATTTTCATAACTGAGAGTATATTCTATGTATACTTGCAGACTGATAACAACATTTTCTTCCATAACTGTCATTTTGACAGCAGTGTTAATATGGTGGTGTATAATTGATGATGACCGAGAACTTAACATCCTACCAGTGCCTACTTCTCCTTCCTGGGACAAATTTATTTCTGGGTGAATGCTGCGAAAGTATTGACCGCGTTTATAAGTTAATGTCATTTTCGTGTAATATTTGTCATCAAACAACTTTCTAGATACGGAATGCTGGCATTCCAATTTGATGTGCATCCAACATTAATGACTGTGCAAGTGGACATGCGTCGACCTCAGGGTATCAACAAGGCTGTGATAATTTCTTTCTTAGGTAACAATATTTTTTCTTCGCTGAAATATTTCGCTCCTCCAATCGCATGAATAACTGATGTCATTCGTTATAGTAAGTGGTTCATTATTTACCGTCACTGCCAGTTTAGCTGTGTGGAAATATGGCGCCAGTACAACAGCTAATGTTCTGCAAATGGTCCCAGGAGGTTTTACTATGAGCGCAGCTATTCTGCTTGCAGCTCTTCAGCTCTGTCTTTCGAGTGCTTTGGGTCATTCGGCTCTTTTCCAGGATCTAGAGGATCAATGGAATATCCGACCGTGTAAGAGAACTACAACAATGTTAATATAATTTCTTTACACACTAACACTACAGAACACAGGACTTAAAAAATACTACAAGTGTCCGAAATAATGAATGTTTTTGTGACAGCATTTGGATGGAAAAGGTGTGCCGTAAGGTCAGCTATCGTCTTTCTTGGGGTAGCTGTAGGAGAATCTGTGCCAAGATTCGATATCGTTATAGCACTCATTGGAGGATCGTTAACAGGTCCATTAGTCTTCGTGCTTCCTCCGCTGATATATTCAAAAGCTACTGCTCTCAAAAGAAGATCCATACGTGTATCGACACCTGAAGTGTACTCAGGTTCTGAGAGACGTAGAAGCATCGGAGGAGGTATCTCGACGGATCCGAGGATTCACTCGAGATCAGTATATTATGGTGTTCTAGGTATGCCGAAGAGTGAATACTATCAGTATTCGTACGTTTATTACGACGAACTGGAAGATGAATTCGACGACACCATGGATTATGAGAACGACACTGTTAACGATAGGAAAACTAGTGAACAATATTTAATGACACAGAGAAATCACGATGACGAACCAGTATTCATAGATGCCAGTAATCCCTTTAGTACATACAGAAGACTTGTTTCTGAACAACCGGTACGGCGGTCCATCTTGAATTGTACTTCCCGAAGATGGCATGACTGGTTTGGTTACTTGATCGTTTTGTTCGGTATAGTCGTTACCATTTCATCGACATATATTAATATCAAAAACACAATACGTTACGTGCAATTCACACCGCCGTGTATATTAAACGTTACCACCTTATAAAGTCCTACGTGAATACGAGTTGTATCTTGTGGTTAATGAAAAAGAAATACCTTGCACATTCTGCATTACTATTACAAAATATATTTACAGTTCGTGCACAATAGGAAGACTTTTAACAACTGTACGCATTAGTGATTAAAGCTGCGTGAATAATTTTTATAACATTTAGTGCTATAATATTTATCTTAATGATTATTTAAGGATAATATATACTTAACGGTTAATTTAAAATAAGTTTCTCATTTTTTAAGTGTCACCCACTTTACAATACTTAGTATTCTTTTTAATTTGTAAACTAAAAAGCTACAGATGTACTCTTAATGGTTCAAAACTATCCTTTTTCCATTTCAAAGTAATAGAATTAAAAATATAAAAAAATGTATAACTTTTTTTATTAAACTCTGTGAATTTACATATTTTTGTAATTAATTACTGATTGCAATTTAATTAGAAAATATTTCCTTTCATTGCACTAGAAATTGAGTTTTTTTTAAACGGACTTTATATTTCAAGAACTTTTCGGTAGGTAGCAGCACTAATCGAAAAGAATTCGCGCTCTTCGACAAACACGTGGTTCTTCAAATTTTTATCCAAGCAAAATTGATATTTTATGTTGTATTAATTACCATTACTATACAATTTGATTATATTTAAGCGTGTGACAACAAAGCCCCACGATTATCTTATAATTTTTATCATATTAAATTCAGAATTGTTTCGTAACTTACACGTGTTCGAATACATTATGCATCACTATACAATCAGCTGATACGATGAACTATTCTTAACTACGAAGGTTACCTTGAAAAATCACTCCTATAAGAGTATTTATATCCAATAATTATTTCTGTGTTTATAAAAAGAAATTTCTAAATGGAAATGCCGATTACTAACTAAATAAACCTTGTTCGATTCTTTTATGGTGCTTAAAATTTACTTGTTTTAATATTCATTTGCTGGTAATAAAAAAAAAATATAACTTATAATTATTGTATTCGAATACAAAAAATTTCACCATTGATGTACTTGGTCTGTACCCCCGTGCACGTGCTCATTTTTAACATTCTTTTCAATTCCAATCTCCCCGTTGTGAACGACTCATTACGTCAGATCGTCCAACACTTTTTCTAATAATTCTAGTGGAGGGGATACGATCCAACCTGTGACGTTTACGAGCTAGATCTTACGACTTACGATACTTGTCCGCGCCAAACGAATGAGCCGTCCTTGCCGGATCCATTTTGTCGGTTAACGTTGATTCCCTGTTTTCTGTTCGATCCTAACCGCGATTAAAGAAGAGGCCCTACGAAAATGATCCCGAACTGCATCAGAAATATCGGCGTGCAAACGTCAAAACGCAACGTAAGTACGGAATCAGACCATTGACGAATGACCTCTAGCCAGATATCTGCCAACACGTTCCATGCTAGGGTCTTGTTATAATTTCTAATTATACGATCTTTTCTACAATTGATCGTTTGATCTTTCTTTCTTTTTATATCGCCTGGTGTCTCACCAGTTCGGGAGCTGGAACGAGGTAATTACTCGCTGAGATTTGTTTGTTATCATCGACGTCTTCGACCAACGTTCTTTTGCTTCTGTACCATTTGCTCTTCACGTACTCCATGAGTTGTTTTTTCCTTGCGCGAACGGGATTCCAGGCCGTGACGGTCCGCATCGTGAAAGTTTCAGTGTCACATTGAGACTATATATCTACATTTGCTCTATATTGCACAGTCTTTATCATATATTACTTTACTTTTTGCATATGTTTGTGAATTAAGGGGTTCATAAAGGAATTAACTTTTGTCAGATAATTAGGTACATAAAGGAATTAACTTCTGTCAGATAATTGGAAAAATGAGTTAACGGTACGTAAAAGTTCAAGGTAATAGATATAGGGTGTTCTAGGGATGAAACCGAAGAACTTCTTCGATATACTTGACGGGTTATTCCTATCTAAAAATGCCATTTACACTATGGTTATTTCATTTGAATTGCTTGCATTATGAACCACTCAGTTAGAAGGATTCATATTTATGGGGTTTTACCTGCAAAAAATTCAGTTAAAGAAGACTTAAATGTTTCATGCATTCTCAGGTGGTGTCTTTTTTCTGCAATAAGAAAAATAATTATGCCACAGAAGCTTCATTTGATACGAAACCTTTTCGATTACACAAACTGGACAGTGGACCCTCTACTCATGTCACAGTTACCAGGGACGAGGCCTTAGATCTTTATAGGCAATTACACACAATTCGTCGTATGGAAACAGCAGCGGGAAACCTCTACAAAGAAAAAATTGTCCGAGGTTTCTGCCATTTATATTCTGGCCAGGTAAGAATTGCTTACTTTACTTTGTAATTCCTACCAAAGTCTAAAGAATTATACATTATAGATGTCGAATAATGAAACATTTGTATCCTTTTGGTAGGAAGCTTGTGCAGTCGGAATGAAAGCTGCTCTCAGGCCTCAGGACTCTGTGATCACTGCCTACCGTGCTCATGGGTGGACTTATTTAATGGGCATTGAACCATTCGGTGTTTTAGCTGAATTAACTGGTAGAAAGGGTGGCAATGCAAAAGGCAAGGGTGGTTCTATGCATATGTACACTAAAAACTTTTATGGTGGAAACGGTATTGTCGGTGCTCAAGTGAGTATTCCGTATTTTTCGAACTGTTACATGGCGCATACAGGTCACTTGTGTTCAACCCAATGTTTTATGTAATTCAAGTACTCGCGAGATTTTAAACAAATTTATAATAATTTTCTCCGAATAAGGGTCCAGAAAAGAGGAAATAGAAAAAAAGTAGTCAGCTGTTATCCTTGGATAAATGAATCTTCAAGAAGATCTATGTACGCCATTTCGGGATTGATAATTGGTATCATTAAATCAACCATCTATGTAGAATCATAGTCTTATCGAATTCACAGGTGCCATTGGGAGTTGGAATTGCCTTTGCTCAGAAGTATATGAATACTGGAGGAGTATGTCTTGCGTTATATGGAGACGGCGCAGCTAACCAAGGACAAGTATTCGAAGTATACAACATGGCAAAGTTATGGGACGTTCCTTGTATCTTTGTCTGCGAAAATAATGGATATGGTATGGGTACTAGCGTTGATCGTGCTTCGGCTAGCACAGACTACTACACACGAGGAGATTACGTTCCTGGAATTTGGGTGAGTTTTTGAAAAAGCAATTATCATTATCTAGGAACCTGGATAAAAAGAGACAGGACAAGCAGGGCTTTGAACTTGTAATCCACAGTTTCTTTGATTGACCAACCCATGCCTTAATAATCACAGTTACGGTACCTTTCCACTTATTTTTCTAATTTCCTAACTCTTCTTAAAGTCAGAATGTCTCGATTTTACAATTATTTTATGACAATTACGTTGCCTAATTCAATCAATGAAATGTGTTATTAGGTGGATGGTATGGATGTGTTAGCCGTCAGGGAAGCAACAAGATTCGCCGTCGATCATTGCACATCTGGTAAAGGGCCTATTGTTATGGAGACTGTAACCTACAGATACAGTGGTCACAGTATGTCCGATCCTGGTACTAGTTACCGTACTAGAGAAGAAATTCAAGAAGTGAGGCAAAGTCGTGATCCTATCACTGGGTTCAAGGAACGAATCTTGAATGCTAAAATCGTCACCCAAGACGAAATTAAAGTATGTTCTTTTGACTCCCCTCCTCCTCCCTGCCCCAATATTTAAGTTCTTTTGTGTATTCATTGTAAAATTTTTCAAATCACTGTTTTTTTTCAGGCAATGGAAAACGAAATAAGGAAACAAGTCGATGATGCCGTGAAAGCTGCTAAGGCGGACACGGAAATTCCATCGAACGAGCTTACTGCTGACATTTACGCGAATTGCCTAGAGAAGGAAATCCGAAATGTAACTCCATTCAACCCACTGCCGCATACGAGGCTAGGCCCTGCAGTTAACGCTTAAAGAAATTCTCTTGGAAAAAAACTCTAGCGGATGAAATTGTATTAAAACTCTTTAAAACAAAACCTGCCACCACAAAAACTCATATAGTTTGTACAAAAGAATTTGTGGGGGGACATTCTCTCCACCTTAGGCGAAAGATGTAGTCGGCAATCTAACTGTACATAATACGCTTACAACTGTGAATCGAAACAGTAAACGTATCAAAGACAACTCAAAAGACAATACCTTTACTATTCGTTTTCTTTGCCCTTACTGTATCATTTCTGCTTATTAGAACAATCAAAATAAACAAATGTTAATAAACGTAGTTAAATAAGTGAAAGTGATAGAAATTATCAAATTAAAACAATAAAGTATGTACGTTATTTGTAACTCGATCGAATTTACTAACGACTCTGCGTAACAGTTCGTAAGATTTGGACATACTTCGCGATATTGATGTATTTACGAACGCATTGCAAGAATCCATTTCATAATCCTTGTCCTCTGCTCAGTCGGATCGTCAGATTCGCGTAAATATCTCGATATTTAAGGTCGAATCGCCCAGCGCAGGTACAGTCCGCGACAAAAAGGTAAATTCACTGTATTTTATTTACTTTATCGTTTTTGAAATATAATAGACTTGTGACTTTGTGTGGAAGGATAATGTGAAGGATATAATCGTGATTGTACTTAACAGAAATCCCTTACTTTCAGATTTTATAACATAAGAATAACATTATATGTACAGAGACAAGTTATTTTGGAGTAAAAGGTAGATTCACTTAAAATAGTGAAAAAAGTGACTGTTTCAAAAAACCATTTATTCTTTTTATAAAAATTTCTTACAAAAAGCTTCCATAAGTTCCCAATTATATTAATATTAGTTGAACGTGCTGACCAGTCTAATCTCCTTTGGTTTTCAGCAAACCATTGTTAAACTATATATAAACAGTACGTAAAGATATATCTTGCTAAAACACAAAATCTTTTGAGAAAACTATAATCTCGAATTTCATCAGCGAACAAATTCGTATACGTCATAATAATCACTTTATTACTTCAGCATCAATATCGTTCTTTTTTTCTTATCCATTAACATCTCTTTTTAATAAAATCTGTTCTTCCATTTTTAAATCATGTACAATAATATAAAAGAATGTCAAGATTAAACGTTTTTTCGTTTGAAAACAATTACCTTGTTCCAATCCGATATCCACGATAGTTATCTTGAAAAAACAATGGCGTGAACATACCTTTTTGTCGCGGACTGTATATTTCCGAATCTAGGCTCATTGAGTAGAACGAGCTCGGTGAAGGCAGACGAACGAAGAATGGCGGCCGCAGGAAGCACGAACGCCGGCACGATCTTTCAGAAACTCGGCCTGAAGCCGATCACGAAATGTAGCCTCGTGAAATTCTACGTTCCGGCTTTCGGTGTCACTTCTTACACCGCGTTGTCGGTCAACGTGATGAATCCGAGTCTTGTCATCAGGTAAGACAGCCAGGAATTCGTCGTACGTTAAACCGTTTAACCTCTGTCGTTATGCTTAAAAGCATTATTCGTTTCTGAATGTTACGTAATCTACAAGTGGTCCTATATCGTACAATACATTTTTTCGTATCATTGGAAAATTCACATTTTTTCTGACCGTTTTAGTTTTCAAAGAAAATTAATCATGGTAAATGGGGGTTTGTCAGTCACCGTGATTGACCTATTTGCAGGCGACTCGTGACAAATGATGTTGTATGTGTACAAAAACACAATTAATTCGCGTTTCGATATAATTCTAGCTTCCATATTTACAATACAATTTCTACATTGAACAATTTTTTAATGATTGTAATTCCTAGGAAATCATAAGGCAGGGGAGGTACAAGACTTTTTTGAAAATTTCTGTACCTAATCAGACGTACAAAGTGCCAATAGAGACACTTTATATATTTCATGGTATCAAAAAAGTAATTTACTCTCCATTTTTGAATTTGTGTCCTGGTATTGCTCTTCTTGTGTATTTATAGAATATTCCCAAAGAAAGACATCACAAACTTTTTACTGGGAAGTGCCCTTGTTGGCACTGGCTCGTATATATATACTCGCGAGCATATGAAAAAGGCTCCTACAAGTGTAAGAATTGCATATAGGTAAGAACTTTTATATATATTAAGCCATAAATTGTTTCACAATAAAATGTATGAATGAATTCTCGGCATGATTTTTATTGTTAATAGTACTGCCGGTGCTGTATTGCTAAGCTTTGGATCAGTTCTGGTGTGGGCAGTATTACGATCGGTTATACCACCTAATCCTACTCTGTGCACACTAGCTGGTATTGGGTCTGGTCTTGCACTCATTAAGGTTGGTTCCAGTTATCTAAACTTCGTTGATGAGCAGACACAGAAGAAGTAGATTGATAGAATTTTTGTAATGAACGCAACATTGATATATATGTATTAAATGCATCCAAGCAAAAATTTGCAATAACATATTACGGAGTAGTGGGATCAAACCAAGAGTAATGGAACACAGAATAATTTTCAAGCAAAGGATTTTTAAATGTCTACAAATTTGTACATTTCGTATGGTCTTTGCTGTACAAATGACTGGTGGCTGAGACCAGATTATGTTAAACATAACTATGTCAAAGTACTTTGTTTTTGTTCTTGTCATTCGTTCACAACATCTAAAAAATGCTCAGAGAGCACATGGAATAAAAGTTGGAAAATAGTTACTGTACTTTGAAAACAATGAAGAGTGATTTCTTGAAATGCAAAATATACCTCACGTTATACATTAATGTTACCATAAATATGTATGGAGTTGCGACTTATGTATCCAAAAATACGTAAAACGAACAAGCTGGATTTTTAATTTATTGTGGCTTTACAATGTGAATGCATTTTTTTTTTCGGGCACCCTATATGTCCATTCAATTAATCAATTAGCAATAGTAATAGTACTAGAGATGTGCAAGTTTTTTCTGCAAATTTAATGAATGTTGCACCAAAAAAAACGAATTAAAAGATTTAATATACACACGAAAAATGAAGTATTTGTAATTCTTATTTTATGAACGTAAGTATACAGATTAATTTGCTGTTCAAGCACGAGCAGGCTTCTTTTATACGGAAGGATCAATGTTACTTGAATTTGTGTTATGATTTTAAAAAATGCATACGACTGCACTGCAACTGGAATAAGATTGTATCACGTGTATAATAAACTATTATTAAACTGAAAGTGATACATCTGTCAGTCTGTTTGCCTACAAATATAAGAAAAAAAGAGGGTAAATATGTGATGTTTTGTTATCAAAGTTTTACAGTTTATTAGTAAGTTTTGCATTAGACAAAATAGAACTGTCCAATAGCATGTGCAGACATTATTTGCTCGTGGATAAATTGTACATACAAATCAAGCATACTATAGATAATAGTAAAAATGATAATAAATAATAAGGATGCGACAGTAAGCGTTCACAGCACACAGGAGTTTCAATTTAGTAATTTACAATTGTGTAAGTTTACAAGTTCAAAGACTAACAATTGTACTATGAGAAATGATAATGAATTATATGTAACAGAATCAAATGAAAAGTTTCTAGACTATAAACGAGCCAAAAAATGTATTAACAGGTACAGAGTAAAACTATCTTGGATGATCTCAATAACAGGCATTAATTTAACAATATTTAGTATTTTCTTTTATTTATTATGTTGTATGTATGTACATGTTATTCCTGTATCATGATTCGCTTGTTATATTGAAAAATATAATTTATATTTAGAAATCGATTCTTTGGATGGCAAAAATATGTTCCATGTTGTGTTTACTGAAATATGTATGTTTGTGTACATATGTAAATCATGTACCGGTCACGTTAGCGCGATCTGTATACTAATACGAGGGGACAAACATCACACAAATGGAACTGAAAACATTTACAGAATGTAGATTCCCATGTTTTCATGTGACTACCATTGTCTTCGTATTAATGATAGCGTATTATCATTTCTGGTGACACGCGAGACATTATTTCACTAGGAATATCACAACGCGCGTATGAGAATTGTACACATCTAAATTCGTTAAAATCCGATTGAAAGGCGTTAGCAATTTCAAAATTATATTATACTCGGCTGAACTATTGTAGGCGGGTTCTTCCCCAAGAGGAAAGAATTTAATATTTGATTATGCCTAAAATATACATAAGTTTCATTCTGTTACGATATCATGCAATATACATATTGTACGTATTTGTATTTAGATATTCATACAAACAATTAAGATACGTGTTCCAAATTACAGTATAAAAGATAGTAATCGACATAGTTACACCATACAGTCTATTTTACATAAAAAAAAAAACAAAAAAAAAAGAATAAGTAACGCGATTGCACGTTGCAGTCGTGAATCGTATCACATATGATATCATCATCTTAAAGATAGTGACAGCTTCTTCATTCGTATTTTTTATCGTACTTCGCAAATGTTCATTAAATTTCATTTTCAGCTTATGTACGATAAATGTGACACTTAACTAGCACACGCAGAACGAGAGTATTTCTCAGGGATTAACGAAGGCACCCCAAACATTTCGGGTAATCGACACACAGTTTCTGTCAGAAAATAGTTCGAATCGAGTCTGTTTCGGTACATTCTCGTGTATAAAGAATTTCTTACGAATTACAGTTCATACAATGGAATAGCAATCGATCTTCTGGTAACCATGAGCTCACGGATCGTTAATTAAGTGCCGTAAGATATGTCACGCAAACGATACGTAATGAATTTGGGCACAGTGATAAGAGCCTCAAGTACTGAATGTAAAAGTTAAGTCATGTTAAAGTCATGGATTTCTTAATCTTCCGTAACATAAACGCTGCTTTTGTGTTTATCTATTAGTTGAAGTACAAATGCAACACTGTTAAATAATACATGTTTTAAATTAAAAATAAATTAGCTTTACAGAAAAATGTTCCTGACCATTTATATACGAAACTGAAACCGTTGTCACTGCGCTATCAGTCTTTGAAAGATCAGAACAGTTAAAGTAACTTTACCCAAATGCGATCTTTATTGTTAAATACGCGTATCTTATAAACTCCTGTCTGTCTACACTAACAGTTCTATATGGTTCCAGGTCTTCTATCTGTCCACTATGTACTTTTCTCATACAATCTTTCATCGCAAATTAATGCGTAACATATCATGCGGACACTTGTGTGTATGCGATCGTGTGACCAAGTTTCGAGGTCCTAACATAACCTCGCCAAAAATTCCAGACCCAAAACTTTCGGATATACTCTTCCCATATATCTCTCCCTCACCTCGAAGCGGAAGTTGTTTCATAACACTGTCCTTCGATTACAGTCAAGATCTTTCTTTCACCTTGACATTAAGTTAAATGGTATCCCGACAAAACTGTGTGTGTGTACACGTGTGTGCCTGAGTAGCGCCATTGTGTATCCCCGAAAGTAAGTACCGATCGAGTGACATCTATCGCTCATGGAGGGACTGCTTATTCGCGCCTCGGCGAGAGGGAATCACGCGAATACGCGAGTTTTACCTACGTTCCGTGTGCGTTATCGTTGTTTCGTTTCTTGTGGGAACATCTGTTGGGACCCTCAACGTGGTGGACAAAAACTTGCTAGCTGCCTCGGCCACGCTGTCCGTCATTTTGCCGATCGTGCTGGTGAGTATTTGCTCGGTGCTCGTCGAATGCACACGCTTTTGCGAATCCATATCGTGCTCGTGCGCGTCCTCATGATGATGATCATCCTCGTGGCCGGGCACGTGCGCATGGTCGTCGTCGTGGGAATGGGAATGGGAATGGGAATGCGAATGCGAAGCTGCAAATGAAAAACAAAATTTTGTACCTACTCAACATAATAAAGACACGGTCGTAAGTAGCGAGGAACTAAATACAAAGAAAAGAAGCTTATATCTTTATATGTCATGAATATAAATAATTAATCCGAAATTGAAAATTGTTACTTCAGTTATACTGATATTTTGAGAACCCTGACGTCTGTGTGACGAATTTTGCAGCATTGGTCCTTACGGTTGCAGAGTAGAGTTGTAATTAAATAACGGATATTTATGCAAATTACAATTTTTGAATACTGCTTTACGATGATAATTTCTTTCGATCCTATTAAAACGTTCTGTTCCTCGTGATTAATCCTGCATTTTAAATATAAGAAGATAAAAACGAATCTTGAGATTCTAAAATTATGCAGATCTACAGTTGAATCGAGGATAAAATAAACATTATTATCGCAAGCAAGAATACCTCGGTCTGTACAGTTAATTAAACAATGATAAAATGTAACCGGCGATATACTTGATTATACGTACTTGATTTAGAACTGATTTTATTGGAACGGTAACGTTATCGTATGTTGAAATGGTACGATTTTTATCGTGTTCTTACTGAATCGAAGATTCTAATGATAGAATCCGATAAACAACAAGACATCACGAATTTGTAACAGTTGCATTATGGAGAAAACTTCTTTTCCTCCACTAATGGTAAATATAAAAGAAATAAGACTGTCCGTAGTCGAGAAAGCGTTCGAAAGTCGGTCAAATTGACCATTGACGCCGTGGGGTCGTTGTCACGGATGGAGAAAGCCCATAACCTGGTCTTTTTTCCCGTTGACATCTCACATAGAGACAGAAATATAGACTGTGCATCTCCGTAAAAACGGGCGTTCCAAGTTTATGACATTTCACAAGGTAAACTAATCTTACGAATATGTATGGCAATTAACCATCAAAATATAATGACGCAAATTTCCATTACGATAAAATAAAAAACGTAAAATGCTTCAGTTGGCAGAAAATTAAAAGGAAAAGGTGTAAATTATAAAAGAAAAGTGATCAAAGCGAAAATAAATCACGCGAGCAATTGGATTAGTGGCTAACTGCAATAATCTAAATAGGTTATAAACTTTCCATTACGATATGTGGAATTATCTAAAGATGGCGGTAGTAACGGAAGGAAGCGATATTATTCGCATGCGACAGGTTATGTTAATAGAGGTTAACGTCTGCCGATGTAAACAAACCTAACGAATCGTATACGAGTCAGTAAGTTGGTGTGTGTGTGCTTTGTTTCTTCCTGAATCGGGTAGTGTATCACGTCGGCGTCGTTTCGTCACACGTCTACTATTTTGTCGCTGGCAATAATACCCCGTGAAATCAACTTGCATAACAGGTGACACTTCCGTAAACGCGGTCTGTCATTGCGAGGCCTTCTTTCTAGGTCTCCTAAGCCTAGACCTCTTAAGTAACACATCTGCTATTATTAAAGTGGACAAGAAATGCATTCCGAGCGGCCAATAACTATGCACTTAATCGAGCGTGATAAAGACCCTTGTGTGTTGCGTGACGATCGCAAACGACAGCTCAGGTATGTCTCCCTTACACGCTGGTGTGAAATGCAAGATCGCGGACAGGAATAACGTATCTCGAAGTTACGGCGCGAAACAACGCGACGATTTCACGTGAACTGCTCTCGAGGGTCGATCGTAATGGTGCTTGGGCATGTCACTTAGAAAGCCTGTCACGAATATAATACGTGTTAAATGAACAAACTTAATCTTTTGTTTAGAATTTAAAACGGTTAATAGACAGAACACTTGGTGTAGTTTTGTCCACGACATTTCAAGGATACTATGTTTCCTTGGTGCCCTGAATTTTTATTTTCGTTTCTTAATTCGTTATCGTGTTTCCTTCAAATAACCGTAAAAAATTGTATCGAATGTAAAAAAATTTAATATTATAAATGTAATAGGTATCTGAATTGAGAAAATTTGTTAAATTTCGTGTTATATCGTTACTTTTTTATTTGCATCTAAACTTTGGATTATCAGTGGCAGTTTTGATTACAGTCTAAATCTATAAATGCTTCCTAAATTCTTTGGATTCACGATTGTCCCTGCGGAAGTGCGAACGTTTCAAGTGACATTTCTTTAACGGTACACGATAACCGGCCGAGACCGACTTGTTCGACAATAATATCACGTACTTTTCGCGGAATTAATAGGTTAATAGGTACATCCGAGTTTCATTGTTGCTGTTCGCGCCACGACGATTTCTGTACGGGACGACCATTGCCGCGAAGCAGCGCGCCAATGATTCTTACCGCCCGCTTCCTAAGCCGGCGTGCTACTGTCGGCACGAATCACTGTGACACGATATTCAACCGGCGACAGAAGTATACTGTCGTTCATAAATATGTAAAGGGTGTCTCAGCAAGAACTTGAATTTCGAACCGCGCGCCATTTTCGCCTGTCAAATGGTTTAGGGAAGCCGAAAGGTACATGTGTACACGGTATACAGGTTTTGAATTATGAAATAAACTTTATAATATTTAGGGACGGTTTAAATTCAAACAAAGATAACACTCAGGGTTCCCAATCGCATTCCATCAAATGTCCAAGCACTTCTGAACGGTAGTGTACCTGTACGAGTTATCGGAGGAGTCATTAACCTAATTGCAATTGAGCTTGTCGTATGTGGCGTGTGCACGCACGAGCGACCGTCGTGCAACACGGAAAAGGAGAGAAAAAGAGGTAAATGAATCTGTGTGCGTCTATGGGGGAGGAACAAAGAGGGAATACAGGCAATCTGCGAATTCTCGTAATCAGATGCGTAGACGGGGTTAAAGTGTCTTCAAAGTGAACTAGCACGCAAACTGGCTGCATTATTCCGTACGAACGTCAGCGTATTGCGTGAAGAACGGTCAGTGACCAAACAGAGTTCTCTCCATTCCCGACTTCCGTTATCGCGTAGCTCCGCTGTAGTTTTCGTGAACCATTGCTCGTTTTAATCTCGATACACGTAGAGGAGAAAATCTCTGGTTGTCAACATTGAAGTATCACAATGTTTCTGGGGTAGGGGGGGGGGGTGGATCGAAGTCAGAATCGTGTCTGTTTTAGAGATAACGACGAAACATAACCAATTTCTTTCTCCCTCTTTCTATGACAAGTTGGAATATCCACAAATACGACGCGTTTGTCCCTGTTGGTATAGAGGGTGATTCACTTTGTGTCACCGAGGAATGTATCCGAAAAGTCGTGATAGGAAGACTGTAAAGTCCAAAGAAGATCATAGGAATAATTTTGTGTCGAAGTTTTCACGCGGATAAAACAGTTTGATTGGCCCGTTGAAATTCTTTCGAACTGTCAGTCAGTTAACGTTACACCAAACTTCGTAATTACGTGACGAGATATCAGTCACGATTGACGAACGTTTTGGCAGCCGTTTTCATATCCTTCTTTCTCGTCATCCGAACCGTCACGGTGCAAACCTATCAGCAGGTACGTCCTTGATGCGATCACCTCCCACGTGTTACTCGTACTCGTGGAAACGTCTATCGATTCGACGAAGTAACCCAGTAACAACGTCCCAAAAAGTCACGGCCACGAAAGGCCATACTTGTGCAATTGAGGCTGCTCATCCTGATAAATCTAGTATTCTCTATCCATGAGCTCGATACGGATCCCATCATTCCGATGACCCCTTTACATACAGGGTGCGACCGAATAAAGTAAATCCTCGATGAGTGTTCAGATTTTTAATGTTTAATATAAATTAGTCAAATATTTCATAAACTAATAGCCATCTGCCGCTGAAACAAATATCATTGGCTTCCGAATTCCAAGCGCTATCACTGTGGTAAACATCATCAAAAAGTCAGCGTTACATCCTTTCCTTGTCAATAACGAGGAGTCTTCGAATACTCATGGAGGATTTACTGTAACATGTACAACGGGTACAAGGTGATTCCTTATGAAAGAAATAAAAACGAAATATGGAATACAATTTTTTCATTTAAGGCTTAGTTTTCGAGAATAGCGACTTCGAAAATTAATCTGAAACGCGTGTTTGCACCATAGTAGTAAGTAGAAACGGAATGCAATGAACAGACGCGCTAGCCCAGTTCTACTAAATTGCCCCCGTATCTAGCAGATTTTCAAAGTCGATTTTCTCGAAAACTAAGCTTTAAATGAAACAATTTTATTCTATATTTTGTTCTTATTTTTTTTATAAGGAATCACTCCGTGCCCACTTCTAGGTGTTATTGGCCGCACCCTAAATTCCCGTTTTTATCTAGTCATCCAAAAGATTGTTTTCTTGTTATAAAGAGTGCTATGCTGCACACTATAAACGACCATTTTTTTTAAGGAGCCTACATCAGTACCCTCTATAACAAGAAAATCGTTCTTTGTATGACTATATAAAAATGGAAACTTAGTTGTTTAAAGAAAGATTAATAAAACTAGTATTTCTGATTTCTCGATACTTTACATTTCTCGAGAAATTTATTGATAATAATATACAGACTCCTTTCGATTATAGTCTGGCTTGTTCTACACGATTATTGTCCAGGCGTTATCCCCTCTACTTTTGTTGTCGAGGCTCGGGCTTTGGTCGCAGAAAAAAAAACGAATTTACGAGGGTCTAAAGCATTTCTTCCTATTCGATTATTGTCCCGGCGCGGACCCGAGTTCGGGACAATAATCGAGAGGAGTCTGTACAAGGACCGTTCATCATCCGGGACACAACACTCACTGGCGATTTGTAGTCCTAACATCAGCATGAACCCGACGATAATCGCCATCAGCTGTAACAAGCCACTTTTCTCGTTTGCCCTCTCGCGTGCCAGCACCTCGAAGAAAACGACATACAGCAAGGTCCCAGCCGCCATTCCCTGTAGTATCGTCGGTGTCGGGCCCAGATTCTCGCTGTCGTTCTTGAAATGCCCGAGCGCGAGCCCTACAGCGATCCCGATAGGGGTCACCATCGAGAATATCGTCAGGTATCCCAACGTGGTCTTTGTCGAGGCACCAGCGACATAAAGTTCCATACCGACGCAAAACGATATAACCAATTTATGGGTGGCAATTGCCGCAGCCAGATAGACAACGGAAGCTATCGACGGCTCGAGACCGACCGCTAGGCCCTCGAAGATCGCGTGAAAGGACAACGCTAGAACGGTCAATAGACCTTGGATCGACGTGTTTTTCGTGATTATCGGGTGTTTGTGCTCGTGTCGCTTGATCCTCGGATAATTGTTCAAGTCCACGATCGACGTGTTGTTCACGGGATTACGGTCTGGTGAGGATAGACCGGCTGGCGATGACCGAACGAATATAGGGGGCAGAATTTTCTCATGTTTCGGTTCATCTGGAGTGTCGTCCAGGTGATGGATGGATCGTTTGCTGGACTCGTTGTCCTCGAGATCGTCGTTTTCTTCCTTCCACGTGGATCTGGTCGTGGTGGACACCGTGGTGGTCGAGCCTGTCGATGTCACCGACGATACACCTGGTTGATTGCTGTTGCATCTTCGTACAGAGACCGTACGGTAGAGCAATGCTTCGGATGAATCTGGCCTATCGGTTAACGCAGCGTGAACAGCCTCCTCGACGAAGTAGACCAGAAAGAAACCACCGCAGAATAATAACTCGGAGAGGCTCAACGTGCCTAGATCAGGTAGCTGTTTGCTCAACTGGTGGCGTTCCACGCTGACACGGACTTCCGGGGCTAGGTGAAGGAACGTCGTGAACAGCAGGACCCCGCCGCCGAAACAGAGGAGCAGGGATGTGTAAAGACCCTAGAGGGATTTTTTTTATATGTTTAACATGTTCCACTTAGGTAGGTCTGCGCTCGATGGGAGCAAAGTCGAGTGTTCTTTTGATGGAGGAGTCGTTTGGACAGTTGGCGGATAATCCCATTATCCGAGTCAATATTAACTGGCCACCGACTGTCCTTGGACGTGTGCAGGTGTTAATAAAACGTGTGTTAGAGCCTCGAATGGTAGGTTGGATTAACAGACTGGCACGTTGGATAGTTCAGATATAGTCTTATTTTTTCTTTTTTCTGTAATTAAGGTTGGATATCTTGTGCTGATCCGTGGAATTGGAGTAATCAGCGTTGGGCAAGATTGACTCTTGGGAGCTAAACGCTCTCTGCCCTTATTAGGGATGTTCCATTATGATTCGATCGATTCTCTTGGGTAACATTAATGTTCAAAGTCGATTTTCTTGAAGGTTATTCTATATTTTCATTTGATACCCATAGAACTATCCACGGAAGAATCGTGTTCATCGTGTTCACTCCCTACCAATCGAGGTTCCGTTCACGGAAAACAGACATGGATTTTACGAGAAGAAAAAAAAAAAGAGTAGCTAGTCGGTACAAGCATCCTGTACACGGACAACGTACTTGCGAGTCCGTGGATGCCGTCGCGGCGGCACTTCCGGTGAACGCGTTCGAGACAGGCGTGGATGTGCAGGTGCTGGAATTACTGGAAATCCCTCGTTGTCGTTTCGGACTGTGACTCAACCTGTAACGACCCACGATCAACGGTAACGTTCCTAGGATCAGCGAACCAAACCCAAGACCGATCATCGCTCCGATCTTAGCTACCAACAGTATCGTAGACGTTGTTGGTTCCTCCATTTCTCTAGGCAATAATTCTCTAGAAATCTTCCTTTTGCTAGATTGAAATTTTCTGACGTATTCAGATCGCCTTCTTGCGACTCTTCGACTTTAGTAAGTTCCGTGAGGGAAGATAAAGTACCAATTCGAATTGTCTTTGATTCTTACGTTACCACTTTAGCATTCCATCTTCTTTACTCGTGTTTCCCTCAATTGTCATATCGACCTTCTAGCCCCACCACCTCTAGCCTAAGTGCTCGCATCGGTGTACTTTTTTTTTTTTTTTTTTTTTCAGTAACTGTTTCACGCCTGGTCGATCAAGGGATCTTCCCCCCGGTCACTTTTTCACTTGTCACTCACTGATCAACGATTTCGGGGGAAGGAGGGAGGCACCTTTTCGATCATTGTCCGCGGTGTGCTGGATAATGCTCCTTCCTCGAATCGTTCACGCGTAGGATAGACAGGTAAGACGAGTTCTACGTATTACGTATCGTTTGTCCCGTGAGAATCTAGAAGAGGAAATTAACGTTGGGAATAGCTTCTGCGCGTTTATAGTGATTCACCTGGATTCGGTGTTGCGAATAGACGGAATCTTCAATTCGGAATATTCTTCGAGCTAAGTCCATTGGTATTGCGGATTTTTTTAGGCGAATTTCGATATTTTTTGCGTGGTATTTTCTGGGGGGAAACTGGGATCGATGACCAACAGCCTCTAGGAATTAAACGCATACATTTTCAACGATTTATGACTTGAAACAACGAAATAAAGCGTGTCTGACTACGTACGACCTTTTCCACTATGTCTGATATCTGTTCAAGAACGAGAATTGAGGTCCCTACAGGGAATACGAGTTATCACGAGGAAATGCATTAACCATAGAATTGTTTCGCAACGTATGCACAGTATGTGTGAGTCCTGTTTACACTTTCAAAAAAGGAAAAGTGTGGATGCAATTGCAACACACGCGTGGTTGCTCCGCTCGCCTGGATTCAGGGCACGTGGACCCCACTCACGTGGAAATGCATCGATACACACTACAATAAAAAGGAAAGAATAAAAAACAATAAATTTCTAATAAGATTGCCTGAACAACGAGTGGCGAGAGATTTCAAATTTTCGAGGTCTTTTTGTGAAAATGAAATACATATGGGGGGACAAGAATGATAAAATAGAATTGGGTTGTAATAGTTGTTTTTTTTTTTCACTCGGGAAGACATACGGGATTTCTGATTGTTGGCTTTTCTCGGCCGAAGATATGATGCAATAATGGTGGATAAGGTGAATTGGTAATTGCTCAGACGACGATACCTAACCCAGATCTAACGGAACATAGACTTTACGTGAATATCACGGACCTTTACTGTGGATCTAACATCGAGCTGAGATCTAAAGTGGGCTTAAATCGAACTTAATGTAAATCGAATTCTGGTGTAGATTCCACGTGACCCAAACTGAAGATAGATTAAACGTGGATAATAATTCAATCAAGAATTAACGTTGATAAAATGTTGACAGGATCAATCACCGTTGCATGAAATCAACACCAAAACCTCTTAAGTGTCCATTCATTGGTAAATTTATCCTATAACAACATCCAGATGTGTGATATTGTTTAGGAAAATTGAGAACCAATCGAACAATGACTATAGTTACTATAAGATATGTCGGCTCGAGCAGTGGTACTCTTCGTAACATACATTGGTTGTTCTATTAAAAGCGTCTAAAGGAATACCATAAGCAAGACTACGAATAGTTGTAAACAACTCCGAACTTGTTTTAAAATGTATCTTGTCTTGTACACTGATAATACTCCTCTGCCCATACTAATCGCATTGTATTGTTATCAATTCTTATTACTAGGAAAACCAGAAAAATTGCTTACTGCGAACAGTTCAAACACGAACAATATACCTTTTTTTTTGTTACAAAACCGCATCCAAATTTGCATACCGATATACAGTTCGCCACCACAGTAATTCCATTGTCTAGGATATTTCCTAATCAGCTCAGTTCTCAAAAGGCGATTAATCAAAAAGATTACGAAACATCTTGCAAATGATCCCAAACGAGTATACACTCGCTGGTAAAATGCATCGTCCTAAAGGTCAGGTACCGTTGTTACCTTAATCCAATATTATCAATCACCAGATCGTGCGTTCATCCAGTGTCCCCTTGGCGGAAGCACGAAACATAATTAAAAGGATAAAATTGCGAATAACTTCCCAGACAACTATACTAATTACCGAAGGCATCTCAATCTGACGTACCAATAATTATTATTATAACTAAAACTGCAAACAACACCCCAGACAAGAATACTAATTACTAGACTGTGGAAGTTTATACAAATTCAGTTTCAGATGTACCAATAACTAAAACTTAAAAAAACAGAACAGAAGGTATCTCAACTTGATGCACCAATGATAACAATTATAACACACTATTGAAACCATCGCGCAAGATCTTCAATCTTCCGTTGAAAGAGGGAATCAAAATTGAATACTATAAACCAACTCCGAATGTCCTCATTGGAACACCGCGTGTCATCTCTAACCAGGGACAGAATTTCTCGCGTCGTAACACATTCTTCGCGACTTATCTCGATTGTTTTCTTTCATAAAAGAAAGTTCCCAATGAAAATTCCGAATTGAACGCCGTGAACAGGTTCCACGAGGGGAGATAACTATACACACGTCATCTCGGAACGGGACCGATCTTCCACGCGAGCGCACTTTCCACACTCGAATCCGGTTTTCTCTTTCACAGGGGAGAGAACAACACAGAAAGAAGGATCGCGAGAGAAATATAACACTACACACACACACACACACACGCATACACATGCAAATTATATATTCGATCGTAGGAACGCGGTAGTTCCATGCGGTACGACGGCGAATCGGACACTCCGGAGCTGCTGGGTTGGGGGACTCGACTCGGTCCCCCATCCCATCGCGTCTTACATAGTTCAAGCCGAATCGTTTCCTGCTCCCTTCCCCTTCCATACTCCCCTCCCTACCAATCTCTGGCTCTCCTCCCCCGCCCCGCTGGCCGTGTGCGTGCGACTCTCGTTGCATGCGCTCCACGTAAACCAACCGTGAATGCTTGTTTACAATGATTCTCTTGCCGTTCGACTCGTAAGCTTCCTCATATAAACAGGCAACAATCCACTCAAGGGGAGATCGAACAGTGTGTGTCTGTGCGTGTGTGCAGTGGGTGCCTCTATAATTTTCACCGTTCCAGACGTTTGATTCCTGTACGTAAAGCGGCAAGAATCATCCGATCTCGCCGGTAAACGAATAAACTGACAATGGTTGGCTTCTTGTTTTGGTACGCATTATGTGTACTAGTGGGGAACGTACCGTATACGAGTGAGAAATTCTGCGTGTGTATACAATCAGGAGGGGGACATGGAAAGAAGAGAACGCCCCACAAGCATCACAACGGACTTCGACTCCTCGGTGAGGTGTGTTGATTGATTTTCATCGGTAATCGATCGATCGATATGAATTTCAGGGAATCGATCGTATGACGGTCGGTGATCGTAAACTCGAAACGAATCGGAGACTGTGATAGAAGAATACGCGTGAGGGAACTTTTGTAACGTACAACATGATTTTTTCGATGGGATATCGTTTTATGAATATAATTTACCTAGAAATGCGATAATCTTCAAATGTTTCGTATATTGTTTTTTTTTAAGTTCATTGTTTACACGGTGTTATCTAACAAATGACAACGGAGTGATCCTTACGTGTTTGAAGTTCTTGTTTGTCGATCCTCCTCGGGGATAATTAAGTCTGACAAGGGGACCCAGTCAAGTATATCTCGATATTTTTTCTAGCAATCAATTTCTTGAAAATGAGGGGTACTTCTTACTATTTTCAGAAATTGTTGTAGGTGACCTCCCCTACGCTTAAAAAGAATGTGATTAAAATAACTTGGGATACACTTCGTAGGTTCCCCTCGTGAGTATAAAAAATGATTCTTGCCGCTGTGATGGTGTATCTGCCCAGGTAGACGCGACACAAGACAACCGTTAAGAGTATACGTCTTCGATTACGAATATCGCAACTATTATTTTTCTTAACCTGAAATATTTTAATCTTGAAACTGAATCGGTTCGAATACGATCGGATTTGCAACTCGTGCCCCGAGTCGGCCATGAATTAGCTACGCTATTCATGTATGTATATGTATAATATATACATCGATGAGGCTGATTTCACGGTGAAAGGCACTTCGGTAACGGTCACGCAAAGTCGAATTCATTCGTGCAGAAAACGTAGCGGTTTCGTTACACGAGTTACCACTAATAAAGTATACATATAAGTGCCATGCAACTCGAATAATTCTTGCCGCGGTTTCAAGCGGGTAGCAGCGTTGTCCCCCGACCGGCAATGGCCAGTCGAACGTAATCCTGCATTATTATTAGGCGTTGTAACGATTCGCGCAAGAATTATTCGAATACCTCCAGAAATTACATATCGATTTATTTCACCAGTGTCACATTCCATCGAATGGAAATTACATGTCTGCGTTAATTAATTTCAGCTGATTTATCAGTCATACGGAACGCTTTGGTGCTGCAATATCGCGCTGAACACTTCCATAATGGATACTGTTAATTAGCAATGAATGCTGCGAAACGATTGACGGATTGCAAATAATTTATAGCAACACTTTCCAGTTTGTTGACGATTAATCGAATATTAAGAAATTGACGATTAGTCGGAGAATGGTCCTCCTGAATAACTTCCTTTTTTTTGTTGGAATTGTTAATTATCACCTTTCGTATAGAAACGATTGAACCGTAGAGATATAGTAATGAATTAGTGAAAAATTATTTTGTTTGACATTTTCTTCGGATATTTTCCAATTTCCGTTCAACTGAGTCGTATCACGACCGTTAGCCGCGACGTCAGTTTTTTCCTCGATTCGCTTCAAATTGCGTGTATCGTCTACCGATAAACAGACTATTGACGAGAAGAGCTGGGCGATTACAAAAGAGAAAACACCAATAATTTTCCTCGTGTTTCCACTCATCGGAATTATCGTGTTTTCTTTTTTTTTTTTTTCGTCGCGTTACCGAGAATGTCACCAACGCGTGATTTATTTCAGTTTATCGTAACGGTTTTTTCTGGTCTTTTACCCAGCATACATTCTTCGCCGTGGCGATGGAACCTTTTAATCGCGCGATTGCTTTCTCTTGCTTGCGTTAATCGAAATGGTTTCTTTCGAAAATTGAAATAATTTATTTATGTCGCTTTATCGACCGGCGATAAATATTTTTATTATTCCGTGAACACCGTTCATCTTTTAATCATTTCAATACCGCCAATTCGGATAAGCCCAACTTGTTATTGTCCTACTCTTTGTGCTTTAATTCATGTCTTTCCTCACCGATCGGAGGATTTAACGACTGTCTAAAAATTCGTCGATTAGTTGGAAACGTGTACTCACTTAATATCTGCAGTCCAAACATCAGGACGAATCCTAGGAGAATGGACATGTACTGGTACAGACCCGTTCTGTGCTCTTGGAGAATCTCGAAAAATACGACGTACAGTAGCGTACCGGAAGCCAGACCCTGTGCCAGAAAATTGTGTTATTTTGGGGGGTTGGTGATTAGGGGGTTTTTCGTGAAATATTTGAATTTTTGAAAACTGTTACTATAATGGGGCTAGTGATTGAATACCTTCTATTGACGCCTTTTGCTTTTCATAAATTTAAATAAGTCGATTTACAATAAAAGAAGGGAGTTTTCTTTTTTTTTTGTTAATAAATGAAGAATAAACAAAACGTTGCAATAAGACAAAAAGTATACCTGTAGCAAGACCGGAAGTATGCCGCTAGCTGCAGCGCTTCCGCCACCGACCAGGAGCATGCCTATGCCGATCCCTAAAGGTGAAACGATCGCGAATGTGCAAACGTAAATGATCGAAAGGTACCGTTTGGTGTTGGACGTTATTAGCTCCACACCGATACAGAACGCTATAACGAATTTGTGGGCTGCGACCGCGGCGAACATGTACCTAGAACCAAAATCAGAAATATCAGAATTAAATACCTCACTGACATCTTCAATATTAACGAAACCCAAACCAAAGTATTATCAACACTGTTAGTAAACTGTAGAGAGAAACATAAATTTTCTGTTGATAACAAAAAAAACGAAGGTCGTTCACGACTGTATGCAAGACACGCTAGAATACTTAATTGTTATTTCTCTCCGTTTTTTAAGTATGTCCCCGCATGTCTCGATTACCGCTCTGTGTAAATTAGCAGTACGTTTGTCGAACGAAAAACTTACCAAACGTAAGTGGCCGAACTCTCTAGCCCAATAGCGAGTCCTTCGAATAATTCATGCACGGACAAACCAAGAACTATTAATAAGCCCCGTAGCGAGCTGATGACGAAGTCATCTTTCTCGTCCATAATGATCGGTAACTGGTGCGAATGGCCATGACCCCTGCTGCAATATAACGAACACACAGCTATTTATCTTGTTCTAATTTGAATACGAGTTTACAATCGGGTCCGATCAGCACCGGATCAAGGGGGTGGTCAAGGGGGCTGTAGCGCCAGGCCCCGCGTTTCTGGAGGCCCCCGTTTTGAATCTTCCATTTCGTCATGATAAAAATGTTATTTAATTTTATTTAAAATAAATTTCAATTTTTAAGATTTATGGATTTTCTTGCGAGATATTACACAAAAAATTCCCCCCACCGCTTTTCAACGAAGGGGGCCCCCGAAACTTTCATAGCCATGGGCCACAGAAAATCTTAATCCAAGCCTGGGTTCGATCCGCGGCCACTTGTGTAATTCTCTTACCAGTGACTGCTGACGCCATTCGGCGGGTTATGCCCATTTTCCACCAACTCGTTCGTGCTCCTGCTGACCTCTTTTGTGGAACTTTTCGCCCGTTGGGCCTGCTTGTTCCTCAAATGCGTGTGCACAGACTCCTCGACCAAGTACATAATGAAGAATCTGAAAGTTTATGCGCGTGTGTCACTGAACCGATCCAGCGGTTGTATTTTCATGAAAATCTTGAGACAGTAAGTCGGGCAATCTAGGTATTAAGTACAAAAGAAGGATAGAATTAAAAGACAGATAAAATACAGGGGACACAAGGGGGAAAATTGACATCTGTACTCTAATTTGCAGACTTGTTTGGTGGGTCAAGTAAATCGATGGATAATCCGCACTTAGTGTTCGTATATCTCACAGAGATCCATCTACTTAATGTAGATTGGACATGCAACGGGACACGTAACGTACAACGAACCTTTCACTTAGCTACTTTCAACTTATTACTTATTTCAGTCACTTCGGAATGTTTCTTAACTGACATTTGCAAAAGGAACTGAGGTGTATTCTCGATACGATGGGGATGGTATTCATATTCATATAAAAATAAAATATTAAACTCTATGACTATGAGTGACTTCAACTTTTCGAGGTGGGTTCAAATATATCCCACCACGCATAAAAAGCTAAGCAAAAGGTGGGATAGTTTTTAACCCACCTAACCCTAAAGAGTTAAAGGATGTTTTAGGGCTTTAGTTGCCTGACGGTTGAAAGACATAGGGGGGACCAATGGCGACAAAGTTTTTCGAATCGAACTTACCCGGCGCAAGTGAGCACTTCGGCCAATGAGAAGTTGAGCTTAGGTAGTTTCCCGTCATGGGTAAGATGCTCCACACTTTCCTTTACTTCCGGCAGTAGATGAAGGAAGGTCGTGCTGAAAAGCACGCCGCCCCCGAATCCGAGCAAAAGACTCACCAGCCTTGTTGACCTACCG